AAATACACATTTTAATACACAATTTTTTAAATTACCCAACACATCTATTAGTTTTACAGACACACAGGGACAAGGCAGGTAGGCAGGGAGGAGCAAGGCAATCTAGGCACCCGTTACTGGCGTACCGGTATTATACCATTTAATAGGCATTTACATAATGCCTACTAATAGTGTGATTCCCTTTTGAAGATACCGACTAATCTTCAAACAGGAAATCACGCTGAAATGGATCCTTTTATCCCTGTAGGAAAGATCCTTGTAGATTCTCCCGAAATCCCAGCTGAAGTAGAGAAGAATAGTGATTATAGCTCTCAATCCCCCAAACATGATTCGAGACTTCATGAAGGGGTTAAACGATCTGTTTAATGACGGCCGCAGCTCGGCCTTTTATGCAGGTCCTCCAGCAAGGGATACTCCCACAGGGACTTTGTGGAGGACTGAAACACAAGTTATAGTAACCAATCATTTTACAGTACATTATAAAACACACCCACATAAACAGTGAAATCCCTCCTCTCTATCCTGCAGATAATTGGGTTAAGTGGCCAGAGTAAACTTAATTATCTCCAGGTAGAGAAAAGATTTCTATTTCACAAAAGTAACAAAATACATTAAAATATATAACTTTTCTTTTACCTAATGGAACCCCCCGCATTTCCACATTTCCCCAGATAGCTTGGGTCTGAGAGCTCAATATAACCGAACAGCGCTCAGATCCCACGAACACAGTCATATCGCCATGGAGCTAAAGAGTCTGTTCACTCGTTAGAAATATACCCAGAATTAGCTCCATGGATTCAGCTATCTGGGTCGGTTCAGTTCGTGTGTTCTGAATGTACCGAACGACACGGCGTTCGTGTAAATGGAGATGAAAGAAATGGAAGTTGGATAGCCAACCGAAAATAGTTCCACGCGGTCGATGACCAAACACCCAGCAGTTCGTCAAATAGTTGTGGCTAACCACAGCTTCTGGGCGACTAATGAGCTGCACACTCCCATTGCGTGTGGTCTGGCTGTTCGGTAGTTGGTTCGGTTTTTAAGAAAGTAACGAAATAGGGCTAAATACACGAACAGCAGACGAAATAAAAGAGTCCTGGCATTCACAAAACAGGGGTTTTGTCACACATGCTATTAATATGCATTATATAATTCACCAGTAAGGATTACATGAGAACAGTATGGCTGTAGTTAGCAAGAAAAACACTGCAAAATGTTGTGCAAAATTAATTTGCCTCGTCATGTTAAAAAAATGTGTAGAATGTTCGAACTTTGAGAGATTTTCTGTGTAAGGGGAAGGGCGCACTATTTTTATTTAATATTGTGGCCACCATTAAACAGACTCTGCTTGACCCTCAACACAGAGCCTCGTCTTGTGCTTGGGGGGATATTTCGTATGATTCCTGTTCGGCGCTTAGGAGTGTTCGGTAGCTGACTTTGTATTCGGGGAAAAGAACAACTTTGGCGGCGTTAACCCCTTCTCCTACCCGGGGCGCCGTTACAAATATTACTATTTTCATTTTTATCTTTTTAAATTTTGCAACCATAAGAATTTTTGCGCCAAGATCAACCGCCCCTGTGGATTCCCCATGCTACACCACTGCTTAGCAATAACAAATAATGTTATTAAACTGTAATTTAGAACAATCACAATGTGTCTACATTATTGTAGTTTAAAGACATTACTGGGAATATTATTGCTGTGAAGCTGTTATACACTCAGGCACACCAACAATATAGAGCTTCTAGAAAAGAGGGACAGAAGAATTTGTGTCAAAATTAGGGACTGTTCCTCCAAAATAGGGTTGCAGTGTTCCTCCAAAATGCGGTTGCAGTGTGCTCAGAAAAACGTACATATATTCTTTATGGATCTTTCTGAAGTTAAAGAATATGATTTGTTTTAAAAAACAACCACCACTGTTATTAAATATACAAAGAAATCCTCACCTTACCCCTTACTACACAGCATCCCTCCTTAGCCCGCTAATTAGGGCATTCAACCAGGAAATACCGCCTGTATGGCTACAAATGGAAGCTGTCTACATGGAAGGGCACGACATTAACACACTGGTTTGGATACCAAACCACATTAGACCCAAATACAGGGATATCCTGCCCACCACTAAGCTAACTCTATCCACATGGGATGCACACAGGTCCAAAACGCAGTCCTCCCCGCACACATCACCAGCCATGAAAATCAACACACTTGCAATACTCATACCAAACTTCAACGCCAAGGGGTGGTCCACTGTATTTGCATGTAAACCATATTGCTTCCCTGAACCATATTGCCGAAAATGTCAAACTCCACTCATTTGAACACTTGCAAACAAGTTATGAGGTGCCTGCCACAATGAAATTCTCATACATGCAAATACAGTCGTGGTTTAAAAAATACTGCCTCCCCGGCACACCCCCCCAGGCAGAACCACCAACTATCAGCCATTGAAAAACTATGCGTACAACGCAAACCACCCGCTAAAATAATGTCTCAACTGTACCACAATACAATCCAACAGTCCCACGCTGCAAAACTCCCATCCACCGCAGCCTGGGAATCGGACTTCCAAAAAGGGACTGGATGACACCCAGTGGTCCCGCATATTCCTAGCTAACAAAAACCTCCCACTATGCAGTTCACATGTAGAACTGTCCAGGAAACTACTATATAGCTGGCACCTAGTGCCCACCAGACTGAAACACATGAACCCCAACACATGCCTCATGCAATTAGGCACGGTGTACCACATATGGTGGGCATGCCCAGAGATCACACCATTCTGGGCACAAATCTCGAACCTGATTGCACAAACCACTAAAGTGACACTGCCGCTACAATCAGTGCTGTACTTACTGCAACTCCTCCCACTGGACGTACCAAAAACGAATAGGTACCTGATTTACCACATCCTTATAGCGGCATTACACGCGATTAGCAGTACTTGGCTATCACCTAACACTCCGCTAATCACATCCTCTCTGTGGAATCCTCCAAAAAATACGAAACCATGGCCAGAATGACCAGACCCCCTCAGAAATTCTGGAAAGAAGCATGGGAACTGTGGGACAAATGTAGGACCCAAAGCCCACCTAAAACACTCACAACTTCTTAACGAAACCATATGATCACGCCATCCTAAGACACAGACATTGGATATAAAAAAGCCTTGACTCTACCCCCCCGCCGCCATCTGACCCCCGCCACCTTTGTTCTACCCCGTTACAACATAGGTTAAAATTGGTGCAGGATGTAGCACGACTCATGATCTGATAATACCAAACACACTGTAGGACGAACATATGTGACAAGACCAATTCCACCATCAGCAATGCGACACCGAATGTTTGACTAACTGTAACGCTACCTATCTCTGAAAGTATGTATTTTGGCCACGTGTGTGAAAATTTCATAACCTACATAACCACTGCCGTGACGCATTCTGTACTGAATAAAAATTGTTAAATAAAAAAAATACCAAGAAATGTCAGCAATTTTGATTTTGGCAGGAAAGCTATTCAGCTATTTTACCAAATATTTGCAATTCCCTTGTCAATTACTGATGAATTTTCAGTTCTCAGAAAAATCCAGTCTATGTAAAAGTATGATCTAACTTTTTTAATCAGAGACTTTCTTTTTAAAGTGGACATGTCAACTGGCATATATTTGTGAATATCACTTAAATTTTAACAGTGTTCTTTGTGCCAGTGGACATGCAGAAACTACATTAATTATCTAAACCTGAAAAACAAGCTTCTGTGAGCATGTGATGTCAGCAGACAATTGGAACCCGAGACTCAAATAGCTGTGCTATTTACTTCCCATTGACAAATACTGGCCTCGATGGGTCTGCCATCCCAGTGCACACAGCATCCCCCAACCTTGACTGTTAAGTGGGGGATGGAGGACCCCAATGCCCAACCTTAGTATACGTCTGCCCCTTACCACCCTCTCAAGATCTCCCTTTCAGGTACATCTTCTTTACTACTTCTATTACTCTGTGTTCCCCAAAATTTAGATCTCTGTCCTGTTCTTTTATATTGTTGATTAAAGGGTTACACCAACCAAAAACAAGTGTTAGAGTTACAGTTGAACCCTGGAGCTATGTATCAATGCGCAGCCATTAACTGGACCCTCAGTTAGGAGCACGTGCTCACACAACCAAAGATCACACTGCCATGCCTGGTGACACCAGCAGACATTATCGATATGAGTGTTCGGCTGCGCAATGCCATGTTCTTTTCGGTTAAGTAAAAGTCTGCTCCAGACTCAGTGTTACTTAAATAGCGGTGGCGTTATTTTCAACTGAATTTTTTTGTGTGCAGTGATTTATGGATGTGGTAACACAAAAGCACTGTCATTAGAACATTGTCGTTTATAAAAAAAAAATCCTTTTCAAAACGAAATGTATTAAATGTATATGGTTTTTGGCCTAACAGTAATAAGAACAGAGGTTGTACGTGACACAAGGTTACAATGTACGTTGTAATTCCAATGAAAGGCATTTATTATATATAATCTGTGTATAGGATATGTAATTTATGTATCGTACAGAATGGCACAAATGTCGGATATGTATAATATAAAAAACATGTATTCCTTGTTACATATGCCAATAAAATTGTCACTTTAAAAAAAAAAAAAAGAATGGTATTATCCCCTAGGCACCTGTCCCCCAATAAACTCCTTAATGTCCTTAATGTACTTCCCCAGAGCTGTGGAGACCCTGGAAACCTCATGAAGGTGATTTGGAGAATCCTATTACCCTTTATCAATGAGCTAAGTTGCCACACTGACAAAGAGAAGTGTAATAAAAGTGTTTTACAGTAACTCATAGTGCCTGCAGTCATAGCAGAACAATGACATGGAAGTGAGAGTCATTAATGACACAGCTGCAGATCTGCCCTAGGGCTATGAACACCCAGCATTGCACAACACTGCTCCATGCTGCAGCCATGCTCCACACAACACCTGGCTGGCTAGCCACGCCCACACCAGACAGCCACCCAATCAGCTCGCATGCCTGGCCACCCGGAAGTAGAGACCCTCCTAGCGCCGCTGCCATGGGAACCTGGTGAGGTGCGGGCACGGCGGGACGGAGGGAGCTCGGTGGGTGAACCATGGACAGCACCCGGCAACAGCAGCAGGTCACCACCACAACTCACAGACTGCCCGGGCACCCGGAGAGCGACGGCGATAACGGTAGGCACGGCACTCAGAGTCAGCCCACCCCCTAAAACATCAATAATAATAATAACATCAATAATAATAATAACAATAACATAAATAATAACAATATCAATAATAATAACAATATAAATAATAATAATATCAATAATAATAATTATAATAACAATAATAATAACATAAATAATAATAATAATATCAATAATAATATCAACAATAATAACAATAATAATAATATCAATAATAATAATAATGAATACAGCCATCACTGACATAGGATTTGGTGAAATTATAATATTTTATTTAAAAAAAAAGTTGTGGACTACGTGTCCCATGGTGCTCAGCCTTCCAAGGAAGGCATTCCTCAAAATATGCAGTGCCAAAAATAATCCAAAACTGACATAACTACTGGGGAAATAATGGGAAATAATAATAATAAAAATGTACCTGTCCAGTCTGTCCATCCATTCTGTCTGTCTGTCTGTTATAGACTTTTCTGCATTTTATCATCGTATCCTGATACAGAATGTTAGCATGTCTGTACAGGTCCATCATGCCTTTCTAATAGTTCAGACCTTTTTTTTTTCTATTATAGGCAAGTATATGAATACTAAGTGAATATATCATTCTCAGGGTTGTTATTGTAGTACTGTTAAAAGCACCCTATGAATGAATCATCTGACAAGGTTACTTACTAAAGTGAGAATTCAAAGTGAATTTTAATCTTAAAGGATCACTATAGTTTTCCTGACACTATAGTGCCCTGAGGGTGCCCCCTTCAGCAGCTTACCTTATTCCGGCACTGGGGACCTTTGCTCCCACGCCAACGTCAGCTCCCCCGTCCAACGCCAGTGGAGCCGAATGCGCACGCGCGCACGTTCAAAGTGTCCATAGGAAAGCATTTCTCAATGCTTTCCTATGGACGCTCTGCGCGATGGAGGCAAAATGTGCCTCCAGCATCGCAGATGCGCCTCTAGTGGCTGTCCAAAAGACAGCCACTAGAGGCTGGATTAATCCCAAATGTAAACATAGTTTCTCTGAAACTGCTATGTTTGCATCTGAAGGGTTAAAACCCAAGGGACCTGTCACCCAGACCACTTAATTGAGCTGAAGTGGTCTGGGTGACTATAGTGTCCCTTTAAGGTCAAAAGAGCTGAATTGGAAAAATTCTTTAATGCCCAGTTTTACATCGAGAGGTTTGTTTTAGGTCCCTATTCCCCCGAGTCCAGTAAAACCTGCCAAAAAATGTTTTCACTTGCTTTTACTCCAGCTTTGAAATTCCCTTGGCGCTGCTGGCCGCTCTGCCTCCTGCATCATCTTCCAACTTTCGAGCCAATAACCAATCCAGTGGAATTTTAACTTTCTTTTAACTGAGCAATTGGAATTGATTTAGACATTTTGTAAATCATTTGTTATTGATGTTTTAAGGAATAAGTTGCAATACATGGCAAGTAGTCAATCAATAAATATTACAAGGTATTAGAGGACACTAGATAAGGCTATCAAAAGGCACTTGCTTATGTGAAAAGCAAGATGTAGACATTGTATATAAACACCGGCAGGCGTCATAACCAGTTCATCTTATTGAATTGGTTATAGTGACTGGAGCCCTCTGCAGCTGTCTCTGCCATTTTTTTAGCAGTTTAAAGCTGAATGAGGATCCCTGACCAACCACAGCCTAGCCCTCACTGAATGTATAAGGCAAATTATATACTTCCTTCTAGCCATACCAGTTCATACCAGGAATGGGCACTAAAGCATCCGTGTGACACATAATGCGTCTTGACTTAGAAGTCTGCTATGTGTATACATTTTGGAGAAAAAAAATCTACAAATTTTCAAGCCACATAGCTGGGTAAACGATTGCGAAAATAGAACCGGGATATATTTGGCATGACAGTTCCTTAAGGTTATTTTCTATTTTGTGAACATGTGCTCTTTGATATTATCTACTTATAGGCTGTGCCTGAATATAATAGAAACCTAGAGTCCTTGCAAAATGAAACATTTTTGAAATATACTGCATTTTACAGATAATAGCATGTAATATATACAGGCACTTGACAATTTGCAAACAAATGTATAGTTATTGAAATATTTCTGTTTTAATTCGCACCTCTATGTTGTTCAAACAAGCATATATTTTCAATCTTTTCAATCATTCTTTTGACTTTTCACATAAATCACTGCCAGCTGTTGGAGTAAATGTAAAACATCTCCTAATGGGATTAGCAGGATCAGACCATGAAATCCAGTTTAGCAAAAAAAATATCTTGTATTAAAGGGACACTGTAGTCACCCAGACCACTTCAGCTCATTGAGGTGGTATGGTTGCACAGTCCCATCACCCTTAACTCTGAGCATGTAATTATTGCAGTTTTTATAAACTGCAACATTTACCTGCTAGGGTTAACTCATCCTCTAGTGGCTGTCTACCATACAGCCACTAGAAGGACTTCCAGGCTCAAATGCAACTTTTGGTCGCCTAAATGACGCTGGAAGTCCAGCGTCTCCAGAATCCCCATAGGAAAGCATTGAGTAATGCTTTCCTATGGGGAAATCCTAATGCCAGCGCATTAGTAACTCCTTCTGCACCACAGGGGGTGGGCTTGACAGAGGGGAAAGCTATAGTGCCAGGAAAATTAGTTTGTTTTTCAGGCACTATAGTTACCCTTTAAAGGGATACTATAGTCACCAGAACAACTACAGCTTATTGTATTTGTTCTGGGGAGTATAATCATTCCCTTCAGGCTTTTTTGCAGCAAACACTGTCTTTTCAGAGAAAATGTAGTATTTACAGTACAGCCTAGGGATATCTCCACTGGCCACTCCTCAGATGGCTGCTAGAGGTGCTTCCTGGGGCAGTGCTGCACACTGTGCAGTACCGCTATTTAGTGTCTCCACCCTCTGCATGGAGAGACTTAACTTTCCTCATATAGATGCATTATTCATTGTATCTCTATGAGGAGATGCTGATTGGCCAGGGCTGTATTTGACCTGTGCTGGCTCTGCCCCTGATCTGCCAGTCTCAACCAGTCCTATCTGAAAGCATTGTAATTGCCTCAGAGAATTACTTCTGATGATGTCAGCCAGGCAGACCAGGGGGCAGAGCCAGCAGCTGTTTTGGTTCACTTCTTGTCCAGATGAGCCACCGGGTGTGACGGGGGTAGGGAATTTTCACAGGGTACGGTGTGCTGATAGAACACAGCTAAGGCCTTATGATTATATCAAACTATTCTTAAACCAGGGCTTGACAAATTTGTTTGGAATATAGGAGCCAGTCATTTTCAATGAGAGAGTGCAATTCAGCATGGTGTAGTTGTTCTGGTGTCTATAGCCTGTTCCTGCAGGTGTTTCAGTGTAAACACTGCCTTTTCTGTGAAAAAGCAGTGTTTACATTGCTGCTTACTAACACCTATAGTGATAGTCACCCAGATGGCCATTAGAGAGTCCTGGGTCACTGCTGCACCACGTGCAGCACTCAGGTTCAGGGTCTCCAAGCTCTGCAGATTGATTAATGTAATCTCTAGGAGGAGATGCGGATTGGTACATTTGCTGCGCATGCATAAAATCATCCCAAAGCATTGGCTTAACTGAGATCATAAAGATTGATCATCTCAGTCATGGTGAAACTGGCATGGCGTGGGAAAATTGGAACAAAGGTGAGTAAACACCTTCCTCATGCGATCGGAGGGGGAAGGTACCTAAACGCGCACACACACACTTACAGGCACACACACACACTCTGTCAGGCTCACATGCACACATTTTGACAGGCTCACACACACAAACTCTTGACAGATTCTCACACACTCTTACGTTGACAACAGGCTTGCACGCACAAACTCTGACAGGCGCTCATACACACTCTCTTGACAGGCTCTCACACACTCTTACGTTGACAACAGGCTTGCACGCACAAACTCTGACAGGCGCTCATACACACTCTCTTGACAGGCTCTCACACTCGCGCACACACACACAGACACTCTGACAGGCTCGCTCACTCTGACACCACACACACACACATACGGACAGGCTCACACACACAAACACTGTGACAGGCTCACACACACTCTTACGCTGACAACAGGCTTGCACGCACACACACTCTGACAGACTCGCATACACAACTCTGACAGGCGCTCCCACACAAACTCTCTTGACAGGCTCTCGCTCACGCACATACATACAGACACTCTGACAGGCTCTCTCTCTCACACAAACACACACTCCGACAGGCTCTCTCACAAACACACACACTGGCTGCTCTCTTTTTGTGTGCGAAGGAGCAGTACTCTGTTTGCAGCTGCTCTCTGCTCCCTCGCGCTCTGTATTAATCCATATTGAAGGACCACTATAGTGCCAGGAAAACATACTCGTTTTCCTGGCACTATAGTGCCCTGAGGGTGCCCCCACCCTCAGGGACCCCCTCCCGCCCGGCTCTGGAAGGGGGAAAGGGGTAAAAACTTACCTTTTTCCAGGGCTGGGCGGGGAGCTCTCCTCCTCTGATCCTCCTACTCTCCTCCCCGTCGGCTGAATGCGCACGCGCGGCAAGAGCTGCACGGGCATTCAGCCGGTCGCATAGGAAAGCATTATCAATGCTTTCCTATGGACGCGGGCGTGCTCTCACTGTGAAAATCACAGTGAGAAGCACGCAAGCGCCTCTAGCGGCTGTCAATGAGACAGCCGCTGGAGGGAATGGGGGAAGGCTTTACCCATTAATAAACACAGCAGTTTCTCTGAAACTGCTATGTTTATAAAAGAATGGGTTAACCCTAGCTGGACCAGGCACCCAGACCACTTCATTAAGCTGAAGTGGTCTGGGTGCCTAGAGTGGTCCTTTAATTCTCCTTGACCTCTCTGCTGCCTTTGACACCGTTGATCATGCTCTCCTCCTTCAAACTCTTTAATCGCTCGGTCTCTGTGACTCTGTCCTCTCTTGGTTTTCCTCCTATCTCTCCCAACGCTCATTCAGTGTCTCCTTTTCCAAGTATACCTCCTCCCCTCGTCCTGTCTCGGTTGGAGTTCACCAAGGCTCTGTCCTTGGTCCCCTTCTATTTTCTCTTTATACTGCCTCTCTTGGTAAACTTATTGCCTCTTTTGGATTCCACTACCACCTGTATGCTGATGACACTCAGATATACCTCTCCACCCCGGACCTCTCCCCTGCCGTCCTACAATGTGTCACTGCTTGCCTCTCTTCCATCTCTGACTGGATGTCCTCACGCTTTCTGAAACTCAATCTCTCTAAAACTGAACTCCTTGTCTTTCCTCCTTCTAATACTGATCCTCCTCTCTCACTCTCCCTTCAAGTCAGTGATATGCACATAAGTCCATCCCTGAAAGTCTTGGCGTCATACTTGACTCTGGTCTCACCTTTTGAGTCTCACATCCAGTTTGTTGCCAAGTCCTGTAGGTTCCAACTCAAAAACATAGCCCGCATTCGCCCCTTTCTTACACAAGATGCTACCAAGGAGCTTGTCCATGCTCTAGTAATTTCCCGCATGGATTACTGTAACCCTCTCCTGATTGGTCTCCCCAAAAGCCGTATTGCCCCGCTACAGTCTGTAATGAATGCTGCAGCTAGACTGATTTTCCTCTCTAGTCGGTCCTCTCACACCTCACCCCTCTGCCAGTCCTTACATTGGCTCCCTGTATGCTATAGGAGTCAATTCAAAGTGCTAACCCATACATTTAAAGCACTGAACAATTCTAGCCCCACTTATATCTCTTCACTAATCCATAGATATGCCCCTCCTCGTACCCTCCGCTCTGCCCGTGACCACCTCCTGACCGCTGCTCGCACCCGTACGGCCAACTCGCGCTTGCAGGACCTCTCGCGGGCGGCTCCTTTCCTATGGAATAGCCTGCCTACTGCCATCAGACTCTCCCCTAGTCTTCAATCATTTAAGAAGGGCCTTAAAACCCATCTCTTCAGGAAAGCTTATGGCCACCCAGAGTAATCTCTGCCTTACATACCTGTGTCTTGCTCTCTCCAAAGGACAGTGCTTTACTCTCTCCTCCAGCTCTGCTTCACTCCCACCCTATTTGATATTTCCTGTCCTAACGTTTCTAATACCCCACCTCCTATAGTCTGTAAGCTCGTTTGAGCAGGGTCCTCTTCAACCTATTGTTCCTGTAAGTTTTCTTGTAATTATCCTATTTATAGTTACATCCCCCCCTCTCATAATATTGTAAAGCAGTACGGAATATGTTGGCGCTATATAAATGGCAATAATAATAATAATAATACTCAACTCTAGCTCTATATATGTGCAGTAGGATAGATATCTATATCTATCCTACTGCACTTCTGTGGCACACCACTTTACCCAGCCTGGCCACTCAATGAAGGACCTAAAAATCAAAGTACTGAAAGGGATTTTTAAAAATACCCAAGAAAGAAAAACTTTTGAAGCCAGAATGATCAAAATGTTTAACAGCAAGAATAGAGGACTAAATATTGATTTGGGTTTCCTGACCCACTACCAACATTTTACATGAACACTCCCCCAACTTTATCTTACTGTTCTGTCATAAGTATCAACACTTTAAAATGCATTCCTATATGTTTATTCTATCAATATAAAAAGTACTATGTACTAGTTTTTCTCTCTCCAACCACACTCTGTGATCTTGACACAAGATATTTACGACCCTCTGCAAGAATGGTGTCTATTTTCTGTGTCTTATCTGCTCTCCTGTCCTTTTCATCCCTGTATCACAACTCAACTTTGAATTCTATGTGAAGTCTTGCTCAGAAATGCTTTAGACCTGAGAAAGGGAGATTCTCACGAAAGCTTGTCATTAAAAAATTCTCTTAGTCCAATAAAAAAAGTATTACAAGATACAAATTTTATGTGTGTTTTTACACATATATATACACACCGTTAATACAATGTTAAACAAAAATCTGCTCACCAGTTAAACCATAAGACTTGCTTTTCCCACAGAAATCTATATATACACACACACACATAAATTTAACACATAACAGATGATAAATATATTCAACCACCTGTTATGTGTTAAATTTATGTGTGTGTGTGTATTGTATTTTTGGTAATATTGCATCCTATTATAACAATGCAATGTTTTGTGAACTCAGGACATACTTGAAAACGAGAAAAATCTCAATGTATCCATCCTGGTAAAAGATTTTATAAATAACTGATCATGCTGCCTAGTGTCCCCAGGCATGAGATATTGTTGTGTTGCTTAGGGTCCCTCATTAAATGGGGAAAACTTGCGCTAAAGTAGAGAAAAAGGTTAAAATGACTATGTTATAGATTTAAAAAACAAAACAGAAGGATTCTTATGTTAAATACTGGCTGACATCTTAATCAGAATCCATGAGAATCAGATTTTACAATTTACAGTCTGGGAGTACTGCGGTCCCCTTTTTTTTAATTTTTTTTTTTAAGTAAACTATAAGATTATTGTAGAGATTGTTGGTATTTTCTTTAAAAATTCACAAAAAATGTGGAATCAAGAGATTTGATCTGTTGGTATGTCACATTACATAGCATTACAGTCAGAGACATGAAGTAAATCCATTCTCAAACAATGAGTGACTAACTTGGTCGAATGACCACAGGTGAGCATTGTGCTTTGTGTACAGGTTATAAAAATGCATGCACATCTCCTACATTTTTTTTTTTTTTTATAGAAATGTTAAATGCTTTCTTTCCCAGAGTTAGTCTTAAGCAAGCATGTCAAACTCGCGGCCCTCGATTTTTTTTTAAATTTTTTTTAAATTTATTTTTTTTGTGGCCCAGCGAGCCGCGAGTTTGCCATGCTTACTAAAGCAGAGTATGCACCTGCTCGCCCCACATTGCAGGTGCCTACTCTGCCAAAATTACCCGGTAGGGGAAGAGAGGTCCCTGGCGGCAGCAAGGGAGCTCAGTCTTCCTGCTCCCTTGTGCGTGCCCTCTGCAGTGATTCTGGGTGCCGGAATATGACGTAATTCTGGCACCCGGCATCACTAAACTGTGCGCGTGAGGGAGCAGGAAGGCTTAGCTCCAGAGAGAAGATCAGGGAAAGACCCCACACCAGCTCCCAAAGGTAGGGAGCAATAAATAAAATGTGAGTGTGTGCAAGAATGTGTAAATGTGTGTGTCTGTCAGTGTTGCAGTGGCCACGGCTGAATAGTAGAGGACTTGGAGGTGCACAGAGGCACACAACGCCACGTCACATTCTGATGTGACGTCAATGTGCTCCACCTTCACAGGTTTTCAAGGAGTAGCGGGAGGATCTGTTTGGCACAGGATGCGCCAAAAGTCCAGAGGCTGGACTTCGGACTCGCATATTGGCAGAGGCAATGTCAGTGGAGTCTGCTTGTTGGTTAATATTGTTTTTTTTAACCCCTTAAGGACCAACTCTGTCTAATCAATGACATTAAGACTCCCACTATACTACCCCCTCTCCGGTGCACTCTGAGATAAACAGGAGGGGTGCACATGTGGAACTTGCAACATTACTAGTTTGAATGTAGCGGGTTCACGAGCAATTTACTTTGTTATTTTGATACTCTACACAGTATCAAATACAGAAACTTGCGGTCTGAGATAAATACAGAACCTGCCCACAGATGCTATGTCCTTGACAGGAATAGCACCATACAGTGTGGTGGGGATATATAGATTTGAAATCTTTAGCCTCTTATCCTGTCAATAGAAGTGATCTCCATTGATAGCTGTATTAGTTTGTAATTTTAGCCACACGATATATGTTTGCCATTTTTTTTGAAGTACTATACGTAGCCATGTAATTGGAAGCTGTGTATTCCACATAATTAGGGCATTTTTGTGGCTTTTCACAACTTAGTTTACCCAACTTTAAAAGGTATACTACCACTTGTTTTCCACTATATACTTTTCTCACATTTAGAAGTTTTCACTTAGTTAGTTTGTATATATATGTATTTGGCTAAGTAAAGGTTTTACCATACATATGAATTTTTAAGAGAGATCCCATGGTGGAATGAACATCCACCCGCATATAGCAGAGGGAGTAACCACCCCACTTTATCCTTTCTTCTTTTTCTGTAAACTTAAACGTTGTTCATGTGGTCCGTGCTAGCCTTTGAGTTCGACATGCTTGGTCTAAAGCTAATGCTTACCTTGAGCAAACAGGCAGTAATAGACCCGGTGTACTGGTTTTGAGGTCATATAATATTAGAGTAGCTTTTTTCAAAGCTAATATAATTATACATTTGTAATAAAATAATCCCTGTTCACTGGGTTTAGAAACTTTGCAATGTTTATTGAAAAATAAAACCATAAAAAATACCCCCAAAATGCTAGTCTTCCACCCTACTTATTAATTTGCCATTGTTTTAAGTCTTTTGGTGTTACTGATTCTATATTGATTTATTTAAATCAGGATCTGTAATAATATAATTTCAGTAATGTTCAGCTTCTTTCAATTGCTTCTAAAGGATGTCCAACAGAATAATTATATACATTTCCTCAGGGATAGATAAATATTCCTAGCGTTTAAAGGAAAACTATTCAAACTTTATCATTTAAACTTTCCCATAGGAAACGCAGAGGGCTTCTGTGTTTACTCGGTCAGTGCAGAAGAAGTGCCATTAGGGGTGGATGGCATAATCTCAATACAGTACAACTCCTGAAATAATAGTATTAGGATAAAAGTAATGTACATTTGTTTTGGTATGTTAATACCCCTGTACACATGCGCTTATTAGCTAGCCTCCTATTATCCCTCATGGCTAACAATAGTAGTCTTAAATTTCACCTTATAATTACATGCCCATACTGACTTTACAAATTTCTATTTCCTGACTAACTGAAATGTTCTCTTCTCTATGACCGGTCCTTAGCAGGCATTAGGTTTCGTGTGCGTAATCTACTAACATGCCCTGTGTGCTCACTGCAATAATTGTGTTTCTCTTGCAATTTTTGTGTATCGTTGTTAAAAGTAAAATGACCTTTTTATTAAGAATGAAATACATGAACAATGACATTGTCATTTAATTATTTGAGAATACGGATGCGGACAAGACAGTTCTATAGAAAACAAAAGTATTGTCTCGAACTGATGGACCCCAACTTTTGTGGACCATGCTTCCTATAAGGCTTACCCAGCCAAGATGACTGAGAGTTCAGAACAGGAATGTTAAGACTGGCCGCAAGATTCTTGAGTAACTGTTGGATAAACACACATGCAGGGAGTCTGCAATTGAAGGAAATACTGCTAAAATTAAATCTGTTTCCTGGAGCAGCATTAACAAGTTGGGGCAGAATTCTTCTCAAACTATGTTCTCTAATTATGCCCAAGATGCATTAATGATTTGTACCTCCATGCTATGAATGGTAAATTATTAAACCTAAAGATTACCGAATTATAAATCTAATGTGAATCTTCATTACTTCCTTGTGTAGAAATCAAGTGTTGAGTTCACATTTTATGCTGGGCTGATGTCAAGATACAGATATCAAACTTTATGGAAGCCTACAAGCTCCAAACTACTTTGCTGCAATCTCTATGCCAATTCTACCTTGCTAAGTTGATAGGATAAGTAAACAATTACATTTTAGACTTTACACATCGGTTACCCTGTCTTTTTTAAAATACCTCTTAGCCTGAAAAATATTTTGCTTGCAATTTGCCTAAAACCACCTTGGCATGCATTGACTGTCAGATGCATGCCTGAACAGGCAGACTGCCTGCTATGCAGTCCACATACTCCCAGGACTGTCAATGCAAAGAGTAATTTGAAGCACAGCATAGACAGAAAATCTTCATTGCTTTATGAACAGTGCCATTGTGTTTAACCCCTTAAAGACCAAACTTCTGGAATAAAATGGAATCATGACATGTTACACGTCATGTGTCCTTAAGGGGTTAATGGTGTTCTTGATTTATATGTCTCTGCATTGTCCTTGCATTTCTAGCTACCTTTATTTGTGAACCTTTATACAAACAACAGAAACTGAAAAAAATGGAAAGCTGATAATTCCCCCTGTAGGCCTAAAAGTATAGTGGTGTGTGTGTGTGTGGGGATGGGTTATTTGTAAGTTACAGATCCATCTGTGTCATGAAATAAGCTGCAGTAATTCTAAGGAATTAGAAAAGCTACATGGTATTATTTACTTTTGCTGTGTGGACACCTTTGTAAATGTCAGAAACATTCTAAAAGAATTACACAAAGTATATTCATTACCTTTTGCTAGCCTAGTCCCAGCTGAGCGAAGATTTGAATGTTAGTTAAAAAAAATTGACCCCAGGAGTCATTGAACTTATGCCACAGGGTTGTTCTATTGTATTTCTATTTAATGTGCGTCTATCATGAGCTACCGCCACATTATAGACTATATATATATTGATCTACCTATTGTGCTAGTCAAATAGCCAGTTAATGTATTTTATATCTGCACAGCTTTAAATTCTTCAAACAGTGCTATTGGTGATGGTTTGTGCAGCAATACATAGACATGTTGAGATGCAGTGTTCTGACACTAGTTGCGGAGCCTATTCTGCTTGCAGGCGATATGCCATGAGCAAGCCTACACGTTAGTCTATTTCCCGTTTACTGTGCTGTGTGCCCAATAGTGCTATGAGGAAGAGAAACCTACATTTAAACTTTAAAATGTGATTTAGTTGTAAAGAGAAATGCCATCAACTTAGAACATATTTTATATATGAAGATATGTTAGGTTTAAACAGAAAATTAAAATCTAAAGACTGTACCCAAAACCTAGAAGACGCTTAGGCAAACATGATTAGTAAAGGGTACTACGGCACCATGATAAGGGACTTTCAACACTAAATTATAAATAAACGTATAATATAAAAAAAATAAGAATTTCACTAAAAACGGGTGTAGCAGAGTTTATAACTTTTTATTGTATCTTTTTATGAACTTATGAATATACCTCTGAGTTTCAACTTTGCTATCGTCATTGTAAAAATAATTTTTTTGGGGTTTTTTTTTAGATGTCTTTCTGCCAGAGGGGAGTGCGGCTCCTGCTAATCAATTTTTGCATGAATTGCCAAGCTACCAGTCCCTTCTAAGAAGGAAACCCTCTAACTATGGGACAGTAGAAAGACGCAGAAGTACCCGACGACTGACAACTTCTCTGTCGCGTGAGCCAAGTCGTGTAGGCTCCATCCATGAAGAACCAAGCATTCCCTTACGTGACTATGCATTAAGTATCCAAGATAAAAGAAAAATAAGGTTTGGAGTCAGGCTGTCATTATTCTTTACTTGTGACTGATACAAAACTAATTTTATGTGTAAGAGTGTTGCTTCATTTGGAGGAATAAGTTAATGAGTAATTAAACGGTTTCTTCATTACTGTCTACAGTGATTTGGGGGGCGATTTTGAGTTTCCTGAGGGGACTTAAAGGAACATTATAGTCACCAAAACGTGTTTAGCCTAATGAAGTCGTTTTGGTGTATAGATAATGCCCCTGCAGTCTCACTGCACAATTCACTGCCATTTAGGCATTAAGTTACTTTTGTTTCTGTTTATGCAGCCCTAGCCACACCTCCCCTGGCTGTTACTGACACAACCTGCATGGAAACAGAATGGTTTTATTTTCAATCAGATGTAACTTCCTTTGTTTTTATCTCCTGCACTGTAAATTTAACTTTTATTACATACAGGAAGCTCCAGCCTATTCTAGCACACTTTTAACAGAGCAGGAGATACATTCTAAATGAAACAATGAAGTGTAGACATTAGATGACTCTTTACTGGAAGTGTTAAGTAAGGCAGTGACTAGGGACTCTGGGACCCCTCGTGACTTGGGGGGTTATAGTTTGAGTGGAGAAAAAGTCCTCACCCTGCGTCAATAGATGGTTCCAATTGGGATAATAAGTCCTACCCCCTTTATTACTTTGGGACCTACCTGCCACCAATGGGTGGGGGTTGTGGGGGGACAATCGGTCCAAGACTACGTATTATGCCATAGTGGGTGCTTGGGGGAACAATAGATCCACCCCCACTTTATTAATCAGGATCCTCACCCGCCGGCAGTATGGAAATACTCAGATTCCAATACCAGACCTGACTATATGCTTACAAAACTCCCTGACCTTGTGCAAGTGTACCTAGAAGAATTAATGCTGTTTAAAAGGTAAAGGGTGGTCACACTAAATATTGTTTCAGTTTAGATTTTACTTCTGTTCACTCAACTTTGCATTTTGTTAACTGATAAAAAAAATTAAATATGAATAGCAGTTTGACTTTTTAAAGTATTCTTACTTTAGCATTCCCTCCCTCTGGCCATCCACATTATTAGCCTTTTCTAACACCTGCCTAAAACTTTTCCACAGTAGTGTAACTATTTCATGTTCCATAGTTAAATAGAACAATGTATATGTCTTTCCTGTTGTACCTTTCAAAGTTGTCGTTTTTCATTTGATCTGTAACAATACCATACTTTATTGTCCTTCTTTCTGTAGGCTTTATGTGGGTTAACCGTAATATTAATTAGCTCCTTTTTCTTTCCTCACAAGTCACTAAACAACAAATTGTAGTTAAATGAAAGCAATGCAAATTGAATTCCAATTTCGAAGCAAAAATAACTAAGTTTGGAAATATTCTCCAAATGAATTATAGTCACAGTTTGTTTTTTGTTTGTTTTTTTGCCTGAATTTTTAAATTTGGTTTCTCTTTCTCTACTTTTCGGTATTTCATGAATATACTCCCATGTATACCTTTGCTAATGACCGATCTTAAAGGGACCATCAAACCAGCTTTTTAACTTACATTCTATAACAATCTTTTGCTGAGATAACAGCATATTTAATTTGTGTTAATCGTTGTCCAGGTTTGCAACAAAAAAAGGAAAATTTAATCTATGCGGGTAAAACCTCCAATTGTTAGTTACATTTTCAGCTTTTATATCTAACATGAAATGGGCAGCTAAGTTTTATGAGTTTTACCAATGAAAGCTGTCACAGCTCTGCTGAGTTTATCGGAATATTTTTGCATTGGAAAACCCTAAAATCTACCATGGGTGTTATTAGTGACTTTATGTGAGTTGTAATCATGGGCATTGCATGTGCATGTAAGTGAAATCACATGGGCTGTGCGACACACCTGTACTTTGTATGTTGATGTTTCCACAGTTTGTACTGTGAAAGGAGGAGCCATGGATAAACTGCAAGAGAGTTTATTCAGAGCACTGGGCATGTTATAATTGCAGAGGAGCATATTAAAAAAAAAAGCTCTACCTACCTTCATTGTTTCCTATACAGCTTTTTAATCCTGAGTACTTGGTATATAATCCTGTTCAGATCTCCTTTTGACAGATTGATATCCTGCAAGGGTTGAGCTAGACTATTAACATATAGCCCCAGCCTCTAGTGAATTAGGAGTGATTTAAAGGTCATCTTTCTCTGTTGACTTCTTAATACTATAAGCAGGTAAATAGGATTTTTGTCATTTTCTATATTTACCTGTTTCTTCTGCTCTGTGTTTTCCATGCCTATCTTAGGGGGACACTGATCCAGCCATTCGGTTTCTTATCCACAGGTTTCATGTAAAATAGAATTACGCATGCCATTCATGTAGGTCACAAACTCATTCATTGCCATGTAATTCTTTCAACTAATGTGTTTGTGAGCTATATGTCACACACTGCTCAGTTAACTGTACTGTTGTAAGGTAAACATATTTATGTCACGTGGTTCCCTTTTTTCAATAGGACAAATCTACCGTCGACGCTTTTGGTTTATAAAAAAATGTTACTCAGTCTAAACATATAAACTCTACTTCACTCCACCCCCCCCTTCCCCCAACAAACACACGCAGTCACCCTCTTACACTCACTTTATCATAGCACCCCCTAACAGAGTTTCACTCATAAACACACAGTAACCCCTCGCACTCTCTCTATAACAGCCTTCCCTCACAGAGTGTCACTCATAAACACACAGTAACTCTTCACACTCACTCTATCACAGCATCCCCTCACAGAGTGTCACTCATAAACACACAGTAACCCCTCACACACATAACACAGATACACAATAGGAGACATGCACACACAGGTCAGTACACAATGCCAGACACACACTGATTGTGTGTCCTTGTGTTTGTGTTCGTGTATTAGAGTGTGTGAATGTGTATCAGAATGTGTGTGTATGCATTGGTGTATATTCGAGATGGATTGATATCGTTTATCCAGAGCTGATGCCAAAACAGATTATTAGTTGTCTTTTGGGCCAATTGCGGATAACCAGTGCTAATATTCTGTACATTTAAAATTTTGAAAAAGCAACACAATTTCTAGATAGAACTGGCATGAACTTATAAAACTTAATGAACTTATATTAAGTATATAAATGTTTATTATATACTTTTCAAACTTCTCTTGATTTATTTTAGTTTGCATATTTGTGTAAACCGTGTTTGCTTGCAGCCTTAAAAAAATAAAAATTGTCAAGTGATGCATGTCCTTTTTAACGGATGAAAAGTAGGGCCAAACCTGAGGTGTTCTCCTACTTATATTTTTAGAATTTGACCCCTGGCAGATGTAATTTGTCTAGGTATTTCCTTGTTATGCTGAGAAAGAAGCAATAAGGAAGAGAGACTGCAATATAAAAATTTTGCATTCTTGGTTTCTGTTGAGAACAAAAAAAAACATTTGCTCTGACTTGAACCACTCTAATATTGAAATGGAGCTTTCAATAAATTAATAATATAATGCTTTGCAGAAATCATTAGAGTATATAAAATCTTTTTGTGATTCTAATACTTCTTACCAACTTTAAAAGTATTTCAATATCTTTTAGAACCCAGTTTCTCACACTGTTCCTTATGGTTATTTTGAGAAGTCCAGATGGTACTCAAGGACCAGTTTAAATTCAGATTTTATTGGTATTTGATAGGAAATTGTTTAATAATTTGCCAATATTAGGTGCAATTGGACATAATAATATGTTACTACTACTATGTCCCTAAACATAGAAACATTGTCAGGGGGTTAATCACTAAAGTGTACCTTATTAGAAATTCACAGTAAATGTAAATGAAAAAATAGAATTAGGAATTTTGGCCTAACATTTTAAATTCACTTTGGATTCTTGACAATTCACTGCTAGTGAATAACCCAGTATTTTAGAACACAGTTATATTGCTGCTTTGTTTATCCTTTGCATAAAAAAGATTCAAAACATTTTTTAAATAATGGCCTCGATTTTAATATTTTTCAATAAGCTAAAGAATTATATTTTTCAAAATATATTATTATATTTAAAAAAAAATCCTATATAAAAATATCAACTAATTAAGTAATTCTAAAAGTTTATTTAAAACTTTGAAATAATGGTAATGAGTCTTAAGTTGGAATGTTAATTTTTTTTTTTTTTTTAAGAATTTTCTGTACTTGAGATTACCTCTTTATTTATATATTTCACATATATAGGGATAGTCAAACATCACGCCCTCCATACACCAGCGGATGGAATCAATGGAGAGAGAGCAGTTGGAATCAAGCAAGAAGATACAAGGATGACCTTTCAGCCTTATTCTCCCATTTAAAGCTGTGGCAATGTAATATTAACAGCATTGAGGGTAAATAAATTTTTATTTTCTCTTTCTCTGGCATTCATCTGAACTCTCAATCTTGCATGTGTGTGTTGTTGAGAATTAAATCAGGTAGAATATTTATTTAATTTTTTTTTTTTTTTTGCTACACACTTTCTTCTGAATTATTTGATTGTTGTCTTTTTCATGTCTGTAAAAAAACTAAAACTATAGCTTGATCTCATTTTGTAACATTTAGTATGCTGAATTGTGCTATTTTCAAATGCAATGCAATGTACATGATTTTTATTGATAAGGCACAGGACACTATACTCAATGTATCTTTTTTTTTTTTTTTTACCTTTTTTTTACCTTTTTATCTTAAGAATAGCTGCCAACACCTTAAAGCCACACTTTAGGGTATTGGCCGCATCATTTAAATAAAAATAAATAAAAATATATATATATATTTTAACCCCTCCCGACTGCATTACATTTTATTGTCCCTCTAGTCACTCCCAAATGCCCCTTGCCCCCCATTTTAAAAATCTTTATTTTGAGCCCAGACCTGGGCGACACCATCTTTGTGTGGGCAGATGAAGACCCTGCGGGCACGTCATCTGCCCTCACTAGATAGCACTGTGAAATTCCCGCGAATGCCCAGTTGAACATTTGGGCATTCTCTATTGTCCCATATTCAGACAAGAATTTCGGCTATTCATTTGTCAGAAAGACGTGTCTCCCTCCCTGTAGTATGTGAAAATGGAAACTATGGGGAGCAGTGCTTTCAATTCTGATTTGGTATTGGAGCTGAGATGTGGCACTTGATGGACCCCCGGTATGAAATGAAACCGTTCAAAACCAGTCTGACTACTTACAATAAGAGGGCACCAGGGTAGTCCTGCACCATAAGTACTACAGCGAGCTGTTGTGGTTATGGTGCTTGGAGTATTCCTTTAAGAGGTGATATTGATGCATAGTTATGAATTCAAAGTGAATTTGAAATTTAAGGTAAAAATAACCAAAAATTCAGCTATGCTTTCCATTCAGCTACTCTTGCCGTACACTTGAAATACACATTAAATTATCTTTGAATTCTCACTTTAATGAACAATCCTGTTAGTGGGTTAAAACAATTGTTGTAAACGTTTTTGGTTGACCTGTGTATTGAGGGACTTTTTGATTCCTGAAAGGAAGCAAACCTGCAGGTCATGTAATAGTGAGCTTTAAAGGTTAGGGGATCCCCAGAGACTTCTAGTAAAAGTGAGAAGACAGAGCAGCTAAGGTACCAGGATCGCTGTGTAAAACCCAGAGAAGAGCATGAAGATTGTTTAGGAGAGTATTTTTATAATGCAGTACAGTTTTGTGTTTTCATAACATCACATAGTGTTCCTTTAATAAATAGCAATTAATGTGGAACACCTAAAATAATTTCACATAAGTTAATAATAAAATATTAACTGTCTGTCTTAGTCTTCTACCAAGAAAGGCTTCAGGGTTATTCACTATAATGTGACTTTTTAGGAATTCAAAATAAATTTAACATTATAGTTGACTTTTTTCCCATTTCACCTTTTGTGCCCTGAAATTTAAAATTCACTCTGAATTCCTGACATTTCTGACTTGGAATTAAAGTGAATAACTGATAACTCTTTATGTATATTCTCAAATTTTAAGTTATTTTCTGAAATATATATCTTTCATTCCAGGTAAATTTGGCACGGGTATTGGATCATACTTCTCCTTCCTCAGATTTCTGGTACTACTGAATCTTGTGATCTTCATTCTGATGTTTAGTTTCACCACGTTGCCCGTTGCGATTTCCAAACAAGGCATTTTCAACAGCAGCCAAATTATTCCAGTCGGCACTGGTACGCATGAATGCATGCTTTAAGGTTCATACCCCAAAAAATTTAATTGAAAACTATATGCAAGCTTTTAAAAAAATCGCAAGTTTGGAAAAATACGTCTGACGTGTGCAGGAGAGAGAAGGCACTTTGTGCGCGCCTTCTCTCTCCTGCCTGTCAGCAGAGGAAAGGGAGCAGGCAAAGACCGCGAGCTGTCAGTCAGCTCAGCTCGCCACCGCGCACATGCGCGGTAGTGCGCTCAGGACTTCAGAGGGCAGCATGAATGCCACCCTATGAAGTATGTGCGCATGTGTGGCAAAGCCGCATTTGCGCACAAAGGAGCAATGACGCTTCCAAATGGAAGCATCTGATTGCTCCCTGCTAGCACCCGCCTATTTCGCCATTTTGAATGAATGCCGCCCTATGAAGTATGTGCGCATGTGTGGTGAAGCTGCGCATGCGCACAAGGGAGCAATGAGAGCAAATGAGACTATCTAATTGAAATATCTGTGTTTAACTTGATTATTTCAGCAGAAACACCTCTAGAGGCATGTTAACCCTGCAATGTAAACATTGCATGTTAACCCTGCAATGTAAACAATGCTTTTAGTTGCAGGGTTAAAATACAGGTGCATGGCACCTCGACAACCTAATTGAGATGAAGTGGTCTGGGTGCCTATAATGTCCCTTTAAAAATGGTTGAATGTGTAATGGAAGGACAGCCCCAGAGAACTCCAGACGCTATAACCACTTCAATGAGACAAAGCAGTTACAGTGTATCTATTTAAAAATGCACAAGCTTGGTTATTTAATATCAAAATCAAAAATATTTTACTTTTTCAGATGTCTCCTGCACAATCTACTCACCTGCTGGTCAAGGGCTTCTGTATTTCTATAAAAACATCATAGATCTGCTTTCTGGAACGGTACGTGTTATACTACTATACTTCACGTAATATTATGAGACACACTAATGTGAATCCATATGAATTAGACACTTGAAATTATCTTGTCAACCCATATGTTTACTCTACAATGCTGCTATATGAGATAACAGAAAATATCAATAATGTTAGCTTTGTAAAACTTATATGGTAGTCTAAGTTGTAGACCATTTCTCTTCCTCGGATCATTTGGTAATAAAAGTAAGAAGATATGGACCAGTAGAGGACTATGCTATGGTGAGGCGGGGTGGCTTTAGAGTGTATTTTGTAACATAACTCTAATTATATTTTTATGGAAATATTTTTAATTTTTTTTATTGGTTGTATAGCACAACTGATCACTGAAACTACAGTTTTTTAATTTGTATTTTTTCATTTTCAGGGTTTCCTTGAACTCACATATCTATTCTATGGTTATTATACTGTAGAGTCTGTCACTGTGTATATCTTCAGCTACAGTTTGCCTCTTGCCTATGTGCTTGTCACAATTTCCTACCTGTTTTTGAGTGTTATTTGGATAGTTAAACGGTAAGTCATTTTTTTTTTCCACCTGGTTTTCCAAACTATGAATAATTGTGTATCTGTCACCAGATTTATGTTTGTTGAATTCTGTATAAAATAAAAATCAATAATCATGTCAACAATATTACCATGTATCCTTGCTTTATTGAATTTTGCTTTAAAGGACCACTATAGTGCCAGGAAAACATACTCATTTTCCTGGCACTATAGTGCCCTGTGGGTGCCCCCACCCTCAGAGTCCCAATCCCGCCATGCTCTAGGGGGCGGAAGGGGGTTAAACACTCATCTTTCTCCAGCGCCGGGCTCCCTCAGCGCTGGGGACTCTCCTCCTCCTTCCGACGCCATCGGCTGAATGCGCATGCGCGGCAAAAGCCACGCGTGCATTCAGCCAGTCCATAGGAAAGCATTCTCAATGCTTTCCTATGGACTCTGATGTCTTCTCTCTGTGAAAATCACAGTGAGAAACGCGGATGCGCTTCTAGCAGCTGTCAATGAGACAGCCACTAGAGGATGGATTAACCCAAATGTAAACATAGCAGTTTCTCTGAAACTGCTATGTTTACAGCAGGCAGGGTTAACTCTAGATGGACCTGGCACCCAGACCACTTAATTGAGCTGAAGTGGTCTGGGTGACTATAGTGGTCCTTTAATTATCATTAGAACATCTGAGTCACCATTTTCGAGCCTTCAGTTATGGTACAGATGTAAAATAGCTGCTTTTAGCACATGATATTGAGTGCTAATTAGTATCGGTCACTTTCACAGTGGAGCTTGTAGAGCTAGTTACTGTTTTGTGTGGCTCACTGGTTGCTTGTTTTGCTTAAAAATTTTTTTTTTAAAAATCAAGAAAGTTTTCTTGGTGTGCTTTAACCAGGGGTAGAACATTAACACATGCCACGATAACTTGATAACTAGCTTCATGATATTCTGTGTTTGAAACGGTGGGATTACTGGGCCAGGGGGTGGAGAATCAATGAACGTTGGGAGGTTGGAATTTTTCTCATTTGGACCTTCAACCAAAATCTAGTTGTTCCACTGACTTTTTAATCATTTCACTATGTTCTTCATTATAGGGCTGTAGAAGGCTTTAAACTGAGTCTTGTGAACAATGAAGATAGATTTCAGAGCTATTGCAATAAAATCTTTGCAGGCTGGGATTTCTGCATTGCCGATGTGCAGTATGCTCGATTGAAACACAGCAGTTTGCACCATGAGCTAAAGGTTAGTTTCTTGGTAGTTATTTTGTAACAGAGAGTGGTACAGTACCGATATGCAATTTCCAGCTGTGGCGTTAAATAGATCAAACTTGTTTTTCATGTTACTTAAGTTACAGAATGGAAGCTAGAACAATGGTGTGTGATTGTAATCGTGAGTGATTGTAACAGAGGTGAAATAAGTATCGGTGGTAAATGAAGATAGCATCCCATTGTTGCACATTAAAAAAAATTGCCAAGACTTATTCTTTTCAGCAAGGTGCCCATACAGGTTTCTTTTTGTATTGGGTAAGACTAAATAAAGTGCTTGTTCAGAGGTTATAAGAGGTGGGAACAGCTGGGGAGAGGTAGGGTGGGAGCTTCCCTGAAAATCTCTTATGCCCATGAATGGAAAGATATAGGGTGCGTCTTGATTCCAGTGATAGCTAGTTTAGCTTTTTTAACATGTCACAATGGTAGGTCAATATAATTACATTGTAGCACAAAACATCAGAATGAGTTATACAATGTAGTACATTTATTAAGGTGGGTTTGCTGTTCAGGTGCATACACTACATTCCCATAATCAATGACTGGCATAAGCATTTGTTGTACAATCTTTTTCTTTACTGTGGGATGTAGGCAGGATTGGTTCTGTACAGGTTTTAATGAGTGTTTTATGTGGAGGCCAAAAGATAGATTGAAATCTAGCAACATACCCAAATATTTGAAAGAATGGACTGTGGTCAGTGTCAGTGGCGGGCCGGGCCGCAACACATGGCGGTGGGCACCTGGTCGCAGGGGTTACAGGGCTGCGACTGTGGTATGTACGCCAGTGCATGCAGATGCACACACACTTAAAGGAGCACTACAGACACCCAGATCACATCAGCTCAATGAAGTTGTCTGGGTGTCAGGTCCTCTAGTTTTAACTCTGCAGCTGAAAACATAGCAGTTTCGGAGAAACTGCTATGTTTCACTGAGGGTTAATCCAGCCTCTAGTGGCTGTCTCACTGACAGCCGCTAGAGGAGCACACTGAACGTCCATAGGAAAGCATTGAGTAATGCTTTCCTATGGCCGGTTTGAATGCGTGCGCGGTCGCATTCGGAGCTGAGAGGCTGAGGGATCCCCAGCGCCAAGGGAGTCCGGTGCTGGAGAAAGGTAAGTGCTGAGGACACACACACTCTCACTTACAGACGCATACACACTAGCTAACAGACACACACATTTACTGACAGAGACACACTCAGCGACAGACATACACACTCACTTACAAAACATACACTCTCATTGACAAACACACACTCACTAAGACACACACAGTAACTCACTCTAACACTTACACTAACACTCACACTAACACGTGTTTTTTTTAAAAATGTAATCCCCCCAGCCTCAGTGGTGCTGCTGGGCTCCTGGGCGGGTGGCCGGTCGGGCAGGCGGGCGCGCAAGGGAGCACTCAGTGCTTCCTCTTCAGCTCCCTCGCGCGCCGCGTAGGGATGCCGGCGCCGGAAGATGACGTCATCTTCCGGCTACGGTATCAGTGCGGTGCTCGAGGGAGCTGAAGAGGAAGCACTGAGTGCTCCCTCGCGCGCCCGTCTGCCCGACCAGCCACCCGCCCGCCCGCCGGGGTCAGCAGGGCCAGCCTCGGGGGGCCCTGGGGTGGTCGGCTCCTGGGCCCCCAGGGGAAGAGGCTGGCCCTGTGGGTACACACCGGGTCGCAGGGGCGGCCGGGCCCCCTGGTGGGCCGGGCCCGGTCGCAGCCGTGACCCTGGTATGTACGCCACTGGTCAGTGTGCTGTTTGATTTTGTTCTGATGCATAGATGTGAATTTTGTAATTTGTGTAATTTAGGTACTGTTTCAAAGATCACTGTGACAGTTTTGTCAGTGTTTAGGAAGAGAATTTTTTTTTTTTTTTTTTTTGCGATCCACCTTAACTCTGTGAACTGGTCTTGGAGCATAGCCTCAAGCTGCGGTAGATTTGGTTTGCTTGCATAGATTACTTTGTCATCTGCGAAGATGTGTACATTTGAGGCTTTGCAGACATTAGGCAGATAACTTATGAATAATGGGAATAGTAGGAGGCAGAGTATGTAGCCACAAGGAACACTATACGTGACTGGGAGATGGAGGGAGTCGCTGTCAGAAATGGACACATATTGAGATCGATCCGATAAAATAAAAATTATAATTTTGTTATTTTTCTAAATATGTTATAACCCACATGTGACTGATCTTCATGAAGATAGATCCTAGGTATTTATGTAGATCAGTGTATAGAAAGATTAGATGAGTCAATCAAAGGGACACTGTAGGCACCCACACCACTTCAGCTCATTGTAATGGTCTGGGTGCAAACTCCCATTACCCTTAACCCTGAGCATGTAATTATTGGAGTTTTTATAAACTGCAATATTTACCTTCTAGTGTAAACTCCTCCTCTAGTGGCTGTCTACCAGACAGCCACTATAGGGACTTCTGGGTGAGTAGGCGATTTTTGGTCACCTAAACGATGCTGGAAGACCACACTATGCATGAAACTTCCAGTGTCACCGGAATCCCCACAGGAAAGCAATGAATAAGGGGACCGTTGCCGGGCATATGCATTAGGTCTCGCCTGCCGTTAGACGTCAGCAAGGGAGGAGCGTGGGCAGAGCTGAGCCAGCGCCGAGCGATAACGGAGCTGGACACAAGTAAGTGACCGAAAGGGTTATTTTTGCACCACGGGCGGTGGGCTTGACAGAGGGGGAAGTATAGTGCCAGGAAAACAAGTTTGTTTTCCTGACACTATAGTTTCCCTTTAAGTGTTATTTATGAAATGCATTTGAAATTGGGTGATTTATGATTTTATTTTTTATTTTTCAATTAGGGCACTTGAAGTTGTGCCTGAAATGCAAACAGTTAATTTACCAACCACACATATGAATCAAAATAAAATAAAATATGGAATATAAGGGAATCCACTTCTTCTCATACATCTTATTTTATTTCTGGAACCCAATCTCTTGTTATGATAATGCAAAAAAATATAACTTCCTGTTGTTTTAAAAAGGAAATCTTACCTTTGCTCTACGCTTTCTTTGACCTTCCTTTTTATTAATTATAATACGACACGGAAAGGCTTTTCCCCTGGGTATTTTCAGCCATTGTCATTGTAACTCATACCTTATTTCATGCAAGCTAACACAGGTTACCAAGTGATTTGTTGTTCTGTGCCTGTTGTATAGCTGCAGGGATGCGTGTTCACTCTAGTGACAGAGGAATAATGGAAACACAAAAAAAGAGTACTGGGCGCCTTAAAATTGTGTTCTTTATTTCAATCACATACCCTCGCAAACATGTCCCTGTGCTTATCCTGGACATATAAAACGAATTGAATTATTCATAATAGCAGCAGACATTTAGTGTGTTCAGTTGGCAGAGGGGCGTTTTCTGTGTGTGTGTGTGTGTGTGTGTGTGTGTGTATATATATATATATATATATAAACTATACAATTTCTGGCACTCTTCCCAAATAATAATACATACCAGGTGCTTCTCTGTGCAAAATACTATAAACAAAGCAAAAAATGAGAGCACTCCATGGATTTGGTAAATCAAATTACTGTATTCAAATAGCACAAAAAAAAAATCGACGTTTCGACCGTCTAGCGGTCTTTATCAAGATGCTGTCATATACAAAAACCTCAAATATATACATAAACGCTTGTTAAACTTACCCAATCACCAAGTGCTCCCTGTGTGTCCAATCTGCCATATGAGTGAAGCCGCAAATTGTGAATCGTTATGTTAATTGCCGTAAAGTGACGTGTGGTGAAATCACCATGTGTTGCCTAGAGACGGCACAGCTGTTTAAAAACCAAATGTCGGCAGAGATTTAAAATCAATACGGAGGATAAATAAAATTATATGTTGCATATGTGTTTTCATAAATGTCTAAGCAACTGCCTAACTGATCGTAGGATACTAGAGTGAGCCAGGAATGGCTAGAAACAATTGCTCATATAGGGACTCAGTTAGAAAGACTGGTGTATTGGTAACTGTAGACCTGTGTAGCCTAATAGAGCTAACTCAAATACTACCTAACTCCTTATTAAATTGGGAACCCTAGCTGGGAAAGCCATGTGTGTTGCCAAATCACAAACCTAAACAATAAGAACAGGCATCAATTACAAAAAACAGGCTGGCTTAGCATAATGTGAGTTGTCAGTATATAACAGAGAGTGTGTGTGATGTTGACCCTTTATCTACTGGGGTCCATTTATAGTGTAGAGTGATCAGCATGTGTGTGATGAAATAAATAAACACAGGGAATATTAAATGGTGAGTGACAAATCAGTATGTGTGAATTCCAAACTAGTAAAAAATAAAGCAAGAATGGGAAAATCCTGTACTAAATCAATCTACGGTATGTATGTGAGACACTGTAGAAAAGAGTGTATGTGTGCTACTAAGATCATTCTCCGGTGTGTGTGTGAAATGATGTAGTAAAAAATGTGAGTATACTGCCTGACCTCTAGAAATGAGACAATCAATGAAAAGTGAAAAAGACTGTGCAGCTGAAACATGCACTAAAAGTGTAATGAGCCCTCGTGAATAATGAGAATGCACTGTCAGAAAGGTAAGATTGCAATAAAAAAATATAAATAAATAAATAAAATGAAATAAAAAATATATACAAAATACAATAAAATAAAAATAAATATCAAAATAAATAAAAAATATAATAAAAATAAAAATAACAAAAAATAAAAATAGTAAAAATAAACAATAAAGAGAAAATAAACAATAAAAAATGTAACAGTGATCCTACTAACTATATGCCAGTGCAGCCTCCAAGATCGGCATGCTAGGTAATGGAAAAGAGAAAAATTAGGTAAAAGGAGAGAGGGTCCTACTATAAGAACCTTATGTCACTGGGTATTTATCAAAAAGCCAAAAGTGCCTAGATGTATGTACTATCCCCAATCACCAATTGGAAGTCCACAACCCTTTCTTGCAGCTCTGTATTGTAACTCCCACCGGCAGGAAATCAGATGGAAATAATTCACAATGTCCTCTTTATTATGGGATGGTCATTAAATCCTGAGTCAAAATCTCGCATCCAAGTCATTTACTGCTCAGCGATATCAACGGATATCCAAAAAACAACTAAATGAGTTGTATTCGTTTAATCCTTTCGGTTGGACCGTATCCAGATGTGTGATCCAAAAGGTTTCCCTTTGTAAAAGTAACTTTGATCTGTCGCCTCCGTGGGATGTGGTCTATCATAATGAACTTAAGCGTGGGTAAATGGTGTTGGAAATCTAGGAAGTGTTTTGCCACAGGTTTATCAGTCTTCCCATCCCGGTACGCCGTCATGATTCCTGATCTGTGACCACGAATACGGTCCCTTACTGTAAGGTCTGTTTTACCCACATAATATTTCCCACATGGGCATGAAATGAGGTATACTGAATTGTGAGCAATTTAAACTCCACCATTAAATTTACTTTGACGTACAGCCCAGATAAAATCCAATTCTTGGATGTGGAGATATTCCGGAAGGATCGAAACATTGGACATCGATTATTTAGAAAACCCTCAGACCGCAACACGCTGCTACACGCCAACAGCGCTCATCCCAAAGCCCTAAAGGAGTCTTTACCTATTTCGCAATACTTAAGAGTGTACAGGAATAACTCGGAGGAAAGCACATGTAAAACTCAACTAGAGGACATGACCAGATCCTTTGTGGAACGAGGATACACATATAAAGTGCTCCAAGAATGTCAAATAAAAGCAGAAAATATATACAGGGGCATATCTACTAAACAACTTCAAAATCTGCCCAGAATTACGATCCCTTTATCATACCACACGGAGAACCAGAGATTTTCCCACAGGATTAAAGGGAGATGGGACATCTTATCCAGCGACAGAACACTTAATCCGTTTTTTTTTACAGAAACCAAGGGTCGCATATTCACGCAACAGAAACTTGAAGGACATTTTAGTAAAAACAGATATACCGAGCCAATATAATACACGAACATTGCATACCAAGAAAGGCTGTTTCAAGTGTTCAGGTTGCGTCACCTGTGGACACATGCTGACAGGCTCTTCCTTTGCACATCCCCACACAGGCAAAAGAATCCAGATCAAACATCGACTAACCTGCATGAGTGACCATGCAGTATACCTCATTTCATGCCCATGTGGGAAATATTATGTGGGTAAAACAGACCTTACAGTAAGGGACCGTATTCGTGGTCACAGATCAGGAATCATGACGGCGTACCGGGATGGGAAGACTGATAAACCTGTGGCAAAACACTTCCTAGATTTCCAACACCATTTACCCACGCTTAAGTTCATTATGATAGACCACATCCCACCGCTCACAAGAGGAGGACGACAGATCAAAGTTACTTTTACAAAGGGAAACCTTTTGGATCACACATCTGGATACGGTCCAACCGAAAGGATTAAACGAATACAACTCATTTAGTTGTTTTTTGGATATCCGTTGATATCGCTGAGCAGTAAATGACTTGGATGCGAGATTTTGACTCAGGATTTAATGACCATCCCATAATAAAGAGGACATTGTGAATTATTTCCATCTGATTTCCTGCCGGTGGGAGTTACAATACAGAGCTGCAAGAAAGGGTTGTGGACTTCCAATTGGTGATTGGGGATAGTACATACATCTAGGCACTTTTGGCTTTTTGATAAATACCCAGTGACATAAGGTTCTTATAGTAGGACCCTCTCTCCTTTTACCTAATTTTTCTCTTTTCCATTACCTAGCATGCCGATCTTGGAGGCTGCACTGGCATATAGTTAGTAGGATCACTGTTACATTTTTTATTGTTTATTTTCTCTTTATTGTTTATTTTTACTATTTTTATTTTTTGTTATTTTTATTTTTATTATATTTTTTATTTATTTTGATATTTATTTTTATTTTATTGTATTTTGTATATATTTTTTATTTCATTTTATTTATTTATTTATTTATTTATTTATTTATATTTTTTTATTGCATTCTTACCTTTCTGACAGTGCATTCTCATTATTCACGAGGGCTCATTACACTTTTAGTGCATGTTTCAGCTGCACAGTCTTTTTCACTTTTCATTGATTGTCTCATTTCTAGAGGTCAGGCAGTATACTCACATTTTTTACTACATCATTTCACACACACACCGGAGAATGATCTTAGTAGCACACACACACTCTTTTCTACAGTGTCTCACATACATACCGTAGATTGATTTAGTACAGGATTTTCCCATTCTTGCTTTATTTTTTACTAGTTTGGAATTCACACATACTGATTTGTCACTCACCATTTAATATTCCCTGTGTTTATTTATTTCATCACACACATGCTGATCACTCTACACTATAAATGGACCCCAGTAGATAAAGGGTCAACATCACACACACTCTCTGTTATATACTGACAACTCACATTATGCTAAGCCAGCCTGTTTTTTGTAATTGATGCCTGTTCTTATTGTTTAGGTTTGTGATTTGGCAACACACATGGCTTTCCCAGCTAGGGTTCCCAATTTAATAAGGAGTTAGGTAGTATTTGAGTTAGCTCTATTAGGCTACACAGGTCTACAGTTACCAATACACCAGTCTTTCTAACTGAGTCCCTATATGAGCAATGTTTCTAGCCATTCCTGGCTCACTCTAGTATCCTACGATCAGTTAGGCAGTTGCTTAGACATTTATGAAAACACATATGCAACATATAATTTTATTTATCCTCCGTATTGATTTTAAATCTCTGCCGACATTTGGTTTTTAAACAGCTGTGCCGTCTCTAGGCAACACATGGTGATTTCACCACACGTCACTTTACGGCAATTAACATAACGATCCACAATTTGCGGCTTCACTCATATGGCAGATTGGACACACAGGGAGCACTTGGTGATTGGGTAAGTTTAACAAGCGTTTATGTATATATTTGAGGTTTTTGTATATGACAGCATCTTGATAAAGACCGCTAGACGGTCGAAACGTCGATTTTTTTTTGTGCTATTTGAATACAGTAATTTGATTTACCAAATCCATGGAGTGCTCTCATTTTTTGCTTTGTTTATATATATATATATATATATATATATATATATATATATATATATATATATATATATATATATATATATACTTACTGTTTAGTATAACCACTTGGTATAAGCATATGTACAGGGATAAATTATGAGTCTGTGTCTCAAAATCTCCCAAATTTCTTCAGCTAATCATTCAGAAATGTACCCAATATAATAAAAAAGTAATACTGTAATATTTTTTATATGGTATATTTGCCCAATTAAAATAACTGCCAGTTACATAAAAACCCGCATTAGGCCTTCCCCTTAGGGAAGCTTTGATTTTTCAAGATGCTGGACATCGTTATACAAAACGTGAGGACATCCAGCCTCATTTCATGGAGTCAAACTCTGTAAAACTGCAATGTTTTTCATTGCAGGGTTAAGGACACATGGACCTCACCCAGACCACGTCAATGAGATCAAGTGGTCTTCGTGCTTGTAGTGTTACTTTAACAAAACTGTCCAATTCCTTGCTAAGTTTTAGAAACACACATACAAGGCATATAACAATTTTCATATAAAAATGCTAAGAATCTTGCTACGCTACTGGTATGGGACAGCTTTCTTACGTCACTGGTATAGCATATCTGATACCAAGCCGACGCACCATTGACTGCTCTGCAAACAGTGTTCCCATGGCTGTCGTTGGACACATGGACCTCTAGGGGTATCTCCCGGGTGAAAGATTTTTATAATAATGGAAAAAAGCTGTCCTTTCAGACCTTACAGCACAAATGCAAAATCTCAGATCAGGAAACATTTGCCTTCATAAAATGTAAGCGTATACTTGCCACACACACTGGACCCAGATAGACTCACCCCACTTCTTCTGGTGGATAGATGCCGGTCGGCGCCTCTGAAACCAAAAACCCTTTCCTTGAGCTATAGGTATGGCTGGAACATAGGCCGGCTTACAAAGCGCAGTGGGAGGAGGAGTGTAAATACTCCCTATCGGAACATGACTGGCTCCACTCACTAACTACCCTTTCTAAATGGACAACTTGCTACTCACATACAGAGGCACATAAGAAACTAGTCTTTAAGTTGTATCTAATCCCACAAAGACTCCATAAAATATATCCCAATGTTTCTCCCTGGTGTTGGAGATGTGGTACGGAGACAGGCACGATGTAACCCATTTGGTGGACCTGTGTGGGAATCCAACCGACTTCCCTCTAGAGCCCAAAACATATCTGTTCCTGCTATTTCATAAGCGCTTCCATCAATATTATCAATTATTGGCCATAATGATACTAGATGCACGCAACCTAATAGCAACCCAATGGAAAACCACAGGATGTCCAACACTATCCCAATTGAAAGATAAAATACAACCGTATTACCACTATGAAAAGGCATGGCTGCCTACAGTGACAGACTGCCACCCAGTGACAGACCTTCCTACCACAACACAAACCAACACGGCATTGACTGCAGATCTCCCCACCTAACCCATTACTTACTGAGCAGGTATGGACGTAATGAGGCCTAAGTTTGTTTCCCTGTTAGCTATAGTTAATACAGCAGGAGCGCTTTTGGCTTTTAGTTACAGGTGTTGGTTGTATGAACTGATATGCATGTATTGTACACTCGCAAACTACGTATTGAATTGTATACATACAAAACAACGCTGTTTTGCATAATTACAGTTTTGTCTGTAGCCTGTTTTATTTTAAAATTATACTGCATTATTTTCACTTTCTAATTTTATATGGTGTACCTGGATGTTTTCCCCCTAAACATTGTTAGTTAGCAACCGTACAATTAAAGATTGAATGGTGAAAATATTTTTACGTTCACAGACGGACTTGGCAGAGGAAAGGATACGCCAAAGGAAAGATAAAAGAACAAGAGGAGAAACCATTCGTATCTGTTCCTTACGGCTGTTTTTAAATATAATTGTTATTGCAGTTTTGGGGGGCTGCTTTTATGCAGTTTACGTGGCCACCACCTATTCACAAGAGCGTAGTAACAGTGTGAGTATTACATCAGATAAATCTGTTGGGTTAGTTTGTTGTGGTCAGTCTTGATGGCGAATTATATTATTTTAACTGCTCACTGTCATAGAATACTCTTGCTTCTGTACATTAAAGGGTCACTCTAAGCACCATAATAACTGTGCATCATTGCAAAGCTTATGATGCATAGAAATGCCCGGTCACTGTACACAGTGGCCCAAAGCTGCAGAGATTTGTAAGACAGCCAGTGCCTTGGCCACATGCATGCTCAGTTGGCAACTAGAGAGATTACAGCACTCCTCTCAATTCACAAAACTATGAAGCAAGCTGTCTACCAACAAATAACAGCTACAGTATGGCTGCTATCAGGTTAGTCAGCAGTTCAAATCATTTTGTGCGATCAGTAAACGTTTGGGTGAAACATTGATGGACCAAGGTGTATGGGGCAAGGAAAACACTCATACACCAAAATGTTACGCTCCTCGGTACCTCTTATGGGTGTGGAAGTTTCTACAATTACAGCACCACTGGCCTATAAAAGTGCTGTAATTTTAGAAACTTTTAGGTGGGAAATTTCTCTTTTTATTATATTAAGGTTTTTATCAGAATGTCTTAATGCATATTTTGTCAAATACATAAAATAAATTCCTGCATGTTGCATTACTTTAATCTAGCCATTTAAGTAATAGATATATCTATATTCATGAATGCTAGACACAACTCTCTAAGAGAGCCTGGCTCCCATAATTAATGAGACTTACCAGACACATGCTTGTACTGCCAGAGGAAATCTTGCAGACAGGGATAGTGCAGTTCCTTGCATCATAACCTATGCATAGGTTGTAATGGAACTTGGAGTGCCCCTTTAATTCCTATACAGGCCATGAGGCACTTGCTACCCATATATGTTATCAAGAAGTAAAATATGGAACTGATGATATATTTTTAGGTGGGACCACAACAAACAAATGCCATCAACCTGCTCGTAGAATACCTTCCATCTATCGTAATCACCATTGCAAACTTTGTAACGCCAGTTATCTTTGAATCAATCGTGCGTTATGAAGACTACTCGCCAGCCTTTGAAATCAGGTTTACTTTAATAAGGTAATTAAACTACTTTTAATCTATTTGTTTATTACACACCATTAAAAGTTAATTGACTAATTTACCAGATGAACATTCAATACACCCACAAGGTCTTAGATTCCATACCTGTCAGGTAAAGTAATAAGGATGTACAGGAGAGGTTTTAACTGTATACAAGCTGATTAGTGGATTCTAATGCTTTTAGAATATACTGCTTTTAAAACTTGGGCAGATGGGGCATTATTATTTAAAAGTCGAGTAAGGGATGTGGCATCATTAGTTGTGAGTTTTTTTGTAGGAGAGTGATATTGGAGGAATGGTGGAGGAACAATGGCGTGTGTAGAGCATCATGTTTTTTTGTTGTGTTTTTTTTTTTTTTTAATCCATCCATCTATTCTGACCCAACTTTCTGTTCCATTGTTGAATCACATAACCTAGCAAAACATTTTTCTTACTTTTGCTTAATAAACTCATTAATTATTTATTTGAAACCTGTGTGACAAGTCAATAGTCAGAAACCACCAACAACCCGTAAGACACTTAAAGTAAGCTCATTATTACCTAAAATTACCTTACACATTTTTGATGGGTCATGAGTTTTGATTCTACTTGTTATATTTTAAAACACAAGATTTAAATGCCAATTTACAACTTGTTTGCTTTGCACAAATGTCTGTGTGAGGGATTGTGTAAAGTGGTCAGTACTTGGCAGGTAACAGGAAAACATTGCACAGTTTTCAATGGAAATCTTTTTATACAAGTATACAGGGAGTGCAGAATTATTAGGCAAATGAGTATTTTGACCACATCATCCTCTTTATGCATGTTGTCTTACTCCAAGCTGTATAGGCTCGAAAGCCTACTACCAATTAAGCATATTAGGTGATGTGCATCTCTGTAATGAGAAGGGGTGTGGTCTAATGACATCAACACCCTATATCAGGTGTGCATAATTATTAGGCAACTTCCTTTCCTTTGGCAAAATGGGTCAAAAGAAGGACTTGACAGGCTCAGAAAAGTCAAAAATAGTGAGATATCTTGCAGAGGGATGCAGCACTCTTAAAATTGCAAAGCTTCTGAAGCGTGATCATCGAACAATCAAGCGTTTCATTCAAAATAGTCAACAGGGTCGCAAGAAGCGTGTGGAAAAACCAAGGCGCAAAATAACTGCCCATGAACTGAGAAAAGTCAAGCGTGCAGCTGCCACGATGCCACTTGCCACCAGTTTGGCCATATTTCAGAGCTGCAACATCACTGGAGTGCCCAAAAGCACAAGGTGTGCAATACACAGAGACATGGCCAAGGTAAGAAAGGCTGAAAGACGACCACCACTGAACAAGACACACAAGCTGAAACGTCAAGACTGGGCCAAGAAATATCTCAAGACTGATTTTTCTAAGGTTTTATGGACTGATGAAATGAGAGTGAGTCTTGATGGGCCAGATGGATGGGCCCGTGGCTGGATTGGTAAAGGGCAGAGAGCTCTAGTCCGACTCAGACGCCAGCAAGGTGGAGGTGGAGTACTGGTTTGGGCTGGTATCATCAAAGATGAGCTTGTGGGGCCTTTTCGGGTTGAGGATGGAGTCAAGCTCAACTCCCAGTCCTACTGCCAGTTCCTGGAAGACACCTTCTTCAAGCAGTGGTACAGGAAGAAGTCTGCATCCTTCAAGAAAAACATGATTTTCATGCAGGACAATGCTCCATCACACGCGTCCAAGTACTCCACAGCATGGCTGGCAAGAAAGGGTATAAAAGAAGAAAATCTAATGACATGGCCTCCTTGTTCACCTGATCTGAACCCCATTGAGAACCTGTGGTCCATCATCAAATGTGAGATTTACAAGGAGGGAAAACAGTACACCTCTCTGAACAGTGTCTGGGAGGCTGTGGTTGCTGCTGCACGCAATGTTGATGGTGAACAGATCAAAACACTGACAGAATCCATGGATGGCAGGCTTTTGAGTGTCCTTGCAAAGAAAGGTGGCTATATTGGTCACTGATTTGTTTTTGTTTTGTTTTTGAATGTCAGAAATGTATATTTGTGAATGTTGAAATGTTATATTGGTTTCACTGGTAATAATAAATAATTGAAATGGGTATATATATATATTTTTTTTTTTAAGTTGCCTAATAATTATGCACAGTAATAGTCACCTGCACACACAGATATCCCCCTAACATAGCTATAACTAAAAACAAACTAAAAACTACTTCCAAAAATATTCAGCTTTGATATTAATGAGTTTTTTGGGTTCATTGAGAACATGGTTGTTGTTCAATAATAAAATTAATCCTCAAAAATACAACTTGCCTAATAATTCTGCACTCCCTGTATCTTTGTTAAATATGTAGTTTATAAGAAAAGCTATGAAATGTCAGTTTACAAAGGGTGTGGAGTATGACTTTTGTATTTGGAAATTGCTTTCATGGTATCAGATCCCTCGATATATATGACAATGTAGCCCATTGGCCTAACCGCTATCCATGGCATATATTTTGAAAACTACAAGTCTGGCCTTAAAAGTTATTCGCCACTGCAAGCCATAGCATATTAACCAGCGGTTAAGTTTTCACTCGACAGTGATGAGTGGAAATTTGTGAGCCCTGCTCTACCATAGCAAACTTTGATAGAATGCTGAAATGCCTCAACAGTGGTTTGTCTTATAAACAAACTGGGGATTTCTTACCAGAAGGATGGATTTATGTTGTACTTGCAAGTGTCTAATTTCCAGTTTACATTGAACTTCAGAATAAAATGTCAATACTCTTTTTCTGTTTATCTGAATTGCTTTTTTCTGTGTTTGCGTCTGCCCTGCAGGTGTGTGTTTGTCCGGTTAGCCAGCATCGCTGTACTCCTGATCACCCTTTGGTCTCAGATCACCTGCCAAGACGAGACCTGCAGCCCGTGTGGATATAACAACAATCTGTACCCTGTAAGCCGGTTTGACTTTGGTATACATGATTTCCTTAAAGAAAACGTTTTCCTGACATTCAAACCACATCGTTTGCATGTTGTTTTCATAATATCACTGTTGCAAATAGAGGCAAATGCTGTTGGTAACTGTGTAACCAAAGGCAGGAGAGACATTTGCATAAACTGCTTGAAAACATGAAATGGCAAAACGAGCTTATTGGTCTAGTCCTTAAATACTGTGAGTTGTAACAGTCTGACTCCAGACAATCTATTGTTTTGCAGTTTTTTGTTTATAGGGTCATATTATTAAATTGCACAGACGATAAGGTAGAGCCTTTAAAATGGAGGTTGTGCTGCATTAAAATCTACATTAAGACAGATACTGTTTCATCAATTGTGTCCAAATGTTATTGGGAATAAAACCCATGTGTCTTGCTGCAAAAGTAATGAAAGTCTGTCTTCGACTACATACTGTGCTTTCCTTCAGCTTGGAGCATTGAATAGAACACATTATCCATCTATCCACTATTAATGCAATCCAAATCCAAAAAGTTGGTAACCTTTCACCAACACAGGGTCTATGGCAATCCTTTTGATTGATAGATTAACTTAGCCTAACTATACAGACCACAACGTGTGACTTTTCATATTTGAAGGTTTTTATTAAACTGATCTGTAGGAATACTAAATATAAGCATTTTTCTATACGGTGTGGGGCAGACCAAATACAGCCAAGGGGATAAAATCAGCTTGCATCTTCAAAAATGCTTACTTCTTTCTAGAATTTATTTGGGCCCTGTAAACCGAGTTAAAATAATATTTCTCAGCTTTAGCAGATCAACTACATTTAAAAAGGGGAACACAATAATGTAGGACATGCTTTGAATGTACTTAATTGCATTCTATATATTTACACACTGGTAGATTATCTTTATCGATAGATTTTTATTTATTTTTTCTTCATAGATTTTATTGATATGAGAAGCCTTGACTCCAATATTTCAGTATTAGATGGAAGCAATGTATAGTGTAACACTATTTACTTATTTATTCCATGTGAAAACAATTTAAACCACTCACATTTTAAAAAGCACTAAACCTCTGGTTTTACTGTTGCGTGCACTGTTTGCACTTTTATATAGTGCTTTCCATTATGTGATTGGTTGTAATTGGTTTTATGATGAATAAATAAGTAAATCATGTTGTACTATATATTTTTTTTGTTCCATCTAAAATAACAAGTTTGGAGCGAAGGCTTTGCTGAAGAACCAATAAGGAAAATCAGTGTCAGCTGATTTACGTATTAAACCATATATATGGTTTATACCGTATTAAAGGCATCTTGTCCATGTATAAATCCGTTTTCCTTGTCCATGTATAAATATCCGTAAAGTATGTTCAATTTTAATTTGAGAATTATGTTTCTGTCTTCAGAGAAAAAGTATGCAGTAATAGTAGAATGGCCTGTCCTAATTAACTGCAAAATGTCATTTTGTTTTTACAGTGCTGGGAAACTCGAGTTGGGCAGGAAATGTATAAACTGATGATTTTCGACTTTTTAATAATTTCAGCAGTGACTCTTTTTGTGGAATTTCCAAGGAAGTAAGTATATTGTTTTATTTGATGGGATGCATTCGTGGACTCTAGAGCAGTTCATAATGATATCTGATTGTCAAGAATACCATTCTTTATTAATCAAGCATTCTTTAACACATGTTTGGCAAAATGCCCTGCCCTTGGCACGTTCTGGTCACTTAATGCCACAATAAAACTCCTTTTAATATCAATAGGATAATTATCTGCACATGACAGAAATTAAGGATATGCATCAGATTAAAAGAATACTCTGAGCACGATAACCACTTTAGTTCAATGGGTACATTAAATTAGAAATGGGAAAATACAGTGTAATAAACACATTACAAAAGTTCCTTCACTCATTTAAAAGTCTCAGTCACTAACAGGTTAAATATGCACTAGCCCTTAGGTCTACCTGACCACTATTATGGATGTTTTGACATTGGGTAGTTGGAGGTCCCCCAGTTCAGTTTCACTAACCTTTATTTTTTGTTTGTTTTTTTTTAAATTACTTAAGTATTGATAAATCAAGGTGTTCCAGACTGAAATACAAACATATGTCCTTAAAGGGTTACTCCAATCACAATAACTTCAGTGATTTAAAGTGGTCATTATAGTAGAAGTAAGCCTGAAACACTGCACATACTAAGACATTTGTAATTACGTGCTGTGGGCTAGTTGCACCTCGAGCCCAAGTGACATGTCAAGTCTGCATATTTTACAGCTGCTTGCTTCCCCCTCTCTCCCTCCCAGTGTGTGCCCCCTTCCAGTTCTCTCTGTTCCCTTCAGTATTTTTTTTACCCTCCCCTTGCTGGCCCAGAGCTAGTGCATGTACTCTGAGCAGGCTAAATGGACCGATCCCAGGCTTCTTTATAAGAAGCCTGTGATAGTGATGTCAGAGGGGCGCAGAATATCAGCACCCTCAGCTTTGACAGGTTCTGGATTCCAGAAGTAAGTTAAAGACTATTTTGTGCAGGTTGTACTGCAAATAAAGGGGGGATTCTCCAATAGGGCATTTTACACCAAAGGGGTTGGATAATTGATAATTTCTCAATGTTGGGAGTTCTTGAAAACTAGAATAATGGTTTTTGTCCCCCTTTTGTCCTTAGCTCACTTGCACCGTTCATGTTCTGCTTCCAAACAGCCAGTTAGTACTATTTAATGGCACAGCTTTTGATTCTATAGAATTGTTACAGCTCACCTTTTGTTACAAGTTTCTTAGTTTAATTTCTTCCATTTTATTTTTTTGTCAGAAAGGTTCTCCAGGTCATTCTTACTGTTTAGTCACTACTGCACCTCATCCATCCAGCTCCTTGTGTTGGGGCTAATGGTGTCTATTTCTTTCTGCATGGTGATGACACATGAACCTTTTTTATTATCCTTTAGCTGACACATTTTGTATCTCTTTCCTAAATTTTTTTTTTTTCTTCTTCCACTCTGGGCTATATGTTGAACTTTTATTCACAACTGCACTGAAGAATTATCCTCTTGTTGATATGTCTGCCAGTATTTTGCACACAAAAATGACTGTCATAACTGAGTCCAGTGATTCTTTCTCTGTCATTTCTCTTTCCTTCTTTCTAAGCATCTTGGATGGAAATGGTGGTGAGTGCTTTGTTACTATGTTTAGTATTCTGTAAACTATGAATGTAGTTTTTCCTTCCTTCCTTTACATGTTCTTCTCGGTTTTAATTCAGGATGTTCAAAGGACATAACCCATGATTTATACAAAATGTGTCCCAAAAAAGAGGAACGGGGATCGTTGGATAACCCTTTAAAATAGAGCATATTAGCGTAAAGTGAAAAAAAACTTTAAATATCAACTTGCATAAGTCAAAGAATAAATAAATAACAATAATAATCTAATAGGCGATACCAACTCACAACCTATGCTATGTATGGGGAAAAAATTCCTTTAAGTGCTAGGGTACATGTGAGAAGGTATGCCTGCTAAATGTCTAAAAGGAAAGGTACAGTACACACTACTTGTAGGAGATTAGACCTAAATATAAATGGCTTAGAAAAACTAATACCAGTAACAGAGATTTTGTTTGTTTGTTATAGACACTCATTTTGGGTCGAGATACAGTTCTTTGTGTGATCCTTGCGTTGTGCAGGATCTTATAAATATCTACTTCCCTACTTATACTATTGCACTCTGTACGATATCCCTAATCCACTTGACAGTGCACTACTATTGTCACTTTGTTGCTACTTATTATGGAGGGAAGATTACCTTGATACATTTTATTGCAACAGTATCTCTGTTACTGCTCTATTTTAAAGGGTTATCCCACGATCCCTGTTCCTCTTTTTTGGGACACATTTTGTATTCTGAATCAGGGTTAAGCCCTAATTAGGATTTTTTTCTACTAACCCATGATTTATGTCTCCAGATTGATTGTCACATACTGCTCATGGAAACCGGCTAAATGGTGGGGCCAGCAAGAGTTTGAGATTCCTCACAACGTGTTAGAGATTGTCTATGGGCAGACAATTTGCTGGATTGGAACCTTTTACGCTCCTCTTCTGCCAGCCATTGCAACAGTCAAATATTTCATTATCTTTTACATCAAGAAGGTTTGTTTGGCAGCCGTCCCAGTCACATGTCTTTCGCTTTGGTTGTGAAATGTCATTAACACTGAAAGGGAAAAGTAAGGTGTTATTAGTTTTGCACAGATATCCTTTCACATGTAACATACACTTACAGGGCTTTTCTGTAACCTGTTAATTGTCAAGGAATTCAAAGAGAAATAGCAAAACCGGAAAATCCTCTGCTGGCTATGCTTCCAGTTTGGCGAGTTTTTGCCGTAACATTTACATTCACTTTGAATTTATGACATTTCTCACTTCAGCGAATCTTGGTAGTAATTAAAGCTAATTTTAATTGCACTTTGGCCCTTATAAAGTGGCATAGGTATTTCGAAACACACCTACAGTAACATTTTTGCTTTCATGGATGGTCACAAATGTACTATAAAAATGTTAGCAGTAGAGTTTTGCTTCGAAAAACTCACAATTATAATTGCAGCCAAAGATTATAAAAATATTTAGCACTTTTAAAGTGTTATGTAAATGAAATGGTAAAACCTTGAGAATCATGAGAAGCCCTATGTGTGGCTGTTGTCATTTAGTCCCTCTCCGCTTACTGATTGCTGGGAAGGCATGTTTCAATGCCCAAGTGTTTGCATTATTGAATTACATGTTTCATTATTTGTGTGCAGTCATCAGCAAGTGGCTACTTAAGTATAGTGTTTTATTGCTTTTTTTTCCAGATAAGTCTTATGGAGAATTGTAGACCTTCATCCAGGCCTTTCCGTGCATCCAGCTCCAAATTCTTCTTCCAAGTGATACTGCTGATAGGGCTAGTCTTGGCATGCATTCCCGTGGGACTTGGAATTGCTTAGTAAGTTAATCCTTTCAACATTATGAAATATTGCCATAAACTTCTAGGTCGAGGGATAATTTAGGCGTTCTATTTGATCTTTCCAAGCTGGGTATCTAACAATAAAATGAACTTGGGAGTGTCAAACTGGCAAATTCCCTCATTCCTAAATTTCAGAGGGAGCGTGGGGAGGGGATCATGGAAGTGGATCTTCAGATGAGTTCAGGGGAAATCCTTGCTTTTGGTGTAACTTGATTGGGAACTGCAGGCTTACTCTGTAAAGGGAAAATGCCCAAGGCAAAGTAGGTCCTACTTTCTTATGTTTTAAAGAAAAATAAATCAGAAATTAAGAAAAAAAAGAACAGATTCTGAAATCGGAAGAGGAATCAATAGGAGGAAGGCAAGTTTGAGGTGACAGAGACACTTTAACACTGACATTTTTAATATCCACCCTACAGTCCAGGAGAGTTGGAGAATGACAAAGGTGGTCAATGACAACATTTATCAACCTTTGAGTGTATTCAGAACTACTCTAGGTTTAATTTGGATCAAGGATTTTTTATTTTTTTTATTTTATTCAGTGAGCAGAATATAAATGACAAACACAACAGGAAAAATGGTGGATTGGCGCTTAACACCACAGAATAAGCAACAACCCACAGTGCCCAAAATCACTAAAATGGCACTCAGATATAGAGTGAAAGAAAAGAATACAGGCGGGTGCAAGGAAAATATACAATACTTTGCTGTATACTTAGTATAATGAGTGGAACACCTCCTGATCTTCCTACAATAAAAACATATACATAGTATAATACTGTTACACAGGGCCGCCATCAGAAATTGTGGGGCCCCTAACACAGCTCAAGGTCTGGGCCCCCGTGTGCCCGACTCCAAGCCCCACCCCCAAATCCCGCCCACAGGAATACACACACACAGACACAAAAGGACACAGACACACAGAAAGATACACACATACTAACAGACACAAATACTGAACAGACATACATATAGATACATACACAGATACACACACACACACACTGTTGTACATACATACTCACATACTGACACACACACATACATACTGACAAACAGACATACATACAGACATACATACACATAAATATATACTGACATATATACATAATGGCATACATACACATACATACTGATATACATACATGCATACACACACAGACACACACACAGATATATACATACACAGATACACACAGACATACTGACATACACACACAGACATACATACATACTTGCAGACATGCATACTGACATACATACTTGCAGACATACACACTGACATACACACAGACATACATACATACTGACATACATACACACACACACAGACAGACATACACACAGACATACACACACAGACACAGACACAGATATACTGACATACACACACACAGACATAAATACTGACATACACACAGACATACATACATACAGACATACTGACATACACACTGACATACACACACACTGACATACACACACACAGACATACACACATACTGACATACACACACAGACATACATACATACATACATACTGACACAGACATACACACACACACACAGACATACACACAGACATACTTACTGACATACACACACATACTGACATACACACAGACATACATACTGATATCCAGACAGACATACACACACACACACAGACATACATACTGACATACACATACATACTGACATACATACTGACATACACATACATACTGACATACACACAGACATACATACTGACATACACACACACAGACATACATACTGACATACACACACAGACATACATACTGACATACACACAGACATACACACACACACAGACATACATACTGACATACACACAGACATACACACACACACACACACACACACACACACACAGACATAAATACTGACATACACACAGACATACATACATACAGACATACACACACACACACACATACTGACATACACACACACATACTTGCAGACACACACACACCTCATTTATCAGCCACCCTCCTCTTACCTTTAAGTTGCAGGAGGGTGGCTGGGGATGATGGGAGTGGATGCCTCTGGTGTCCCTCTCCTCCGCTCTCCCCCCGCGCGGAGTAAGCTGGGAGGAAGTGACCAGCCGTCACTTCCTCCCAGCAGCCCTTGCGGTGTTTAGCCGCAATTTTTATTTTTTTTTAAAAGGGGCCCGGTCGCGCAATCACCCGGCCCTGCTGTTACACAAGGAAAAGAATGATCAGTTTAAAGGTCTTGGGTCTCTCACAATATGCAGAGCCACATGAAGCTGGCTCTGACTTCAATGGCAGATGAATAATAAGCTTATTCCAGCTTTTGAATTCCTAGACAGGATAGCTCCTTTATCCAATATGTTAAAAAATATAAACTTTACTGGATATAAAATAACATAACATAGGAAACAGAAATAAGCTTAACATACTATATAGTGAAAAAGTGCTGTGGACCACAGTGCTGTGGACTTTTTCACTTTATAGTATGTTAAGCTTATTTCTGTTTCCTATGTTATGTTATTTTATATCCAGTAAAGTTTAGATTTTTTTAACATATTGGATACTCTGCAAATTATTGAAGGGCTGAAAAGGAGCTATCCTGTCTAAGAATTTGAAGGCTGGAATAAGCTTATTATTATATACAGCAAAGTAATGTATATTTTCCTTGCACCCCCTGTATTCTTTTCTTTCAGAGTATAAATGAAACCAACACTTTGACATTGAAAGGGTTTGTGGCAATTTCATACTTGTTCTCCACTGGAAAATGTCTTCCATGTGTTACTGGGAGGATTGGGAGCCAGCTGTGACAGTTAAAGTAAAGCAGAATAGAATGTTTCAAATTTGTACAACAGGTGATGATTTGAGAGATGAGTTGCCATATTTCAAAGACTGCATAGGCAAACTATAATCCATAGAATGTGACGGCAGATAAGAACCATTCGGCCCGTCTAGTCTGCCCAATTTTCTAAATACTTTCATTAATCCAAGTCAAAATATAAAAAAAAAAAAAAAAACAGTATTTGAACACTCAGGCTAAAACGACAAAAGGACACAACATTAGAGCAGGTGAGCGTTTATATAGAGAATTAAATGGGCCTATAGAAAACATTGTCCTCAAAAATCTATGGGAAAAAGGTTACTAGTAATGACAATTCACAATAACAGTGACGATGTTGCTATAATTCACTTCCCATTCTAATATCCTAAACAAACTTACAAATGTTTTATGTGACTGCATACATAATTTGTTTATGCGCACCGGTGTATAATGCGTGTATGAAGGATTTTAAATGAAGTGAACTTGTATAATGTGTGTATGAAAACAGTGGGATAGGTAAATTAATTTATCTGCACTGGTGGATGAATAGGTTGTTGGGTACAGAAGCAATGTGCTTGGTGAGTTCAGGTTACAGCCATGTAACAAGCTAGTTGCAGAGTGTAAATCTGCCTTCAAAGGTGAGGCACCTGGGTTCACTGCACCCCGTGCCCCTCCCTTAGCGCACCCGTGAACTCTGGGAACCCTGTCATGTAATGTAACAAGCTTTTGCAAAGGCTGTCTATGCCATTAGAATGAAAGGTTTGTATAATACATTTTCTAATCTTATAACATCAAAGCCATTTTAAAAATTATATTTAACACTACAATAGGCTCTGTTTAATAATATGAACTTATTTTAGGATCCAGTTTCGCTTTAGATTTATGTAATAAATACTTATATATGCTGCATGAGTGATGATAGGACAGTAATGATTTGAAGTAGGGAAACGATTGTACGACACTTCTGTTATATATGGGTGCATACAAATTTAACTTGAAAAAATAAATCTTTGTTTTAGTTGGATTTTTTTTAAATAACAATCTGTATTATTTGTGAATTACATATGTGTATGTTTATCTTTGCATCTGCAGTGTACCATCATCTAAAGCATGTGGACCATTTATGAACTTTATTACCTCTTGGGAGATTATACCAGTTACTATAAAAACCTTCCCAGTTGGCCTGCAGAATTTAATCAATGTTCTAGCTTCGGAATCATTTGCTGTTCCCTTTTTCCTGCTGTCATGGTAAGTTTGGAAACAAAACTAATTATTTCTGAGTTATGGATGCTGGGATTACCTGTGTAGTTTCCAGTCCACTATTTTGTGGATTTTTTACCTGTTCAGATTGATAACTAAAGGGACTATAACTACATTGCATCATCGCAGTGGTAATGAGTTTCCTGCTTCCTGTGACTTATAACTGCAATTATTTGCAAAACTTGCTGCAGTTGAAACACTGCCCTCCAGATCAGTCATGTCACAGATGTAATTTTACTTTCTCTCTTGCTGTGGATCCTCTGTCCAACTTGTGTGTGCATGATCTGCCTTTCAGTTTCTGATTCTGGAGAGTATCCTATGCTGCACCCAGGTGTGGTTAGCGGCATTAAAAAGTTCACTCCATACAAAACTGATCCTGTCATTATTTTCTACCTATATCTATTACAAAATGTATTGATGACAGTGTCATCATCGGGTATGTGGACAGATTTATTCTATATACTCTGCCCATGAAATGGCCATTAAAAATGGAAGGTGAATACAAAAGAGGGTTCAGCTTTGGTAATGTGCCAGAAAACCCCAATTCACCTATAATTTCTATCTGAAATGAGGTCACTTTACGATGACTTTAAATGGTTTTCTCTCTGGGTACTTCTAAATTTAGATGTGAGGTTATTTATTTGACAATAACTGTACTGTTCTCTTTTGCAGTCTTGTCTTGTTCTATGTCATTGCTCTGGCTGGAGCACATAAGAAGGTTGTGCATCAGTTGCAGGAACAGTTAACTATGGTAAGACTTAAAATGTTTCTTTAATAAAAGGTTTTAAACATGCAATTCTGCCAGCCATTTATTGATAGCGGTAGTACATGTCTGTTCATCTCTATGTCTATAGGCGTAAGCATAGACTAGACATTTGTGTAACACTGTATTGTACAATACACTTCTAATACCTCTATGTACTCCGCATACCCAGTATGCATTTGAAAGTGAGACAGGCATAACATCTTCATGTCAGACTAATCAATTGGAAACACAGTCCTTGCTGACATGGATACAAACCAGATTCCCTTTACTTGGTTCAGGTTTTAGGCACAGGGGTGAATGGTTTAAATTCCATTCCAAATGAATGGTTTAAAGGGGGAGGGGCCTATTTTGAAGCTTATTTTTAGGGGCATCTCTCCATTTGCTTTTTTTTTTCAAAGAATCACCTTGAAATTTTATCCAGAAGATTATGGGGCCGGAGTAAAAAGGGAAGTATAGGGTTTATCTTTTGTTTTGGCATGTCAATATCTGCATCACTTTTGCATATTTCATACATTTGTGCATGTGTATGAGTACAAAACAGAACTGTATGGAAGAGACTTACCTTGGTCCACAAGGGTTGTCTTGTTCTATGTCATTGCTCTGGCCGCAACCTCTTCTGAAGCTGAAAAAGCTCCTGCACTGAGCTCTCAGCCAATGAGACAGCGGTATATGGCAGGACAGTGGAGCTTATAGAGGCAACTTGCTGGAGCCTCCAGAGGAGCAGCGACACATACCTGGCATACCCCAGGTAAGTTGTGAAATTATTCTCAAATGGTTTGACTACTTACTGTGGGAGGGCACCAGAACACTTCTGGCACAGTAACCACTTTAGCGAGGTAGTAGTTATGGTTCTTTGAGTTCCTTTAACTTTAAACATTTTAAAAACTAAGAGGGTACTTCTTGCTCTGACATCAACTGTGTTTTCTAGTATGTAAATGCACCTTTTAAGAGCACTTTTGTCTTTGTTTTACAGGAAAGCCGGGATAAGCTTTTTCTGATCAGACGACTGGCTGAAGCTCAGGGTATTAAGGCCTAATGCTCCCCAATGGCATCCACAGATTTTTTTAATTTTATTTTTTTAAGGGCACTTGCACTTACTGAAAGTGGAGGGATTCATATGCATTGAATCAAATGCAGCAGTGAAGAGGAAATATTAACGTTACAATTTTCTCCTACCTCCTCTTATTTTTCATAGGAAAACCCAAACACTAACAGTGTCACTGAAAAATTCAGCACATATTGGGGCTGTCTTCTTTAGAAACACACTTTTTTTTTATTTAGTTTTCTTGTTCTTAAGCGACTATAACAGACCTGTGCTGGAAAATATGTTGACATGGGTCAGAGACTAATTTGAAGATTTTACTTTTTAGTTAGCATTAAAGTTTCGGTGTTGTGAATGCATGAAATTAAGTGTTAAGGACTCCTCTAGCTATCTTAAAATGTAAATGACTGATTTTAAAGTAATAATAGGTTATGAGAATTTAAATGGAGTCAACTGTATGTGGGTTTTTTTTTTTGTTTTTTTTGTATGTTTACCTTTAACTGTAGAATATTGTGTTTTAGGTCAAGTGTTGTTGCAAATAAAAGCTCTCCATTTTTATTTAGTGGTTTTGAATTAGATTTGGGTTCTTTATGTAGGCAATACTGTTTTACTCAAATTATACCTCTCCTGGAACTTGAATAATGATAATGGATATACGTTCATGATAAAATAACTTACTTGGTTTAAAATGCACAAATAACTTTGTCCAGTTTCTGCAATAATAAAAACCTAAGACATAGCTCTATCTCACCAGTCTCAAAATTCCACAAAGGAGTGAGACAGTCTGTACGGACATTTGGTTATATGTCTATAACCTAGAATGTACTGTTTTAGATTCAATGTATTTTAAAATATGTGTAAATGTACCAAACATTAATCAAAAGGAATGGAAGGTGGAAAGAAAAATTTATGAAATCGTCCATAACAATATTAAAATATAAAAAATACTGAAACTAAGCTGTAATCAAAGCTTGGCAATTTTAGTTTGAGTTTTGCAATTTGGTTTTTCACTTTACCACAGTTTACTATTTAATTAATAAATCCAATTAATATAATATTTTCAACTACAATATGAGTTTAACATATCTCTACACTCTGCTATATCATTAAATTATAGAGCGAGATGTTTTCATCAGTATTTGCGCCATTAAACTGACCAGAAAGCCTCTTTGTGGAACGGTTTGTTAATTTAACTGAGAATTGTTGAAAATTTCAAGGAAAGCAAAAATGTTAGGCCAATGCTGTTTTTGAAAACTTCTCAGCTAGTTTTTCAGTTTGGGAATATTGGCCAAACATTTGCAATCCCCTTGGCAGTTACTCACAAACAGAAAAGTCTGGAATTTGGAAACATTTTGTTAAGTTCCTAACTCAGTCATGTGGACAAAATGTATACAATTACTGTATTTTGACTGTTTTAACAAATAAACATCATCCAATGTAACCCAACGGTTTCCTTTATCAGATTACATTTGTTACATTTAGACTGTATGTTTGTTCAAAATGATGGCGCAAGACAAGTATTACAAAGTGGTACAATTTTCCAAACACTACAACAAAGTTTTATTTGGGTGGAGATGCAATCCTATTATTTCATACAATCTTCTGGAAAGCAAATTTGTCAGAAACAGACCGCTACTTTTTAATACAGATTCTAACTGCCAAATAATACTATCGTGTAATTTAAGAATAAAAATTTATATTGTAATATTTGTGTGATATGGTATTTTACTTTGACATTTGGGCAATGTACATTGTAGAAATATGTCTATATACTTAGATCACTACACGGAGACATGAAATACAACATTTCTTACATAAGTATTCTTTCTCTTGGACTTTTTCACATTTTGTAATTTTGCACCCTGGAATTATAATTTATTTAATTATACAAAAACAGACATTTGTTGGTTACATACATCAGTACATGATAGAATCTTTAGCTGTAATTGTAACTATATTTATTTTGAGATAAGTTTCGACCAGTTTTTTTTCTTGCAAAAGCTTTGTCATGTCTGATGGGGACCTTTTGGTGAGTATGATTTTTCACAGATTCTTAGATTGATTGAGATCTGGGCTTTGGCTGGACTATCCTAAGACATGCACGTTCTTGTTTTAAAACACATTATTGTATATGTGTGTGTTTAGGGTCATTATTCTGCCGGAAAGGTAAGGATAACAACGTGCAACCCAGTTGCAGGTCTCTTGCAGGCTAAAAAATGTTTTATTCTAGAATTATCCTGTATTTGGCTCCATTGGTTTAGCCCTCATTCTCCATCGGTTTTATCATCTTAACCGGCTTTATCACTTATAATTTGTTGGCTGATCTATAGTGTTGGCTTTGTGTCACATGTGGCATTTTCAGCTAAAGCTAAAAAGTAATTTTTTTTTTTTAAATAAGGGAACACTAAAGGGTCAGGAACACAAACAAAAAACACTATATATCCCCTCTTGCTGTAGTTGTTCTGGCGACTGTAGTGTTCCTTTAATCAGAACATGAGAACCTTCTTCCATGTTTGCTATGTCTCTCATGTACCTTGCAAAATCTGATATGTTTTTATTTTGCTTATTACACATCCATGAAGCTCAGCGTTATGGAGTGTCCAGGTAATGCTGGTCTACTGGACATGTTTTCCTATTTTGGTTGCACATCTCTTTCAAAGTTACCATTGTCAACTTGCGTGCTTCTCTGCCTGCTTTTGGTAGATGGCCATTTCTAGGCAGGAGCATGTTTGTGCCATATTCCTTCAATATTTTATAATCTGTATTCAGAGGATGTCATATATCCGAGATATTTTGTCATTGACGCTTCTCCAGAACATAATAAAAGATCACTAAAGCTATTTCAGGGGGTTCATAAGAACTGGAGTGAATGCAATAAAAGGCATTTTATTTTCTATTTAAGTTAGATATTGTAAAACATTTTGCACCTTCAAAGTGTATTGTGCGTTGTGTAAATGAAATGATAAAAATCTAATTAAAGCAATTTTAGCTTGAAACTGCTAAACTTCAAAATGTGGAATCATCCAAGAAGGGTGAATACTTAAATGCAGCATTGTTAAAGTATGTGAAAAATTACAAAACCACTTTGGTTATATCCCAGAAGCAAAAGCTATTTGCAAGTGTTCTTTGATTTAAGTATTACCCATTGGTCCCAAGAACACGTTTAATGCAATGCACCTCAAAGGGTTTTCCGGCTTCTTTTAGTAAACTAGAGGTCCACTTACTGCTAAAGCTTTTTAAGAACCCACATATGAAGCTGAAAAAGTATGGTAGTGCCTCTGATCAACTGAGAGTTCACTAGAGACAGAAAATAGTATTTAAAGGGACAGAGTATAAAAATACCAAGCGTATGTAAATATGCTTTGTGTGAGAGAACTAGAAGGTGATTTTTAAAAAGTCTCTTTATACAAAGGATTAATATATTAAGATTAGACTTTGAGATACATACATTGTATTAGAACTGGATAATAAGGGCTAGCTCAGATTCAGAAATTGTTTCTTCTCTTGGTCTAGATTGAACTTCATTCTTTGTATTTTTGGATATATTCACCTAATAAGAAAAGAAAATGAAAGAAAACATAATAAATACTTTAAATTTTGAAAAGTAAACTGCATAACATATTGGCACACATGCCCCATTTCTGCATCTTTCTATAGCAATAGTGACTAAGTTCATGACAGCTACTTATGTGACAAAAATGTATTGCAAATCATATACAGCATGGACAGTTACAGACAAAGGATTCTACAGTTATTAATTTAAAATAAACAGGTAAAAAAAAACTACAAAATGGGTTTGCACAAACAAGCCCCTATCTCTTCATCTGGGCTCTTTGTCAAGGTTACTGGACTATGCACTTACATGATAATATATACACATATTAATAGATTAGTTCTGTAAACTGATTAAACATTATTGGTGATTACCCTGAATGACCTTTAGATAAAATAGTCTGTGCTTTTCTCAGATTTCAGAGAACGACTGGACGATCAATTAAAATCGGAAAATAGCGTAGTTTCATAACATCATAACATACGTACTAGTTATTGCTCTGACCTAAAAAAAAAAATGAATCCTTTTGTATGAATTTATGGTTATTTATTACAAGGTATAGTAAAATGAAGTTCTGCAGTAAAATGTCTACAAAATTAAAATTAACTCCAAAGCACACATAATAGAATATGCAATATTCTACAACTTTGTGTCCATATATTTCTCACCTGCATGGCAGATAGACTTAGTCTCTGTGGAAACAAAATTATTTGAATTCTACCATTAGACCGGTGAGATTCTTTTAGCCTAGGTCCTATATACTTGATTACCGTGTGTTTTGGTATTTTTTTGTTTGTTTTATGAAAACATATACCCTATGATATATTCATGCTTTTAGCTTCTCTATGCGCAGCAAATTCTAAGCTCTGCCCTGATATATATATTATCATATATATATATATATATATATATATATATATACACACACACACACACACACACACACACACACACACACACACTGTAATGCTTACAATTTTCTTTTTTTTTTTTTAAATTATAAAGTTAAATACATTAAATAGAGATGATGCCTCTTCTTCCGGCTCCCCATGTTGGCATAGAGCACAAGTCAAATGTGGCGACCTTTCTATTTACCGTGTAGAAAGATAAGCTTATTGGTACCAAGAACATAAGGTGATCTAAAAACACTGAACATTATAAATGGTAGAGGATTATTATTATTATTGCCATTTATAGAGCGGCAACAGATTCCGTAGCGCTTATTATTCCGTAGATTGAGCAAGCTTTAAGTTTTCTTTACCTCCTTGCATTATCATCACTTCTCTTGTATTTATCTCAATGTAACATCCAGAGAGTTTTGGAATTTTCATCAGGAAATTCTGGCTTTGCGCCATTGTTCAACAGTAATTTCATCGTCTTGTTGTTATCATTTTCCATAGCATAATGCAAAGCCGTCTTTCCAAAAATATCCTGTCTGTCAATGTTTATCATCCCAACATTTGTCGCTAGAAGAACCTGCAATGCGAATAGAGACTCATTGGGGATCATGTTTAAAAGAGACTCGGTAACAAAGGATGCACAATTGTGACAGATAATTTGTTTGAACTTTTTTTGTTGTCGTCAATCTTTGGTTTTTTTTAAGCAAAGTGAGTACATTACAGAGAAAACGATAAATATATATCAGCAAAAATAGGATAAATAAGCATAGTACGATAACAGCAATACATTCTCTCGTGAGTGACTGCTTCATTTAATGTACTGAGGTGAAGGAACGTGTTCTAGGCATTTTCAAGCATGTGCACGTAAATATAGAAGGGTAAATATGTCCGCAAAGTGGCAATACATATGTGCTAGTGGTTCAGTGTCTAGGCTGACTTACCGCTAGTTGCTGGCTGCTATGCCTGTGCGTGAGACATGAACATGCGAGGCTAACCGTAAACTGAAACAAGTTTCTACAGAATAACAAAAATCTGTGGTTGTGTGGAACCAAGGTGGAGTCTTAAAGACTCCACCTTTTTTTATCAGCTCCCTATCTGTCACCCGCCACCCTGCCGCTGCAATTCTTTATCTGTTACCCGTTAAAGCATGTTTGTGTTTTTGTTACAGACCTGTGGGGAGAAACACTGTATTGTTTATTTCTGGTAATGAAACCTAGCAAGATAAACAACCAGTCAGTGTAGTGGCAATGTTTAACCCTTTAAGGACCAAACTTCTGGAATAAAAGGGAATCATGACATGTCATGTGTCCTTAAGGGGTTAAAAGGACACTCAAGGCACCATAACCACTGCGCTATAATTATGGCATCAGAAGTGCCCTGGTGCTCACCCACTGTAAGCAAAATGTTTGCTAATGCTTTGAGAATTTATACAGGTGGTAACTGGCATCCTGCGGTTCCAGATGAGAGCTAAAAGCTCGCTGCCTTGAGCTAAGTCCAGCAATGCAGGGGTTTGCACCTTTCTGCAGTGGAACACCACCTTCACCCTTAGCTAATTTAAAAAACAGTCTCATTAGTAGAAGTACTAAGTCAATGGAAGATTATTGTGAGCTGAGCTGCTGACTTGACTCTACCCTACAGCTAATCACTGTCTTCCTACTAACTGACCCCTTTCCCCTTAGAATGTATTTGAACATACTATACAAATAATAATTGACCTGTGATATCTACTGTGATCGCTCATTGGCTGAGCTACACTGTTTATATTCCAATCAGGAAGATGTCTTGCAAAAGGGGAGGTGTCGCTATGGTGGCGGGACTATGCTTTTTGACCCTACAGAAAAAACATAGCACGATGAGGCCAATACCATCACATGCACTATGTAGGTGCCCCGGGTGTCCCTTTACTATCAAACAGGAACAGTTTATCATGAGCCAGGACTCTTCCAGGTTCTTAAAGTCCGCTACCCTCGTCGACAAACATTGATAATTACCACTTTGTCATCATTAATGTCAATTTATTATAATCCGAGCAACCCAGATTGGCTAAGAGTGCTCTCTGACAATCACCTACTGTAGTGGACAGCATTGACATTAATTTTGCAAAACTGCTAACTACATATTAATGCTGCCAAGATGTGGCACTGCCCTGACATATAGAAGAGCCCCAGTTTGTATCAAACTGTTCCTAAATGGTTGATAATAAACACAAGGACGGTGCCAGGACACTCTAGGCAAGATTGAGCTGTTGTGACTTTGTTGCTTATAGTGCCTATTTAATACAGAACAAGCATTGGGTAAATTCCTTTTCAAAACAGTTGCAACTTCTAATTGGTCCTAAATGGTTACTCCAACCATCATAAAACTACAGTCTACTGCGTATCCAGGCGCTGTAACCCGGTAATGGAGAAAAACCTGTTCCTGCTGGATGCTGTGCAGACACTCTATGTCAATCCTGCCACTCATTCATTGGCTGAAAGCGGTCAGCAGCAAAAGGGTTAGTTTCAGTATGTGCAGTGCCTCAAAATGAAATGCTGCCCATACAGATTTCAGGCACCTTGACCACAGCAAATGAAGTGGTCATGGTACCTGGAGTAACCCTTTAATGTTTATCTATACAGGATCATTTCTGTATACCAGGTATAAACATTCACTTCCTGGAAATGTTGCTGTGTCACCGCTTAGAAAGTCTTATGTTGGTGGTGGCATTACACACATGGAAGGTATGGTGGCATTACACACATGTTTAGACTTAATATGGTGTCATTTAGGCTGACATTAGTTGAATATTAAAATAAATAAACAAACGACCTGTCACTGATCTTGGACACTGATATTTACCTGGGCATCCCATATGTTTCTGATATATATTATCCAGTGTTGCATAATGACTATCTGAATTATGAGAATCATAGGATGCCGGGTTTTCGAACACTTGGATTGTCAAGGTTACCCATTTCTGACTATTAAGATAACGTATTCTATAATATATAGCATGTATACTAGTGTTTTATCTCTGATTTGCAGTAAAACTCTACTGATCAATACAAACATTACCTGGCAGATGTTGTCACTCCCTTGACGTGCTGCATGGTGAAGGAGCGTTTTACCTTCTTTGTCTGTTGAACTACAGGTATTTGGATACAAATAAACAGATACATTAGCGGAGATATATCTCAAAATATTACTAATGAAACAAAAAATATCAACTGACTAGCATGCAGTCCAGTGTTCTAGTTTTATAGTTTATTCACAAACAGGGAGACTAGCTTCCTATATCAACAAGTAAATTCTCAATTTAGTGAATAAGCCTGGAGGATTGAGCTGGTAGGTAGGAAAGACAGAGAGGTGAATTTCAGGTTTTAGCATTTGTATGCAATCCAATTAGGTCTGGGAAAAAATCAAGATTGGATCAGCGCTAGTAATACCTCTAATAATAAAATATGTAATTAGGTCTACCCAATATTTATTAAGGGAAAACTAACACCCAAAACAGTTTAACCCCTTAAGAACACATGACATGTGTGTCATGATTCCCTTTTATTCCAGAAGTTTGGTCCTTAAGGGGTTAAAGGGACACTTTCAATATAATTTCACAGTTTTCTAAATTAACTTTGTTACACCCACCTGACTGTCAATCAGACAACTGATCCTGTTACTTCCTGATAGTTTAGCTCTCAGCAGAGCTTAAGGGGAAACTCCAGTGCCAGGAAAACAATCCGTTTTCCTGGCACTGCAGGTCCCCTCTCCCTCCCACCCCCCAATCCCCAGTTGCTGAAGAGGTGAAACCCCTTCAATGACTTACCAGAGGCAGCGACGATGTCCCACGTCGCTGATTCTTCCTCCGCCGCTGCTCCTCCCAGTGATTGCTTCGGCCGGTGGGCGAGACTGCGCATTAGAGCTCCCCATAGGAAAGCATTGAAAATGCTTTTCAATGCTTTCCTATGGGGAAATGAGCTTCGCTGGAGGTCCACACAGCGTGAGGACGTCCAGCGACGCTCTAGCACAGGTTTCCTGTGCTAGGGACACGGAAGTGCCCTCTAGTGGCTGCCCAGTAGACAGCCACTAGAGGTGGAGTTAACCCTGCAAGGTAATTATTGCAGTTTATAAAAAAAACTGCAATAATTACAGTTGCAGGGTTAGGAGTAGTGGGCACCCAGACCACTCCAATGGGCAGAAGTGGTCTGGGTGCCTGGAGTGTCCCTTTAACTCAAGAGGCAGCAATAGCCCAGAGCGCCTGCCTTGCAAAGACTTCTCATTGAGCTGCATTGGGAAGTCTGTGGTCGTGTGATTGGGCAACCACAGAAAGTAGGGGAGGGCTTGCAAATACTTAATACATAAACTCTGTAAGTTTTGCAAGTTGTTTTTAGATCCTGTATACCTCTAATGAAAAAATGCACAATTAAATACATGCATGTTTTTATTTGGGGTATGTTTATTAATATTAATATATTAATATAGTTTCCATTCACTTTTGATCTTATCTCACCCTCTTTTGGGCTAAAATGTCCACTATGTGAGTGGGAGAGCCCCTATTGTCCTAGATCACCCACTTTCCTTTCTCTAGGGGGAAGTCTGTGGAGATCTGCAAGTTTATTAGTAGTTTTATAACATAGAGACCGGAAATATTAAAGATACTGAAGTAATGCCATGATTTGGGAATGATGAGTTCACAGACTAATCTGAATGCATGATACAAAATTAGTGGATTAAAATGAGGTGAGGGTGATTAAAGATTTTATAAAGTTTTTCAAGTAGTCAATGATTTTTCACCAGTGATGAATGATTCACATTGATTAAGTTTTCAATCGCAATTATGACCAAAACTACTGAACTCCAATCAAGTGGCAGTTTGGACAACGTTGTGTCCAAGATTAAACGTTAATGAAGAACAGCTTGTTTCATTGCTCCAGCCAAATACAAGTGGAAAGCCAGAGCTCTCAATATCGCTAAAGGAGACATTGCTCTGCAGGAATCAAGTACAAAGTGTGACGCTGTACCTGCTGAGTTTTGTGTTTTTTCCCAAATGTGCCAAAACGTTTAGGTACTTAACTTGGAAAAAAGCGAATAGCAACTTAATGCCTATTATTTGTTTTCATAGCAGGTTTTCTCAGTGCTTATGGTAAGTAATGATATGTCAATAACTTCAAGCTGGAATTAATGTTGACGTACAAGGTGAAATTAAAACAAGAAAACACAAAAAAAGCCTTTACATAATTAGACAGTTTCAAGAATGGTGAAAATACTGTGCATAGATTCAAGATACTGTACCTGAGCAGAAAGAAATTGCGACGGCACATATTCTTAAGTTCGGTTGTATCGTTATTCGTTATCGCTGCTAAAGCAATTTGAAATATATGTGTGCTGTCTCCCACGGACTCCGATTTTTTGGATATTACAGCTGGTTTCGTTACTTTTCTCTAGGAATATAATTCAAAAAATAAATACATTTTGATAGAAAAGTTCTAATTTTTTTATAAACATGAAATAATTTCACTATCAATGCGGGGACTAATTCGGTTTAATAAACATAATCAAGGTAACAAGATGTGGAGTAAAACAATTCATGCTTTGTTTTAAAGTGATGAGTTGTTTTGTAATATGCAAAATAATTGCGTATTGCAGTCCATCACATTAAAGGGACACTATAGCCACCAAAACAACTTTAGCTTAATGAAGCAGTTTTGGTGTATAGAACATGCCCCTGCAGCCTCACTGCTCAATTCTCTGCCATTTAGGAGTTAAATCACTGTGTTTATGAACCCTAGTCACACCTTCCAGCATGTGACTTGCACAGCCTTCCTAAACACCCTGTAAAGAGTCATCTAAAGTTTATCCTTTCTTTATTGCAAGTTCTGTTTAATTTAGATTTTCTTATCCCCTCCTATGTTAATAGCTTGCTAGACCCTGTATGTGATTGAAGTTCAATTTACAGAGCAAGAGATAAGAGATAAAATTGTTTAAGGTAAAGTACATCTGATTGAAAGTTAAACCAGTTTTTTTTTCATGCAGGCCCTGTCAATCATAGCCAGGGGAGGTGTGGCTAGGGCTGCATACACAGAAACAAAGTGATTTAACTCCTAAATGGCAGTGAATTGAGAAGTAAAACCCGAGAGGCATGATCTATACACTAAACCTGCTTCATTAAGCTAAAGTTGTTTAGCTGACAATAGTGTTCCTTTAAGTTAATGATGGGACTAACATTTTGTTTAAGAGATGTAAGCTTCCCTTAAATCAAACAGCATATATAGCGCAGTGGATTATGGATGCAGGTCTCTCAACCGTCTCGATTTCGGTGGGACAATCCCAATATTCAGAAGAATGATTTGTATTACATTTAAAAGTGTAGCAAAATTTCTGTCACTATTTTCTATTTAAATGAGCAAAATCAATCCAGCAACTCCTTTGTGTCCCGCCATAACTACATTAGTCCCTGGTGTCCTGCTTCTGAGGACACCGGGGAACTGAGCCCAACAAGTGTAGCACAAGCTCATAATTAGATGTACTGTCACTACACTCAGGCCGCTAGGACCATGCAGAGAACACTGAAACAGTGCTCCCTGCATGGTTTGCTCTTAGTGGACTGGCCTGCTTGATTGACAGGCAGCCTGGTGTGCGTTCACGTCAGGTAGGACCGCTCCATTTGGACAGACTCAGTGACATAATCACATCACTGGCCTGCCCCCTTTACCCTTCCCGCTGGTGTCCAATTTCAGACTTCGATGTTGGGGAGGTATGTTGATGCTACAGGGAGGATATAAAACCCAAATTATTGTCTTTTAAAATAAAATGTAGTCTTAGACAATTTGAAGATTCTGTCTATGTATGTATTAGTGGAAGTCTATGCAAGTCACATGTAGGTAGGTGGGACTAGGGCCGTATAAACAAAGTGATTTATCCTAAATGGCAGAGAATTGAGCGGTGAGGCTGCAGGGGCATGAACTATACACAAAACTGCTTCTCTAAGATGAAGTTGTTTTGGTGACTATAGTGTCCCTTTAAGGCAGAGATTTTAGTGCAAACAGCTTGTCCCTGCACCCTTTCCTCTGTAAAAACTGCCTTTTCAGTGAAAGGGCAGTGTTACATTTCTCTCGAAGAACTTCACTAGCCATTGTCACTAGACAGTAACTCAGCATGCAAACACAAAACACTTCTTATAGAGATGCATAGGTATAATGCATCTCTATGGAGAAGCATTGGATGGCTGATGATCTCAGCAAGGGATCAAAGGTGAGTAAATTTTATTTTAGTGTTCTGTCGGGGTGGGCACTTATCAAAAATCACAAGAAGATACTCTGTTAGAAATACATTATTAATGTTAAGTTTCCTTTTACATGCAGAAAATGTTTTAAACAAAAGTATTTTTGACTCTAATGAGATAGCTAAGCACTACTCCGTCTGTCTTCCATAATCTTTAACCATAACTGACTCACATTTGTTTCCTTAAATGTAAACAAAACTTTTTTTTTTTACCCTCATGTCTTTCCTAAAAGTATTTTCTAACTTGCTGCCTGAACTGTCAGTATTTGATTCTTCATCTTCTGAAAAATGTAAAGCCGAAGATCTATCCGAGAACAAATAATCCTCTTCCAGGGTCGTGTCCGACACGTAGATGCTTTCATCTCCATCACCCAAACTGTAATTTTCTAATGATTGCGGCATCTGAGCCACTGAAACTATTTGGAATTCATTGTGTCCAGTTGAGTTATCTTGAGTAACACGACGACCTGCCTTTTCTATATTTTCCAAGTTGCCATACATGGGATCTGATTCAGCTACAACTGAGCTAGCACTTGACTTTGTTATTAGGTCTTGAAGAGTCTCTTGTAGCAAGGGATGTTTTGAGGTTCTATCATTATAGTTCTCTTCATCACAAGTGGTTGACTGGGTTTCCACAGCCAGAACAGGTGTTGACATTTTACGTTCTCTCTTGCTATGATTATCTATATTACTGATGTTCTCTGTTGGAGAATGTCGGTATGGCTCGATTAGAAGAGGAGAATCCCCCTTCAACTCATGTGAAAAGAACACATAGCTGACTGGACTGCTTGCTTTTCTATGCTCTTTCACAACATCTTCTGTGATGATATTCTGGATCTGCAGATCTACATCAGGACCAAAGTTTTTCTCATCTTCTAAAATGTTGTTCTCACCCAATGAACCTTCGTTTGTATTTTCCATCATGTTATTGCCTTGCGAGTCCATCAAGCTAGGCAGTGAAGTGGAACATTTTTTATTTGATTCCAATTCTTCGTCTGAAGTTGTTTTCAAATAATTTTTATTGTCTGAACTATTCAATACCTCTTGGGAGTTTCCAAACACAGACATGTAATATTTTGTTTCCACAGATGTTGGTGAGGCACCAGACTTTGATTTTGGGGTTGAAAAAAATGCTGCTCCTAAGCCTCCTGAATTACTTTCCTTCACAACTTCCCTTCTTCCGCACGATGACTTTTCAGCCTTCTTTGAAAGTAGCTTAGAAGAGACTTTTCCATCTTTACATTTTTTAATTTTAGCTTTATTCTTTTCATTTTTTGTCCATGTTTTTTCCTGTAAGTCATCTAAAATGAAAATACAATATTACATTTTATGACATTTCCAAATATCTATGAGATTATTTACTAAACGTCAAAAAGCTTGTCTGTAGACTCATATCGGTTTAAGCATAGGCTACGAGTCAAGTAAGACCCAACTGACTCTTCCAATCTATCTATCATAAAACCTTTTCTTCTTTTTTGCTTCTTCAGATTGCCCTATGCCCACTTCAAGCATTACAGAAACTCTTTATTGGAGCCTTTACTATTTCAACTGAAACGTTGTACAGATGTCTACAGGTAATTTTGTAAATAGTAATAGTATTGAACACGCATTATTCTTCCAAAGAATTAGTTAAGAGACGCGTACAAAGGAGAATACCAAAAAATGTTTTAGTAACACCAAACCATGCTCTGTTATTAAGTACTGACATGGATTTGCTTTATTGTAAATTAATTTTTTAAGAATAATTTCCTTACCTATTGGAGGAACATGTGTTAGGCTCCCTGTAGAAGCACTTGTTTTGGTGTGTGCATGTACATGTACTACGGTTTTAAATGAGGAAAGCCACTTGTTACAATGAAAAATATAATTCTCGTCTTCAGGTTTTTCTTTCTTCACAATAATATCCCTGCAATAGAACCTGCAGTCTTAAAGAAAAACGACACAGAAGAATAAATTGTATTACATTGAAAAGTTTATCCAAATTTCCGTCACAATTTTTTATTTACATTAGCACAATTATTCCAATAACTCATCTATTGCAGGTAGCCAAAACAAGTCCAAGAGATATATTGAACCACCTCGTGCATTAAAGGTCAAAGCTTGGTGGATATTTAAGAGTGGCAAACTGGAGGTGAGTTCAACAACAAAGTAACAGGTTCCATGTCAGCTGTTCCACAGTGGTATAAGCACTATTTTACAAAACCGGATTATTCCTTAAACAGGCAAACTGAAGTCCCCCATAGATTCGCTTTTATGAAGAACTCTTAACAAGTAAGGTGGGGTGAATGTGAAAACAAACAAACATGTATGACAGCTGGTCCTTACCCCTTCCTTCACACCTGGCCTGTGAGTTTTAGGGTTATAAATAATGGTGGAGATCCCTATGTCAAAAGAAGACTAGGTGTTGCCTGGTTATTCTGTATAAGCAACATCAACGAAAGGACCAAAAAAATTGTGTCCAGTAGTTGTTAAAATGCAGCAGGTGCAGAAGTTAAATGTCTAAGAGGAAAAAGAACGGTAAGCAAAGAGGATCATTTGTGTTTTAAAGAGGGTGGTGGAGACCAGCATGTTTTCTAAAACATACATAATTCCTACATGTTACTGTCCACAAATGAAATGTGCTGTATAACATGTTTGCTGCAGGATTCCTAGCGGACTAATTTTTTCAATTTTATACCGCAGCCCTCTCATGTGCTGCCCATCAATGTACACGTGATATATTTCCAAAAAAATAGTTATATTTTAACAGAATAGTTGGATACGCATTGAGCTTTTATTGCGCTACTCTACCCCAATTTGGAAATGATTTGGTAACAGTATAATATGGATAATTTTTCAGGTTTGGTATGGCCAATTCAGATAATAGCATGTTTCAAAAATTGCATCCATATTTGAGTCTCTTTGTTGCTGTGACTTGTTTTGCTAAATTTGCCATTGCATACTTTCCACTTATCCTTACTTTTAGGGTAAATATTCTCCCTGCAGCACATCTATCCCGTGTCCCTCTTTTCTAGGAACTCAGTGGTTTTGGTTTGCATGAGTGCATCACAGCACACAACATCAATATAAGTCATAGCACTATGTCTTTAAAGTGACACTCCAAGCACCTTATCTATTATGCTTATTGTATTAGGCCTGGGGTTGGCAAGCTATGGCACGTGTGTTGCCCTTGCATGGAACGCAAAACTACTAGAACTCAGATCCCTTCCTACCAGCACTTTTGTAGGGGAATTACACTGAAGGGGAATTTGACTTGTACCTGGCCAGCCCGGTCCCCACCAGACCCAGGGAAGCAACCCACACAGTCCAGACATACACATACAGGGAGTGCAGAATTATTAGGCAAATGAGTATTTTGACCACATCATCCTCTTTATGCATGTTGTCTTACTCCAAGCTGTATAGGCTCGAAAGCCTACTACCAATTAAGCATATTAGGTGATGTGCATCTCTGTAATGAGAAGGGGTGTGGTCTAATGACATCAACACCCTATATCAGGTGTGCATAATTATTAGGCAACTTCCTTTCCTTTGGCAAAATGGGTCAAAAGAAGGACTTGACAGGCTCAGAAAAGTCAAAAATAGTGAGATATCTTGCAGAGGGATGCAGCACTCTTAAAATTGCAAAGCTTCTGAAGCGTGATCATCGAACAATCAAGCGTTTCATTCAAAATAGTCAACAGGGTCGCAAGAAGCGTGTGGAAAAACCAAGGCGCAAAATAACTGCCCATGAACTGAGAAAAGTCAAGCGTGCAGCTGCCACGATGCCACTTGCCACCAGTTTGGCCATATTTCAGAGCTGCAACATCACTGGAGTGCCCAAAAGCACAAGGTGTGCAATACTCAGAGACATGGCCAAGGTAAGAAAGGCTGAAAGACGACCACCACTGAACAAGACACACAAGCTGAAACGCCAAGACTGGGCCAAGAAATATCTCAAGACTGATTTTTCTAAGGTTTTATGGACTGATGAAATGAGAGTGAGTCTTGATGGGCCAGATGGATGGGCCCGTGGCTGGATTGGTAAAGGGCAGATAGCTCCAGTCCGACTCAGACGCCAGCAAGGTGGAGGTGGAGTACTGGTTTGGGCTGGTATCATCAAAGATGAGCTTGTGGGCCTTTTCGGGTTGAGGATGGAGTCAAGCTCAACTCCCAGTCCTACTGCCAGTTCCTGGAAGACACCTTCTTCAAGCAGTGGTACAGGAAGAAGTCTGCATCCTTCAAGAAAAACATGATTTTCATGCAGGACAATGCTCCATCACACGCGTCCAAGTACTCCACAGCGTGGCTGGCAAGAAAGGGTATAAAAGAAAAAATCTAATGACATGGCCTCCTTGTTCACCTGATCTGAACCCCATTGAGAACCTGTGGTCCATCATCAAATGTGAGATTTACAAGGAAGGAAAACAGTACACCTCTCTGAACAGTGTCTGGGAGGCTGTGGTTGCTGCTGCACGCAATGTTGATGGTGAACAGATCAAAACACTGACAGAATCCATGGATGGCAGGCTTTTGAGTGTCCTTGCAAAGAAAGGTGGCTATATTGGTCACTGATTTGTTTTTGTTTTGTTTTTGAATGTCAGAAATGTATATTTGTGAATGTTGAGATGTTATATTGGTTTCACTGGTAATAATAAATAATTGAAATGGGTATATATTTGTTTTTGTTAAGTTGCCTAATAATTATGCACAGTAATAGTCACCTGCACACACAGATATCCCCCTAACATAGCTATAACTAAAAACAAACTAAAAACTACTTCCAAAAATATTCAGCTTTGATATTAATGAGTTTTTTGGGTTCATTGAGAACATGGCTGTTGTTCAATAATAAAATTAATCCTCAAAAATACAACTTGCCTAATAATTCTGCACTCCCTGTACATTAGAAGAAAAAGCCTCCTAAACACACAAATACTACAAACAGTCTGAAAACAAACAAACACACAGTATCATAAGCAGCCACCACAAAACATTACTACCAGCCCACATACAAGCACACAACACCACAAGTAACTTCCCACCCATGCAACACCACACACAGAATACCACAAGCAGCCCCCACACCCATAACATGATACATACGTAACTCCACAACACCACATACTGGTCACGCACATACACAATATAACACAGTCCAGATACGTACAAATACAACCTTACAAAACGACATACACGCACATTAATAAAAATAAATAAATAGGACAGGCATGCTAAGGAACTTCAAAGTCTTGTTTTGGCACAGTGCTGCTAAAAGGTTGCCTAGCCCTGTATTAAGCTATAGGTCCTTAGTTATGAAGAACATTAGCTTTTATTTTTAAAACAGAAAACTGCATTGATTTCTATTTAAATATTGTTTATTGCACATTAACAACCCATTCTCCTAATTAGTTTGCATTGTTATTATACAACTATCATTTATGTGTTTAATACTGTAAAACAACGATACTGAAATTCTTACTTGCATCTTTATCTTTCATCCTTATTATTACATATTTTAGTTTTCCGACGTTCTTTGTCTTCAGATTAAAGATGTCCACCTTAAAAGAGATGAAAATGACAACATATTTTAAATGCTATTAAATTGCATTTTGAACACAGAGGGTTTTATTCACTAAACCACTAAACACTGACTTGTAGTCAACTAAAAACTGGCAAAATTTGGACAAAAATAGCGGGGCTGTAACTATAGATTTTTTGGAGAATTTTGCTATTAGTTTTTCAGTTCTCTACAATGCGGTGTTTAGTGAATGAATCCTGGAAATGTACCTGTCCAGAACGGAAAGGGATGGAATTAGTTGACGAGTTTTCAAGGTATTGTTTTTCAGTTCTGCCCTTTTCACCAATTAATGTAATCAAGAGGACCTGCTTGGTTTCTGATGTAGGACTTGATCCAGTGTGTATTGTAATTTTATATTCTACATCATCTTTGTGTGTCTCCTTAGAGTCTATTTCCTGTAGAATACATGCAAACATAAAAGATGCTCATCAACGTTAATCGCTAGTGCCACCTGCATTATAAACCACCGCTTATTTAGTAGAAGTAACAGCAGCTACACAGACCACAAGTCCCATAATCCTTTGCAGTTGTATCTAGTCAAGAGGTTTGCAAGCAAAGACAAGCTAGCAAGGGGGAGACAGGACATTTTAGTCTGCTCTAATTTAAAGCAACTGGACCCGTATTTTTCTGCAGTAAATTCTCCAATGCAGTACATCATTATTTTAATTTCTGCTGAACTCACTATAAGCTTATGATATAAATGTTTCAAATTGATAGTGTTATACCAACCACCATGACCACTTCAGTGATTTGAAGTGGTCATGGTGGTGGTAGGCTGTATGTGCAAACTGCTCGAAATGTTGTACATACAGAGTAATCTGCAATTATCTGCTAGGGGCTTTTTACACCCCTAGCACACGTAACAGAGTTCCGGGCTGCCTAATGTTCTTATTGTGCATAAAATACCTCTGTCATCAGTGTGCATAGCATGCTGGGCATGGACTTATTGAGCTTCATCTTGGAGCCAGCAAGGGGAAGCGTGGATGTCCCCTCACTCCTTTAGCATCCCTTCTGAGCCCTCTGCATAATGCTAAAAATGTTTGTGGTTTTTTAAAAAGTTTTTTTTCTCCCTCCCCTCACTGGCTCAGATTGCGCGCATGCGCTCTGAGCCAGCCAAACGGTCCAATCGCATGCTTCTCTATGAGAAGCAAAAACATTTTTTTCAGGTTTATTGCACAGCAAAGAAGGTCACCCACAAAAAGAGTTGGAATAACCCTTCAAGGTCAAAATAGCCAAACTGGAAAAATTCTCTAAGTCAACTATGCTTTACGTTCGACTACTGTAGCCTTAAATTTGAAATTCACTTTAAATTCACACTTTAGTAAATAGCCCTATAAATATAAGTTTTGAGAGTCCTGCTTGCCAGCTTGAGGACAATATGATACATTTATCTCAGTCATTAGGTGTGTTCTCCTTTAATATAATCTAGAGATATATGTTTATTGAGCAAGTCACACTGTACTGGGATAGGCTGTGTGTCAAAGGTAATAGATTTCCATGTTTCTGGGAACTTAGAAACCGTTTTAGCTTACTATATAATCTGAACACACCATGCCCCTTGTTGTTGTGAAACTTTGAATTACATAAAAACCCTAAAACCAAAGTATGATTTCCTCTAGCTCTCTCTCTGTGAACATAAGGCCAACCATGCTTCCGTTTCCGTAGCCCACAAGCTTTGATTTCTTGTTACTGCTAAAGTCAAACTAGATAGAACATGATAAAGTAATAAATGGAAAGTAAAATGTATGTCGTCATAACCAAGAAGCTGTAAATGTGGTTTCTTATTAAAAAAAAAAAAAGTTCTCTCAATACATGTACATTTGTGGGGTTTTTGTTTGTTTGTTTGTTTTGTTTTGTTTCTGTAGGCCTTTGACTGTTAACACCAGGAAAATACCCAGATCCCTGTGATACACGAAATAAAAAGTACATAAGTCCTAAACTGAAATAACTGAACTATATGAGAATTGGGACTACACCTAATATAACACACCTATTTATTACAAAATTCAATAAAAACGAATATCTCAAGCTATAACATGTCATTTGAGTGTCAGAGGGGTAACAAAAGTATGTTTCTTCAGAAAATGCCAACTTACTGTTTGGTTCTTGTTAACGCTAAGGTCCATGTCTTCCTTACTGTGCGTTTTAACAGTTTCACCATGAGATGGCCAATCTGGACCTGAGCAGGATTCTTGTGATGGAATCTTCAAACATAAGGAATATCGGGGCCGATCCACCTTCGTCTTTGAACTACTACCAACTAAAACAATAAATGAAAACGACCCTAATCTAGCAAACATGCAAAATTAAAACAAATGTTATATATATTATTCCACTGATAAGTTTGCATCACCATTGAGTAGAGACACCAATCCTCATCTTTAACCAGGGAGCTTATATAAAATGTATGCTCTGTCTATATGGCACCATCGGTTTAAGAATCAAGATGAGTATACCAAAACAATGCAATTTAGAGGACTACACAGACTTTGTCATCCTCATTGCAGTAGCTTTCCTAACGAGTGGCCGGAGTCTCCCCATGATCCTTACCATATCTGATTTATTTAAAGTATTTTCTAATTTTTCCCTCTAATGTTTCATTCTCACTCATTTAAACCCTCCTCCTGCAGGGCCCCATATTGCATTTATAATGAATTCCTACATTTATAAATAAATACGATCACTATAACACTGAAAGGATGGATATGAGTTTAATATAGTCCAATGTTCTTCTAGCAAAATTATGTTAAATATTCAGTATGGTCAAAAATGGTCTTTGCCTAAATAGTAAATCTAAAAATAATTTGAGAGAAAACTTTTTTTTATTATTATTAAATCAGTTGTGTGTTGCACACATGTCTATGGTAGAATGGGCATTGTACGTGTACTACAGTGGCCTGTGCTATCACCAGTACATCAGCCCCTCGCAAACAACAGATTTTCTAATTAAAAAGACAATTTCATTATAACATTTACATCTGATCATACTTACTTCTGTTCTTCTGACGATAAGGTAAAAGGCTCTGGGAATTGTTCCATTTTGAAGAAGGCAGTTTTTCCTTATGAGATGTAGGAACCCGTTGGTGGGGCTTTCCTGAAGTCTATAGGAAGACATGATCAGATACCATAATACAATATAATGTGTATATACATATATATATATATAGACACTTTGATGGAACATAAAAAGTTATATTTGATCATGTATCTATGGCTTGGAGGCTATGAATTCAAACCAAAAGTTGCAAAACATTCTGAGCCGTGTGTCCATGTGTCAACTTTTTTTGAGCAGAAAAAGAGAGCTTCTTGAATGAAGAAAATGCACATATTACTTATTTTATCTGCTCATCCTTCTAGCCTTTTCCAACTAGGATAGTTTGGCATAAAAGGTAGAATGTAGAAGGTGTCAAATATTTGGATTCATATTGGATGAATAAATAAAATACTCACGATGCTTCAGGCATAAAATAAGGTATGTATTCTAACCTGTGTATAATGTAGAGTCAAATCAAGGGCAAAAAAAGACAAGGGATGTATAAGTTGATTAGTAAATTCATCCTGCTAGCTTGACCCCATCATTACTGACTTTGTTGGAAAGAGAATTCAAAGTAACATGACTGGAAAAATTAACACACATATTTGGAGCTTCGGAAGTTTGTAATTACAGGCATATGAAGAAGGGACGCAAATGCTTGAAATTATATTGCTTTTGCTTATTCTTTTAATTACACTTTATACAATGGAGCTAATAACAAAGCTTTGGAATCATTTTGGGAATGGGGTTAGATAGACAGCAGAAGGAATTCGGCAGCCAAAGCTCTGCACATGTCAATTATCCAATCGAGTTCATCAGATCTCTGAGATTTTTAAAGTAGAAAGATAGTTCATGTTTTTGGATTTTTTTCAGCCAATCAAACCATTACTACAATATTTCTGCCTGCTAGGAAGGTTCACTCTAGGAAATGTTCAAAAACCATAAAAACCATCTGGTCTAGAAGGTAGATCTTCTTTGTTCCTTTAGAGTGTGAATATATTTTGGTTTAGCCAGACTAATAAGTCAAATTTGGTCCAATGTTTGTATTGTTTTACTTCTAGAAACATAGACATAGAATGCAACGGCCCATCTAGTCTGCCCAATTTTCTATATACTCTCATTAGGTCCCTGGCCTTATCTTATTGCTAGGATTGCCTTATGCCTATCCCACGCATGCTTAAAATCCTTCACTTTGTTAACCTCTACCACTTCAGCTAGAAGTGGAATTCCATGCACTCACTACCCTCTCAGTAAAGTAATACTTCCTGATATTATTTTTAAACCTTTGCCCCTCTAATTTAAGACTATGAAGGTTGTCTACCCCTGGTCTGTGCCATCATAACTAACTGATCTTTGGGATCTTTTTTTCCAAAATTGAATGACCTACTCAATTAATGACTACAGGGCTACAAAGAGTTGTCAGTTCTTCATAAATAGTAGATTTTATGGGGGCATAAGGTCTTTAGGGTTGACATCAAAGTAACATTTAATCTTTAAAGTGTTAAGTACCCCAGCAGTTCGCCAGTGATGTTAGTAATGACAAGGTATACTAAATAAACTTTGGACAATATTGCATTTTCTCAGTTATGACTGAACGCAACAGGTTAGATAGTGTGTGTCTCCCCAACCAACATAACCAGCTTGGTCAGTCCCTGATTCTTGTAGTGACACCATTACTTACAGTGGCTACGATGAGTTTTGCAGCTGAGGAGATAAGTCTTGTAATTTCTTCTTGAGACATATCGGGAGGAGAAGTTTCATAGAGATGTGAAGAGATTTCTTCCAAGTCACTGGTTCTGCTAGACAGAAAATATAACCACCGTATTCACTGTTATTCTCTACAGAAATATGCATCAAAGATTCCCCCCCTCCCAAAAAAAAAAAACTTAACTGAAATTACTAGAAGCAAAATAACCTTACACATCCAAGCAGGTGGGGTTTTTCTGTAACTAATTGCCAGTATGTCCTTATTTATAGAATGAAACACTTCAGTTGTGGATGAAAGTACACTGTGTTATGTCTTACTGTAGAAAATGTTCTGACAGATCAAATACTTAAATGTGCATTGAATACACTGTGAATCGGGCTGCAGACATGCAGGACTCCACAAAATGATCAAAGAGCAATATTTTAAATTATGCTTGATCGAGGGTCAATTGTGCTGTCTGATCTTCCTAACATCATAGGAGGATGTGTTTAAAGGGTTACTCCAAGCACCATGATCACTTCAGTGATTTGAAGTCTGCCTATGCTGCGCTAGGCTTTGTTACTGCACCTCTGGCATGTGGCTTTGTCACTGCACCATAGTGGTGTCATTATCCAGCCCGGAACAGGAGTTCAAAGCTGACTTATGTTAGTTTTGTGCATATTCCTATGCACATAATTGCATTTATTTGCTGAGAGCAGTCAGCTGACTTGGAGCCCCGTGGATGGCTCAGGTAAAAGGGCAAATCATTGCAAAATGGTTTGCCCCATTACCGTGAAATGGGGTCAGAGTACTTTATGCATCATACCTACTACAGCAGGCTTCTCTTACACGTTTGACATCATGAGCATTTAATATGCCTCGTCAAGGAAGCTTAAAGGACCACTATAGTGCCAGGAAAACAAACTCGTTTTCCCGGCACTATAGGGTCTTTAGGTCCCCCCCACCCTCAGGTCCCACTGTCACCGGGCTGAAGGGGGAGGAAAGGGTTAAACACTTACCTTTCTCCAGCGCCGGGCTCCCTCGGCGCTGGGGAACTCTCCTCCCTCTTCCGACGTCAGCGCTGAATAATTAGTCCATAGGAAAGCATTTCTCACTGCTTTCTTATGGACGTCAGTGTCTTCTCACTGTGATATTCACAGTGAGAAGCGCGGAAGTGCCTCTAGCGGCTGTCAATGAGACAGCCACTAGAGGCTGGATTAACCCTATTGTAAACATAGCAGTTTTTCTGAAACTGTTATGTTTACAGCTGCAGAGTTAACCCTAGATGGACCTGGCACCCAAACCACTTCATTGAGCTGAAGTGGTCTGGGTGCCTATAGTGGTCCTTTAAGGCAAAGATGATTAATGAGCCACTATTTTCGCTTAACATGCTTGAGATGTATATGACATATTATCTTTTCTTCACTAGCACACACTAACTGTCAATGTTTATATTATACTAATATTAAATCTGCTAAGCATGTTAAGGAATGTGTTTCTTCACCACGACATAGTGTTGGAGTAGAGAATGTAGCCATATTAATCCAGTGATGCAAACATAAAATAACAGATGAAATAAGTATCTTGTAATCAGTGGTGTATTTTGGCTTTTTGCTGCCCTAGACATGAAGAAACTTGGAACCACCCTCCCCCCCCTCCCCCTATCTAGATCCCCCCCCACTCCTTCCTGTCAAGGCCGCACCTCTTCATGTTTAAGACCAACACACATTTTGACTAACACACCCTAACACACCAACTCAGTGACAGATACACACTCTCAGATACGCATACGCTGACATATGCACACACTCACCGATTTGACACATACAATCACTCAGACACACACTGACAGTCACACATACATACATACACTGACAGACACACACACACAATCACTAACAGACACATACTAACTCACTCAGACATGCACTGACATACACGCATACACTCACTTACTCACAGACATGCACTGACAGACTCACACACTCACTAACAGACACACACTGACAGTCACACATACTCACACACAGACATACGCTGACAAACCCACACTCACCTACTCACAGACATACACCGACAGACACACACACTCACTAACAGACACACACTGACAGACACACATACTCACAGGCATACACGGACAGACACACAAACTCAGGAAGAGCTCAGAGGACAGTGCTTCCTTGCTGCCTGCCCACAATATGAGCACCTACCAAACCCTGAAAGTGCAACCTAAGGCAAATGTCTTGCTAGACATGCTGTAAATACAGCACTGCATATAATAATTTTTTATAGATTTTTATAGCTACTTAAGGGTCACGACTTATATTCGTATCAACCCACACTATCTATGCAGACCCCTGTCCCAGGAGTTAGAGACAAAATCCAGAACACACTTAAATAAAAGTAAAACCATTTTTCTTGAACCAATAGAATTATGTAATGACACATATTTGAGAGATCCTCCCTTTTTTCAAGTGTAAAGCATTTATGAGCAAAAAACTACACATATAATCCTAAATTGTACACTGATCAGCCACAACATTAAAACTACCTGCCTAATATTGTGTAGATCCCACTCTTGCTGCCAAAACAACGCAACTGGTGTAGCTGGCTGACAGGCCTCTTACTTCCCTCAGCTCATTTGTGTCTCTATTCTCTATTAACCCCTTTGTGTGTCTCTTTTTCCCCCTCCCCTCTGTTTGTCTCTCCCCTCCTAGCCATTATGTGTCTGTTTGACCCCAAGCCCATCTGTGTGCCTCTTTGTCCCCCTAGTCCTTCAGTGTGTCTCTTTGTCCCCCCTTAGCCCCTCTGTATGTCTCTTTGTGTCCCCCATACTTTCTGTGTGTGTCTATTTGTCCCCCTAGCCCCTCTGTGTGTTTCTTTGTCCCCCCTCTGTAACTCTCTTGGTCCACCTCCTTCCCTTCTGTGTCTGTTTGTCCCCAAAGCTCTTCTGTGTGTCTCATTGTGGTCCAAGCCCCTCATTGTGTCTCATTCACCCCTCCAGCCCCATCAGGTGTCTCATTCACCCCCCAGCCACTCCATGTGTCTTATTTATCCCCATCCCCAGCTTCTCCATGTTTCTTATCACCCCCAGTACCTCCATGTGTCCCCCTCCACAGCCTCTCCATGTGTCCCATTTCCTCCACTTATGGTTTCCATTCCCTCCTCAGCCTCTCCCATCTATGTCCCATTTTTCCCCTTCTCATGTGTTCCTCCCCTCCTCCCTTCCCAGACTCTCTTAATGTGTCTCATTCCCCCCCCTTCCTCTCCATGTGTCCCATTTCACCCCCTCCCTATGTGTCCCATTCCCCCCTTCCCAGCCTCTCCTGTACATCCTGGCTGAGCCGCGGTAGAGGAGCTCCTGCTCACTGTACCCTGTCTGACCCCCCTCCAGCCCCATCAGGTGTCTCATTCACCCCTCCATGTGTCTCATCCCCTCTAGCCCCTCCATGTGTCTCATTAATCCCCCCAGTCCCTCCATGTTTCTCATTTATCCCCCTCCCCAGCCTCTCCATGTGTCTTATCACCCTCAGCCTCTCCAAGTATCCCAGCCTCTCCAAGTATCCCAGTGTCCCCCTCCAGCCTCTCCAAGTATCCCATTCCCATCCCCAGCCTCTCCAAGTATCCCATTCCCCTCCCCAGCCTCTCTATAATGTCCCAATTCAAGCCCCCCCCATGTGTTCCATTCCCCCCACCCTAGCCACTCCTCCTGGCCGAGCCGCGGTAGAGGAGGTCCTGCTTACTGTATGTGGTCTGAGAGAAAACATTTCTGTGCGTTTGCTCAGAAATGCTTTAGACCTGAAAAGGGAGGATCTCCCAAAAGCTCTGCATTCCAAAAATCTGTTATTTCAATACAAAATGAATTACAAGATACTAATATCATTTGTTATTTTACATCTTGACCACGACATGTATTTGAAATCATTTCTCGACTGATATACTGCACATACCAAATTTTCTCCCTATTTAAAAATTACACTAGGTAGCGCTGTTGCATTATTTTATACTTGTGTTACATAATCTCAAAATTTCTGACCTAGGGGATTGGCTTCTTGAAATGTGCCAGGGATCAGTGCCATATGTATATCCACATCTGACAAAGCATCATGGGAGCTGTAGTTCTTGAAAATCTGGGAATCTATCTCTTGGGCATCAATTCTTTAAAGTATTGTGATTAATATGGCTATCTGAATCTTTGTTACAGTGCCCTAATTTACCTAATTTTATATTATTGCACTTTAATAATAGATACAAAAATAAAACCTAATATTTAGAGATACCAGATCCACTATATTTCCAAGGACACATTTCATGTATATATATATTGATGGGCAGCACATGAAAAGGGCTGCTCTCCAGTATGCAGAATGACGGTGTATTAGATTAAGTAATTAGGCAATGAAGAATCCTACAGAATATGCCTTATACTGCAGGGCAACATATATTTGGTTTTCCCACAAATATGACAAAATTAATTATATGTAACCCTGAAAACATGATGGATCTGGTAACCCTAATAAACTACAATAAGGCATATAATCCATACATGAAAAGGGAGAGGAAATTGATGGGAGAAAAATCTTGCGTTACCGTTAACACGTCTCTTAACATGGGACACTCATTTTAAAGATGTGTGGCTAGGGGTGGGGCTGTTCTGAGAATTTTAGATAATTTACAAATTTATACAATAAACAAGAACAATATTCTGATTTCTAAACACATTTATTGTAGTTTCAATACACATTACTGTGAGTACTATCGCTGTGGAGCTCTGTTATACACTCAGACACACCAACAATATGGAGCTCCTAGAAAAGAGGGACAGATGGATTTGTGCACAAAATATGGACTGTCCTTCCTAAATAGGGACACTTGGGAGGTATGCTCTCGATGAAGCCAATGAGAGATAAACATAGGTGTCCACTCCCATGCAGGGTGAAGCAGATTTAAGATAGCAGGGAATAATACCTGGGTCTTACATAAACTCTTCTTGGATAAATATTGTTAGCGGTATTGAGATCCTGTAAAAAAATAAAATAGAGTAACAAAATGGACATTGAGTAGACATAAACAGGTCATTTAAAACAAGTAATATGTACGCTAACAAACAAAATGCATATTTATAATTAGGCAAGGAGTACCGCTTTAAATAGACCATTAAAGGGTACTATAAGGAGGGTGGGACATCTCATCTGACTGTCTCAGCACTATAAGGAAGGATGTGTATGTATCTCAAAGACGCATTTGCTTATTAACTAAAGAGGAAATTGCAATTTTTTTGTCCAAATTAGACATACTCGAAAAATGCTCTAGCTCAGATATTTTTCTGATTTAACCATAGGAGCCTAAAATGTGCAATTCTCCACAATTCCTTATCTAGTGAATATCCTAATTTACTTCTTTAGTTCTGTAAGTCCCAATGTTTGAAACTTCAAATTTAACATAACATTGCCATATGGTACAAAAAATGAACAATTCTGGATAGTCTCATTAACTATTAATCACAATGTGATATACAGACATTTCTACAGAGACATCACCAGAAAGAATCAGGCTGAAAATAAGTACACCCTAAATTCCCAAGTGCATCTAATCTCACACACCCAAGTTCTTACATGTAGAACTGGAAATATTTTATGGACTTCAAATAATTTATTTTAATCAGAAGTGGAGCTTAAACCAGCCGTGCACACTAGATACTTTTTACTGAAATTTGTTTTTACTGAAACCATAAGAAAATGTTTCTCTTGACGCTAATACATTTCCTTGAAATATTATTCCATGTATGCTGGTTAATTAACAAAGTAGCAAACATTACGTGGATCAATTAAATATAGCCTTTGATGTTTACCTTATTAGAAATAGATGACATTTTATCTTTTATTTTTCTTTGTACATGTTGTTTCCTCTCTGGATCTATAAATATCTTTTTGTTTTGTTCTCCAACTACTTTTGCAGAGCATATTCGAATAGATGTTTCCATCTGATTATCTAAAAATACCTTCTTGATTCTCTGGATTCGATGAGGTGCATGGCCCTTTGAAAGCTGTTTATAAATAAAATATGTAAAGGCTCTAGACACTGATATAAAGTGATCTATGCACAAGAGCAAAATACATTATTCCCAATAACTGCAACACACGACTTAAAAAAACACTCCAGACACACAAGGCACTTCAGCTTCTTAAAGAGCTTTATGTGTCTAGAGTGTGTCAGTTTATAAAATGTGATTTTTAAAGAAATCAGCAGTTTTATAAAACTCTGCTAAAATGGCACCTTAGGTTGTCTTCCGGTTCGGCTAACTAGACAGATTTAAAGGGATCCTATAGTGCCAGGAAAACAAAGCTGTTTTCCTGGCACTATAGCTTTAAAAGGTACCCCCTCCCTTGCACCCCCCCACCCGCAGGGCTGAAGGGGTTAAAACCCCTTCAGCCACTTACCTGAATCCAGCGCCGATGTTACCCTGGCGCTGGGTCAGGCTCCACCCACGCTACTCCCCTGCCGACTTCAGTCGGCAATGGCCACGCTCGCATTAGGATTTCCCCATAGAAAAGATTTATTCAATGCCTTCCTATGGAGAAAATCTGACGCTGGAGGTTCTCATGCAGAGCGTGAGGATGTCCAGTGTCAGATAAAGGACCAAGGGTAGATAGACACTGAGGGCAGACTTAGAGCTGCATGTAAACTTTGCAGTTCTCTGGAACTGCAATGTTTTACATTGCAGTACTAAGTGCAATAGGGACACAGCAGCCAGACCACTTCAATGAGGTGCATACAGTGTCCCTTTAACAGAAGTGGCAGGCAGTTTGAGTGAGCATGTACCTACCTTTCCCCCTTCTACATGAGCTGTATTACAGCTCATTGAGAAACAGAGGAAAATCATTTGTGTGTACGTGTGTGCGAGCTTGTGGCCCTAGCAATGAGGTATCTCAACGAGAAGCCACTGATTGAATTATTTCCCGGCACAAACTGAAAGTGTGTGCTTGTAAAGAGGGGAGGGCTTGCAAATGCTGCTGACAGCAGGTCTGCAGCTTTTTCAAGCATTTTTGTTTCATACACCACCAAAGAAAACATGCAGAAAAAATACACGCATGTTTTCTTTGAGGGTACATCTACAAAATTAATAATTTTAATGGAGTGTTCTGTTAAAGGAACACTCCAAGTACCATAACTAACTGTAGAAATGGTGCTAGGAATGTTTGTTAAAAGGACACTCCAGACACTTACACAACTTCATACCTCCCAAGATTTTACTCTGATTTTAGGGGTGTGAGTGGGAGTGTGACCATGGGTGGGGCTGTTCGCAGAAATTGTAGGTGACTAGTAAAATGTATGCAAATAAAATATAATTTAGGACAAGAAAAATGTATTTTATTTACAGAGACTGATTTCTAATCACATTTATTGCAATTTAAGACACATTATTGTGAGTATTTTTTCAATGTTATGACATTAGGATAGAAAAAAGGGACAAAGGGATTGGTGCCCAACATAGGGAATGTGTGAGAATACAGCATTGAGGTCTTTGGAGGATCCCGTAGGACTGCAGGATCCTCTGTAAACAGAGTCAATTCCCAGCAGCCATCACTGGTTACAGCTGGTGGGATTGATACTTCTAGTCGGTAGCTCTGCCTAGAAGTGTCAGGAGAAATATACAGAGACAAAGTAGCCCCTACATTATCTCTGTATATTTCCTGGCTGGGTTGGAATTTTAGTGAAATTTTAACACAGTCATAATAAGTATTTTATAAAGATCCTATGGGGGCAAGTGGGGCAGGGGTGACAGTGTTGCTTTAACCCCTTAAGGACACATGATATGTGTGACATGTCATGATTCCCTTTTATTCCAGAAGTTTGGTCCTTAAGGGGTTAATATGTATTCACATTCATGTGTTTATTTCCTTATTATTCATGTTGATAAACAATAATACACTACAAACTTTACTTACTTGGTACAGTTTATAATTTTCAACAGTTTTACTTTGGTTTACAGACAGATCGAACCCAACTTCTTTTCTTAGTACTTCAACATAATATTTTCTGCAATGGAAAAAAAATAGTTACAAATTATTTTGGTGAACTGAAATCTGGATTTTATATTGCTACAATTTACGATATTATTTACTAAACTAAGCTGTGAATTCAGAGTGAGTTTCAAATTTAAGGCCAGAGTAGCCAAACTGAAAGCATAGCTGACTTAGAGAAATTTTCCAATTCTATTACTTTGACCTTAAATTGAAAATTCACTTTGAATCCTCACCTTAGTAAGTAACACTTTTAGAGTTTTGTGAATAAACAACATAATATCGATACCATATTTCTGTACTTCCTGACTTTTGACTCACCCTGAATTTTTAAACATATATTTGATTTTCATTTTATACATATACTCTATTTTTATTTATTTATTTTTTTTGTAACTATTGTTTATTTTTTTTGTGTCCATTTTTTTGTCTGTTAGAATCTAGAATGTCATAATTGGGACAGTGAATTCACTCACCAATTACCTTTCATAAAGTGTAAAAAGTATGCAAAGACCTTTTTAAAAAAAAAAAATGCAATCACAGCCAAATCTTTTTTTCTGACTTGTACTCACAGCCTTGCAGCTACTGCAGGAATCACATTGCTTGGGGGTATATTACAATCCATTCCTCCTGATCACTGCACTCTATGGTGGATGTTTTCTGTTGCTATAGTAACAGAGGGTGTGGAACTCTACCCCAGACCTGCTGATGACGCGTGCGTTCCACCGAGCAGGAAGTAAGCTGTACAGACTCTAAGCAGCATGCCTGGGAGGATGACGTCAAAAGAAGGCGCCGATTGAAGTGTGTGACAGGCTTGGCTGGCTGCTGAAAGGTCGCTCAGTTTCTGGGATGGGGAGAGCAGCCGGCGTCCTGCTCGGGGGGCTCTGCTCAGGCATTAAGAGGCTCCCCGGGGTCCAAGGTATTGGGGAGAGGGGCCTAACTAATACTGTTGTAGTCTGTGCTACAAGGACTGGATACATGCCTCTCAGGGGTGGACACAATGTAGATCACCAGCTGTTGTAGGACTGCAAATCTCATTATGCAGAGCCAACTTTTAGCATAAGCAAAGCAACATGGGAGTGGTAGTTCTGTGCTCTACATCCTGCCCCCACCTGCCCCAACACATGAAGTATAACAGTTGGCTAACTGCCACAGGTCTGTTATATAATGTGTCCATCTGTCAACAAGAATGTGATCACTCTAAACACTTATGTATCCAGGTTTTTTTTTTTTTTTTAGTTAGAGCATGTTTTATTGACTCCTGTTTGATGTTGGTCTGCAAGTGCAAATAATATTATTTTCCCAAGGTCAAAAGTAACATTAAGGGGACACTATGTCCATACAGAGGACTGCATCCCATTGAAGTGGTCTCGGTACAGTTTTTGAGAAACTGCAATAATTAGCTTGCAGGACTAAGACTGCCTCTAGCGGCTGTCAATCAGACAGCCACAAGAGGCAATTACTGGATGCTAGCCTAGATGACACTGGGCATCCTCACGCCGTACATGAGGACATCCAGAGTCAGTAAAACCTCCCTAGGAAAGCATTGAAGTAGTGGTTTCCTATGGGGAGGGTCTAATGTGCTCACAGTGCATTGATTCGATGCATCTCTATGAGGAAAGTTCAGTGTCTCCATGCCGAGGGTGTAGACACTGAATAGCACTGCCCCAGGAAGCACCTCTAGCAGCCATCTGAGCCACTGGCAGTGTCCCTAGGCTGTAATGTAAACACCTCATTTTCTCTGAAAAGACAATGTTTACTACAAAAAAACACTTCAACAAAATCAGTGTAAATTTTGTCTAACCTGGACAATCACTATCCAAACTGGAGGACATTGACAAAGTGTCAGTTCTTCTATGAATTCTATTCCATGAAACACCAAATTTAAATGTGAATATATGAAAACTTGTAAGTGGAGGTGTGAGAGAAATTGGTAAAGAGGGATGTTACGTAAGATTGCTTGACAAAATGAGAAAGCTAAACTGAATTCATGTAGTCTGGGAACTTATTTATGGAAGTCATGCTAGGGAGGAATAATGGAGTTGTCTATTGGAATGAGCTACATTGTGTCAATATTCTACTGTATGTTTTCTGGAAAACTTATACTTTGATCGTAGATTCTATTTTTTTTTTCTGTTTACTAAACACATATGAAAACAATGTTTAAACTTGTTAATTTAGTAGATACACCACCTATGAAAACATGCGTGTATTCGGTTATGCATTTTTTTTGTTGCACATCTGCAGCCTTGGCATACCATTCCAGTCTAACCCAGCCCAGATATTCTGTGACTATCCAGTCACAGATTTCCCAAGGCAGATTAATGAGAAGTCTTTGCAAGGCAGGTGCTGTGAGCAATTGCTGCCTCTTGACTTTTGCTTCACTGAGCTAAACAACTGGAAGGTCACAGGACTAGTTGTCTGACAGGCAGGGCGGTTTAACAAGGTTAATGTATAAATGTGCCAATTTATATTGAAAGCTTAACTTTTTGTAAATGAAAAGAGGTCACACTCTTCACGCAAACTAAAGTTACATAATAGAGTTCATGGAACTCTCCGGGCACCATAACAGCTTCATTAAAATTAAAGTTGTTGAGGGGCGTGGCCAACTGCCGAAGCAAGCGGTCGCATGGAGTGAGAGCTCCGAGCTTCGGATGACATAAACGCCAACAACTCCTATCATACACAGCCCCACAAGAGGCAAATAAGCCCAGGAACGAGACTGCACTCATGGCCCCAGCCAAGCAAACTAAACTGACGGATCAAATTCGATCCGCGAGGAAGGACCGCATGCGGCCTTCACAAGATGGCGACGACGGACCAGCCTGCTCGCAACTAACTGAAGGCACACCTGAGCCAGAAGGAGAAACCTGCCCATACACGGACGCCCCAGTGACGGAAAAACGGCTGTATCTTATGCTACAGGACTTTCGGGTCACTCTTCAGTCTGATCTTAAAAAAGCGACTAGTGAAATAAAAAGAGAAATATCTGATCTGGGTGAGCGCACAAACCAACTTGAGGCCCGCACAGACGACCTCTGCAGTGAGCAGAATGAGCTGGCAAGTACAGTACAGCATCTAATGGAGGAACAACAACAGCTCAAACGCAAACTGGCGGACTTGGAGGATAGGTCCCGCAGAAACAATGTCAGATTCCGCGGGATACCAGAAAAAGTGGGCCTAGAGGAACTGCCCTCATTTCTCAAAGGGCTCTGCACCACCTTACAGCCTGATATAGCCGACGAAACATGGCTACTGGACCGTGCTCACCGACTACCACGACCACCGAGGCTGGCGCCAGATACGCCTCGTGATGTGATTGCAAGGTTTCACTATTTCACCTCAAAGAATGCTCTGCTGACTGCATCACGTAACTTGGACAAGCTACCAGAACCGTACACCAACATTAACATATATGCGGACCTATCAGCCCTAACAATGGCCAGGAGAAGAGAGTTTATAACGGTGACAAAAACCTTAAGGAACCACAACATCCAATACAGATGGGGATATCCGACGAAAATTATAATATGGAGGAACAACAAGAATCACACGGTTAATGAACCAGAAGTAGGCATGCGCCTAATACGGGAATGGGGACTGTTCCCGACACAAACGACGGTAGCGGCCGCTACTGCACCACAACGAAGAATGCAAGCAGAATGGCACATGGCGGGATCGCCGACTAAAGCATAAAAGACTCTGTTCCAGGGACTCTTTCCTCACCCAGCATATGCTATGCTGACCTACCTCACGTAACTATGACATATGCAATTTGACACACATGGTATTAGGAACATGCACATGGCTCATGTAATGCCAGACAACGTGCTGTAACTGACTGATTGTAGCTGGCACGGGAGGTGGGGGGAGCCCCTGGGACTGTATGTATGACAATATGTATATCTGGGCACTACGCAGTGGTTATGCAAGGGCTGTGTACCCTTAATTAGCACATAAGTCATCCTCACCCCCGCTCTTAACACCGAGCGCACCCCCACGGATGAGCGCAGATACTAGCACCAAGGGCTGGTCTGTGTCTCAGCCGGAGAAGGCGCCAATCGTCCTGAGGGCGCTGTGTAAATACTTTAGTTATGTTGTGAAAAGTTTACTTCTGTTATCCCTACCAAAGTTTCTATGTTCCCTGGTCAATCCACCCCCTCCTAGGAGACCTATACCACTATCAAAGCAAACATGCTTTCCACAATTTAGCAATCTGTTACCCACACAATATGGATAATACCCTAAAAATTCTGTCCATGAATGTCAAGGGTCTCAACAGCCCGCATAAACGTAGGTTGTTATCACAGGAAATGTTTCGCTCCAGGGCGGCAATAGTGTGTCTCCAGGAAACTCACTTCACTATACGTAAACCACCCACCTTTAAGTTCAAACAATATGGTCAAGCTTATCACGCCATGGCTACAACTAAGTCCAAAGGGGTATCAATATATTTTCACGGGGACTGGGTATTTACGCCAACCAAACAATACGTCAGCAAAGATGGCAGGCTGCTAATATTAGTGGGCTCATTAAACGGCCTCCAATTGACAGTAGCCTCCCTGTATGCTCCAAATGATACGCAAAAAGAATTCCTGACCAAAGCGTTCCGCAAATTAGACCAATTCAAAATGGGACACACTATTGTATGTGGCGACTTTAATTGCACGCCTGACCCGCACATAGACATGCAGCGGGTACAAAACCGACCTCCTAAACAAGTCTCTCTGTCCTTGAGCAGACACTTGACAAACCTGCTGCACTCCTCTGACTACTATGACGTGTGGCGTAATTTATACCCGGGTATAAGAGATTATACATTTTATTCCTCAGCCCACATGACGTACTCCAGAATTGATCTCTGCCTCTTCGACAGGAGCACAGTCACACGCTATAGACATGCACATTGGCCCCATAATATGGTCGGATCATGCCCCCTTGGAAATAATAATGAAAATACCACACCCGGCGAGGGGGAGAGGCACTTGGAGAATGAACGAGGCCCTACTAGACAACCCGCACCATTTTACGCACTTGAGAGACACAATAGAAGCATACTTTGAGGCTCATACACACTGTGAAACCACACTGGCAACACAATGGGTCGCACACAAGGTAGTTATGAGGGGAGAATTCATCAAGTTGGGAGCCAACACCAAAAGAGCAGCGGGCATAGAACACACAAAACTCATACAAGAAATTACAGACACAGAACTCCGCCACAAGTCAAACCCATCTAAGCAAACCCACACACGGCTACAGACACTCAAGACCAAATTACGCGAGCTACAACTACTAACGACTAAGAAGCAAATGCGATACCTGAAACAATCTCACTATACACTAGGGAATAAAGCAGGCAAACTGCTAGCCGGCCGCCTGAAACAAAAATACCTCCAATCCAAGATCCCCTACATATTCTCCAAAAGTGGTGACAAAATCTATAACCCCCAAGACATAGTGAATACATTAGCGGATTACTATGCGTCCTTATACCAACTGCATGCAGACCCAGCAACACACCAACCTACTACAGCAGAAATAGACTCTTTCCTAGAAAAAGCCTCCCTTCCCTGCATATCTCCAGATTTGAGTGCATACTTGAAGTGTCCCTTTACTGACGAAGAAATCAGGGAAGCCATTAAATCACTCCCAAAGCACAAATCCCCAGGTCCAGACGGCCTCTCCAATTACTACTATATCAAATACACAGACCAATTAGCACCCCACCTCCTAAAACTATTCAATGACATTAAACAGACAGGAAATATGCCCCGAGAAATGTTAGAAGCCTTTATTGTCACTTTGCCCAAACCTAACAAACCCTCAAATCAGTGTGCTAATCTGAGGCCGATATCCCTTCTTAATTCGGACACTAAATTATACGCTAAACTGCTAGCCACACGGGTCAAAAGGCTCTTCCCTACACTTATCTCCACTGAGCAGGCGGGATTTGTGCCGGGTAGGCAAGTGGGTGACAACACCCGCCAATTTCTAGATCTCATCGACTGGGCGAACCAATCCTCTCAACAGGGCCTGGTGCTGGCGTTGGATGCCGAAAAGGCGTTTGACCGCTTGCACTGGGGATACATGGCACAAACTCTGGCCAAAATGGGGCTCCCATCAGCCTTCCTCAATAGTATAATGGCCCTCTACCAATGCCCATCGGCAAAGGTCTTTAGTACCGGCTTTCTATCCGCATCCTTTACAATACACAATGGCACGCGACAGGGTTGTCCGCTGTCACCACTCATTTTTATCCTATGTCTAGAACCCTTGACGAAACATATAAAAAATAATGCACAAATTTGTGGACTGGCGACACCAAGGGGTATGCAGAAGTTGGCTCTATTTGCCGATGACATACTCATGTTCATAACACAACCCACAAGCTCCATCCCGGCCCTTCTAGGTCTTCTTAGCGAATATGGTAGGGTTTCCTACTATAAGAATAACACCACTAAAACGCAAGCACTACCAATCAACCTAACGCACCAAACGCAAACGCAGCTCTCCTCTGACTACACCTTTGACTGGCGTAAAACGTCTCTCACTTATTTGGGAATCAAACTGACGAAATCCCACCAGACCGTTCTTAAAGAAAACCACTACCCTGTCATAAACAAACTAAAATCGACGCTAGAACAATGGGAAAACCTAGAGATATCCTGGCTGGGCAGGGTAAATACGATTAAAATGATGGCTCTGCCCCATATTTTATATCTCTTCCGTACGATACCAATACCACTGCCCAACAAATTAATAAAATTAATGCAATCTGTTATCAATGCGCATGTCTGGAAACGAAAACCCCCGAGAGTGGCCCAACGAAACCTGAGCCTTACTTTCACCAAAGGGGGGCTGGGTCTACCTGACATTAAGACGTACTATAGGGCATCGATTTTAGCACAGGGAGTACGCATACTGAGACTTCAAGACAGCTCCCCTAAGCCACTATGGCTTACACTGGAAGATGCCTACCTGCACCCACATAACACAACCCAAGCATTATGGGCCAACGCCCCCACCAACTTCGATGGAACATACCTCCCACGGTGCTCCAGATTTCTGCTGAGCTCGTGGCGAACCTGGAGTCACCTAATATTAGACCCACATTTGCTCTTCAGGGAAGTTCCCCTAGGGATTCTGACCATACTCTCTCCAGACCTACCCATGGCAAGCTGGATAACCAGGGGAATACATAGAGTTAAGGACCTACTAGAGGGAAACGAACTAAAACTGTTCCCTGATCTCCAGAGGGAATTCTCTCTGGCCCAAAGGGATGTGTTCCTTTACCTTAGAACGAAAAACATACTGTTACCACACATACACAAACCTAGTACAGGATCCATGAAACCACCCCTACCACTCAATAGGGCTCTCACCGCTAAGCATGGAAAACCTCTATCCATGTGCTACAACGCTCTATTGGAGCCAAAGCCCGGTGAGAAAAGATCCTACATGGAGCAATGGGAAGGGGAACTGGGTTACCAACTAACTCTGGCACAATGGTACGAGGCACTATCCAATACAAAGGGCGCTTCCAAAAGCCTCTCGCTGTGGGAAGCATATTGCAAAATAGCCATGAGATGGTACCTAGTCCCACATAGATTAGCAAAGATTTACAAGGGCACATCTGGGCTCTGCTGGCGCTGTGAGGGGGGAGCGGGCACCATGCTACACATGTTCTGGGACTGTAACGCACTAGGTGCATACTGGACACAGATCCAAAACCTTATTTTGAACACTACAGGTCTCCTTATTAATTTGCGTCCAGAACATTACCTGCTACACATGATTCCTGATCTGTCATCACACCCCCACAAGGTAGTACTGATAAACATCCTCACAGTAGCAAAAATCCTGCTAGCACAACACTGGAAAAGCCAGACAATACCTACCATGGCTACACTCACGGAAAGAGTGGATGTCATAAGCTCCTACGAGAAGATGGCGAGTAGAGTACAGGGACAGGAAAGAAAGTACGCTGGGAAATGGGCAAGTTGGAACCTTAGGACATGAGTATCTCCCCATGTAGAGCACTCACCTCAGATAATACTTACCTCACAGCTGAAAACTAAAATAATGGGAAGCAAAACTGGGAATCCTAGATCTCCCCACCCGAATTACGGTCTCCCCCAATCCCCCCCCCCCCTGTGTTTCCATTCCCCCTCCCCTTATAAAAGGCCAATCACTCCAAACGACGAACTGATCACTACATGGTCTTGCAGTCAACGCATCTCTAGAGGCAATTAATGTGCCCATATCACAATGCAAGTAGAGAAACGAATGTATCACAAGCTGTACAAAGTATCCTTTGTAAACAATGAACCATAATGACGGCATGTATATATGTAATGTAACAATGCACATACCTGTTGAAAGTATCTGACTGCAACGTAATCTGTTTCATGCTGTTGGCAAAAATAAAAACTAAATATGGAAAAATTAAAGTTGTTATGGCACCACGAGGACCCTGGTGATTAACTGATGCTCGAAGCGAAACGGAAGCTTTACATTTATAAAACCACATTGAAAAATATAAGGTTTTTTTCAAGAAGTTCTTCATTCTGAAGAATATCAGGAAGTGGAAGGACAGGGGGCAGAGATATCCGGCACTTAAGCACAGACTTTGGGGTTTAATCTGTAATTTAACCCCCCTAATAATGTAACAGACAAAAAGTACTTGGAATACCGGGAGCTCGTACCACTGTGCTGTGAAGTACAAATACATTAGAAGATCAAAGGATAAAACTGAGAGTGTGGTAAAGGGGGAAAAAAAAAAGTCCCTACTCTAGGACGGAGGATGCTAGACAAGGAACTCCAAATCCTTGCCAAGTAATACAAAGAAAAAAACAAAAAAATGCGAGAAAAAGCAAGTGCTCCAAATCCAAAAGGAACGGTTTATTCCACAAGATACAAAACAAATAGGGGAAAACAAAAGCCCCCAAAAAATTAATTTTCCTTACATGTTTCGGACCATCTGGTGCTTAGTCATATGAGCTATGCAATTTTGGGCACCTGTTCTAAAGAAGGATATTACGGCACTAGAAAAATTGAATAGACGGGCAACAAAATTAATAAAAGGAATGGAACATTTTAGTAATGAAGAAAAGTTAACAACTTTAAACCTCTTTAGTTTATAAAAACAGTGCCTAAGATGGGAGATATCATTATACAAATATATTCGGGGCCAATATAAACCATTGTCTGGAAATCTATTTTTAAACAGGACTATACATAGGACACAAGGTCACACATTTAGACTGGAAGAAAGGAGATTTAGTCTAAAGCAAAGGAAATTTTTTTTTTTTTTACAGTAAGAACAATAAGGATGTTTAATTTTCTGCCTGCAGAGGTAGTTTTATCAGAGTCTATACAGACATTTAAACAGCAACTGGATGCATACTTGCAAAAACATAATATTCAGGGAAATCATATTTAATTTGTGGGGTATCTCGATCAATTCTGACTGCCATTCTGAGGTCAAGAAGGAGTTTTTCTTAGTTTGTTGCAAAATTGGAAGTGGTTCAAACTGGGTTTTTCAGCAGCAAAAACATGTGAGAAAGGCTGAACTTGATGGACGCAAGTCTCTTTTCTATGTAACTATGGTTATGATGGAGCTGTATATGCTATGAATATAATGAGGGTTTTGTATGTGGTATTTTAATAGGCACTGTATCGTATGGACAATAGACTGGCATTCTGCATGACATAACAGTATAGTATGCTTGTAGTGGGTGCAGTTTGTTTACACTAAATAATGCATGACTTCTAAATCTGTAAGCTCCTTTTCTCAAAGGACACTTTGTTTGTGAAGCCCGGCATTGTATTCTTCAGTTCAACACTCTTTTCCTCTGAGCTGTTTAACAGCGATATGATCAGCCCCTGCTATTGTCACAAACATAAATTCTTGTCCTTTTGTTTTTAAGTTGCTTTATTAAGTCACAAGCTTAAAATCCTTTCCAAAGAGCAATATCATTTGTGAAAATGACCTCTTTTTATATATGTTTTTTTTCTCCGCTATGTTGGAGCAGGTGCAGGCTTGCAATACTGTTTACAAGTGAACCGCACACCAGTCAGACAGTGCAGCTTTGGGAATTCCACTAACGACGATGATGAAAGAGCATTGTTGGATCGGATAATAAGGGTAGATCATGCGGGAGAGTATGGAGCTAATCGTATCTATGCTGGACAAATGGCTGTCCTGGGCAGATCAAGTGCAGGACCCATTATTCAGGTTTGTATTAACATTTATAAGTGTTGTTTTCTATTCATGCTGTGTGCAAAGTGAAGATTGGATTTCCCTCGAGTTAAATATTGCTTACAAAATCTTGACAGTGGTGGTGTTTGATAATGTACCAATCAAGACATACACCGTGGCTCGTTTTATTAATTGGCAAGTCATAGCCATTGAGGTTTTTTAGTTTCAAACTTTTTTTTTATTATCATGAGTCGAATAGATTCGTTCAAATATAGGGTTTGTAAACAATTCATATGAAGTTATAAAATAAAATAAAATGACGCCTTATCGTATACGACTTTTTTCGTCTAGAGGGACCTTTTGAGTTTTCAAATGAAAGTTGTAACAAGTAGTCTTTGTCAGTGATTAGATTAGAGATTTGGGTACACGGTGTATACAGTGTTAAAATAATCTTACATAATTAGTTATTAGACAGTGTTACAAGGGTTTGGAAAACACTGTTAGTATTACTATAGATGTATAAGTCAGGGAAATATAAAGAACATAGTACTTATGAAATGAGCGCATTGGAATACAAAGGTAGCATGTCCCGAATCCAATATTTTGTGGACAAATGAGAAAAGGAAAACCTAATTCTACAAACATTGGACAATCCTTGGTTAATGCAAACATTTAAAGGGACACTCCAGGCACCCAGACCACTTCTGCCCATTGGAGTGGTCTGGGTACCAACTCCCACTACCCTTAACCCTGCAGCTGTAAATATTGCAGTTTTTATAAACTGCAATAATTACATTGCAGGGTTAACTCCTCCTCTAGTGGCTGTCTACTAGACAGCCACTAGAGGGCACTTCCTGGTTTCTAGCACAGATTATCTGTGCTAGGGCGTCGCTGGATGTCTTCACACTCTGTGAGGACCTCCAGCTTCACTCAATTTTCAATAGGAAACCATTGAAAGCATTTTCAATGCTTTCCTATGGAAAGCTGTAATGCGCGCATGTGGCATTGCCTCACATGGGCATAAGGTCTCCCCCCGCCAGCGGCCGCGTATGTGTGATCGGTCTCAGCGGATGACTGGGAGGAGCATGGGCAGACCCGAAACCACTGCCGAGGGACATCAGCGGGGGTCTCAGGTAAGTAACTTAAGGGGTTTTCACCCCTTCAGCAACATGGGATGTGTGGTGGGAGGGAGAGGGGACCTGCAGTGACTTACCTGAGACCCCCGCCGATTTGTTTTCCTGGCACTGGAGTGTCCCTTTAAGATTTTCCATATCTGCTGAAAAAGTAGAATTGTAGAATAGCACCGTAAACATTTGTTAACATGTTAATGATTTTCATCTTCTCCATTTTTTTATTGTCTGCTACAGCATATGTGGGATCAGGAAAAAGATCATTTGAAAAAGTTCAACGAATTAATGGTTGCACATAGAGTTCGACCCACAGTATTGCTGCCATTTTGGAACGTGGCTGGGTTTGCATTAGGTAAGCTTTTTTCATTTCTTTGAGATTTCTGTTTGACTGCATAGCAGAAAGCATGAATCATTCTTATCTGTTAATCACAGGTGCTGCTACTGCCCTGCTAGGAAAGAAGGGGGCAATGGCGTGTACGGTTGCTGTGGAAGCAACAATATCCGACCATTATAACAACCAAATTAGAACTCTGATGGAGAGGGACCCTGAAAAATACAGATCATTACTTGAGGTATTGGAATAGCTAATATTTGGATATACTGAAACTGTTCATACAATCAGTACAGTGTTTAGAGCAGGGGTGCCTGAAAGGTAGATCTACACAATCTGGAGAACTACAACTCCCATGAAGCTTTGCATGCCTTTAGAATGACAGAGCATCATGAAAGCTGTAGCTTTAAAGCATTTGTAGATCTACCCATTGGGCATTGCTGGTTTACAGGAACACCTTGAGAACTGTAGACACTACATCCCCATGTAGGGGTTATGCTGCCAGGACTTCCCTGGCATTGTCCCACACTAGGATGTCTGACCATTTTAGTGTGGTTTGACTGCTTACATGGGTCCTGATGGACCTTCGCACCTTCAGCCCCTGCTTCTGGTCTTCTTCTACCAGAGATCTAGTTATTTCTACCCCGCTAAGTATGGCCCTGCAGGACTGCACTCATTGGCTGAGAGCATTATCTGAATGTTCTCGAACAATGAGTCCAGTCATACATCAGCCAGGCTTTACCCTGCAGTGACCTTTCGCTTCTCCTGTGGGAGAAGGACAGAAGCAGTGAGGTTCCTGGAGACACCCAGGTAAAGTACTGAGACTCTACCAAAATAGTTTGACTATGTCTCATGGGACGGCACTCTTGGCAACATAACCACTACAGTGGGCTCTAGTGGTTATGGTGTTATATGTGTGATTCTTATGTTTTAATGATACATAAAATACAGGGAAAGGTAAGTAGCCTGCACTCACACTTCATGTCTGAGAACTTTCCAAAGGCACTACACCCTCTTTTTACCCTTCACACCTCTAACTGGACCAGAACAAAGACACTAGAATCCTACTATTCTTGTATCAATAAAGTTTGGAGTGCTTTTTCACTACTATGGTGTAGTGCTTTTTTTTTTTTTTGTAAACTACATTTTTGTTTTGAAATATGTTTTAATCATGGCTCACATGTTCATCTCTGCCCACTAGACAATGGCTACTGGGAGTGTAGCCCTGGGAAGTGTACCATGCAGCATAGCTGCCATATTGCAGCTTATTGTAACACTGGCTGCATTGCTCATATCTGTAGTTGGCACAGGGCACTAACCCATTAACACTCTCCAGAGTAGTTCAAATTCTTGAACAAATTTAATGCATAGCTCAGAGGCAGGCTGATAGATTAATAGCTATTACAAGTTAGCTGATTCGTGTTGATTCCAGGGACTCAAATTCATCACCAAAAAAAAAAAAAAAGCCATCACCTACATGCATCCTTTTCTGCAATTCTCTAGAAAAGTCACTGCAACTTTGGCAAAAGAAATAGGATAAAAACATTGTCATTCATGAGTAGGTATGAAACCTTATTAAATAGATTTTCCAGGCATACACCTAAAATAATAAAATTAATTACAGACTTGGTTACTAATATCTATCATAGATGAAAAATAAAATGAAATTGTTGGCAAGGTTCTAGAGTATCAGGTTTAATTGGCACTAGGCTTCTGTTATCTCCAGCTACTTATTGATCTCTCCTTCTTGTAAATTCATAGAAATATTGTCTCTTCCAATAAAATGTCAATCCTTTTACAGTCCTGATTTCAGTGCAAATTCTTCTTTTATTCCATCACATTGCTGCTCTCCATTGACATGTGTGTATATGTAGAAATTGTTCTTGAATTCTGTTTTTGTACGATCAGTAATATGTACACTTTTTTAAACCAGACTTTATATCTAACCGGTAATCGTTATTTTGTATTACAGACTATAAAGAAATTTCGAGATGAGGAAATGGCGCATCACGATACAGGGCTAGAACAGGATGCAGAGCAGGTACGGCAGCTCATCAAGAAAGACAAGTGATTGCAGTCTATATTATTTCATGCAATCATCCCTAGTATTTACAATGCTTTTACACTTTCCTAGAACAAGCAACTCTTGCACACATGCTATCGGATATATGCTAATAATCAAAGCATCCATCATACTTCAAAATGACTTTTTCTTATAATTGAGCCAAATAATGTCCTGTAGCTATATGTAGTGGAATGCGGTATACTACCACAATCTTACAAACAATATATGAGCATGATATACAGTGTACGTTGGGCATCAGTGCCTGTGTGACCCATTGAGTATTGTAAGGGTATTGTTTGCGGCAATTGACATGAATACCTTTCCGGCTTGCACCTCATAAATGTGCATCAGCATTGTTGATATACTGGCATAATAAAAGGGGCTACACAGCATAGATTTGTGGGTCCCTGCTTACAGAGCATAGGAGCTTTCTCCAAATTTGCATGTAGTCTGATTAGAGGACCAGTGCGGTAGCACAGATATCACTGTTCTCTTTCTTAGTCATTGCAATATTTTACTAACAAAAAAACCCCAGGAAACAAGAACAATTTTTATGTGGTTGTATTCAGCATCTTACAGGGATACAGTTAAAAGACCACTAACTATACCCATGCTATATCATTTCAATTAAGTGTTCTGTATGCAGCTGCCCTGTCGTTTTAACCCTGCCATGTAAAACACATGTTTACATTGCAGGGTTAAACATCACTCTATTGGCTGTCGGGAAGACAGGGTCTTTCTCTACTGCGACCTAGGTAAGTGTTGCTGAAAAGCTGTTCATTAGAGCTCTTGATCAGGTTTATGTCAGTTCATGTAGGAAGTACATGAATCACAGTTTGATCTATAACATTTAAAACAAACAATTAGTTAATTTTCAGTATCAATGCAGTTAGAATAACCGGTTTTAATAGATCCATGGTGTGCAGCTGTGATAATCACATGTAACCGCTGCAGAATGAATTGAGCTGGCACAGATAATCTATCAAATAAGGTATAATTTTCCTGTCTTCCCTGCAGGCACCAGCCTACTTCATCCTGAAGAACCTCATACAAGTGGGATGTCGAACAGCGGTGTATTTATCAGAACGTCTGTGACAAAATCTTACCCGGCAGCAAAGTTTCCTTCAAACAGATGGACTTGGCTTACTCGCTGCAAGATTGAAAAGCTTTGGTCAAGAAGATTGTCATTGCAGTTCTTCAGATGCACATTAGGTGGCAGTATAATCTGCACATAAATTCAGAACTGCTTTTCTTTGTCTGACCTGCATTAATGTAATGACTGAGCATTGCAACAGGTACAGCGACTTGCCTTAATGTTGTGTGTGCATTTAGTTTACAACATATTGGAGCTGGATTATTTTAAAATCTCACCAGTCATTTAAGACTCTTAAAATTCCTGTTGAAATCAATGAGTACTGCTGTTGTTTGTGAAATCATGAACAGTTATTCTGCCTCTGTTTTACTCGATGTGAAATATTGTGAACAGGATACAAATTGTTGGTTTTCATAGCAGCTATTTTTATGTTATTGGATCTGAATATGTATATTAAAGATATTACAGATTATTAAACCAGTGTGTCCTTTGACATTGACGGTACTTCAGAGATATTATATTTATTAAAAAGGATTCTAATAATACAAGAAACTAGGCCATTGGCAGAATTCATATGTGCCTTACGATGTGCATAAAAGTTTTTTCCATAAGTATACCATCTCACCTTGCTATTCCTCATCCCAGAAAAAATAAAAAATACATTTAAGGAATGTGGTTTTAAGGATTGTTTTTAATATGATAGCTGAACTCCTTAATAGATTAGAAATAGATGAAGTTAAGAAACCCAAATTTTATTTTGTCCGTGAAAATCAAATGGTTTTCACTTATACTTGTATATCAAAACCATATTGGATGTGTCCAACCTTGGCTCCAACTCTTGTTGGACTACAATTTCCCAATTCTCTGCCAGAGAGTAACTGGCCTAGCAACTGCCAATGGGACAGGGCTGCATTCTGCTTTTTTCATGTTCCCTCCCTAAATTTTGCCAGTTTAAGTAATTCTCAGTTTAAGTAACTGCATGTATCCAGCCAAAGATCCCTCTTCTTTGCTTTTCTGAGTGCGTACTCAGATTGCGGTGTTATACATCACAATGACCGTCCTCGCCAGTCATGTATTCACGGTTTGCTTAATAGACGTCAGGTCCGTCAAGGGTACAATCAAAACACCACAACCATTTCAGGAGGCAGTGGTGTTTAAGTTTCCAGGATTTTCCTGGTGCCCCCCACCCATTAAAAAGTAAGTCAAACCATTTTAGAACAGTTCCACCTATTACCTGGGTTCCGCCAGGTACCACTCACACACCGCCTCCTCTCTGCTAACAGCAGCACTTGAAATTTTCCGTTGGTTCTCCTGAGTTAAGCCCTGCAGTGCTGGGAGCGTGGCCAGCAGACCCTGGGTAAGAAGTCAAATTGTTCCAAAACATTTTACCTGCCTACACTGGTGTGGGGGTGGGAGGAGGGCACAAGAGCACTCCTTGCACCATAACCACTGCAGGTTGCTGTATTGGCTATGGAGCTTGCAGTGTTTATTTAATGCTCTGATATTGTGGCTTCTTAAGAGCTGCTCCTCAGGCACTGCAAAAATTGTTCAGGAATGGTTTCAGGAACATGACAAAGAGTTTAAGGTGTCGTCTTGGCTTCCAAATTCCCCAGATCTCAACCCGATTGAGCATCTGTGGGATGTGCTGGAACAATTAATTCAATCCTTGGCGGCCCCACCTTGCAATCTACAGGACTTAAAAGGATCTGCTGCTAATGTCTTGGTGCCAGATACCACAGGATATATTCAGAGGTCTTGTGGAGTCCATGCCTCAATGTTTTGGCAGCACAAGTGGGACCTACACGTTATTAGACAGGTGGTTTTAATGTAGTCACATTAACCAACCAATCAATCAAACCCAAAACTAGTCATATAAATCATGCAACTGAACACTCCAAAACTGGTAGTTCGTACATGGAGCAAGTCCATCTTATAGCCTTTGGATATATATATATATATACTGCTGAAATAAGATATTTATCTGTACTTGTTAAACTTTAAAAACTGTAATATCACTTTCCTTATAGTAATAGATAGAGTATGTCTTTCTCCATGGGCACGCTGGGCAGTTGTATGGATGCCCCACAAGTATTGGGCCCCACCGCACTGCCCAGCGTGCCCAGCCGACGGGAGATCCTTTTGATCTCCCCTGCAGAGCCAATGGAGAGCCGGCACTTCGTTGGGCGGGAGGACCCGGAGGCAGAAGGAGGGACCTTGGAGTCAGATCACTCCTCCCGCAAACATGCTGTGTGCAATGGCAACGCTCCACACAACACTCAGCTCGGGAGGAGTGAAGACAGCCTGCAGCCAGAGGAGGATATAGATCACCATCGGACCACTAGGGCAGTGTCACCCTCTCCTTCACAAAAGGTAAGAAAAAAAGGTTGGGGGGGACTGTACATTTATTATTTAAAAAAAAAAAAGGAAACATTTGCTCCATGCAGCCCTCACACTCTGCAATACACACCAATCACCCTTCACACACACACAGCACCTCTCTCTCACACACAGCACCTCTTACACACACACAGCACCCTTCACACACAGCACTTCTCACCTAAGTGAGGAGGTAAGGGATTTCCTGTTCTGGTGCCCTTGTCTATGTTTGGGGAAATTTCCCTGAAAATACACAAATGCACCTGAGGAGGGAATCCCTTAAATCTATGTTCGGGGAAATTTGCCCAATCATAAATGAACGCAGCAGAGCAGGGAATCCCTCTAACTCCCATGGCGGCTCGCATTTACCACCACGCGAGAGAGCTGGTCGTAAGTGTGAGCCATTGTAAAACATGTAGGTCGCAAAACAAGGACCACCTGTACATACATTTGTGGTCAGGGACAAAGGCCGAAGGTATTCAATAAGGTTTGAGCGATACCAGAGCAAGTCGGTTGTGGTATGCTGAAACCGACAAATAGGTAGGCCTAAAAAAAGAGGGCAAAAAAATATTAATACCACCTAATCTCAGAACAACATAATTAACAAAGAACCCCCCCTCCCTCCCCCTCTGCCACCCACTACTATTACACCTAACTTGATTGATTCAGCAACTGTTACACACAGCCAAAATCTTCCCAGGTTGCAAGGAAAATAATCATGGAGGATTTACTAATCTAACTAATTGGTAAAATTGGGCAAAATTATACCCAGTGAGGAATGTTGAAAACATGAAACTACGATGGTTGAACGATAATATATTGGATGTAACTACTGCTCCTGACTAGCTGCTGTAAGGAAAACACTGGTTCTTCTCAACAGTTCGCATCATCCAAAACTGGACTTGTAAACAAACTGCTAGAATATTTAACCTCCTCTTCTTTCTCTACTCCACTCTGTCATTCCATGTGTTGTACGAGTTGTTATAACCATACCTAAAACAGAAGAAAAACGTTAATTTAATGAGACCCACTATGGGTTAGTGGGACAAACTGTAAAACACCCATCTTCTGGTGTACCTACCTTATAACAAGTGGAGAAACAATGAAGCTAACATTGGTCACTTGGGAGACCAGACTAGTTGTCAAGTGGTGTTGAGAAGCACTACCTATGAATTGGGCCGTTGGGTAAATATGCCACTGAGCATTGTGGAAGGGAGTTAGAATCTCAATGACGATAAAGAAATTTAGCATACATTGACCGGGGCAGATGAGGCTGTAACTACTTTGTGAAGAAGGCGGGAATTAACTATGATTTGTGCCGAGCACAACAGCTTTGAAACAAGACTCTGGAAGAGGTACAAAGCCAGATTACCACTCATGGACAGTCGTTCTGTTGTTAATGCAACTCATCAGCACGAGGTTGGTTACTGGCTTGCTAGTGAGGCTTTGCGTTACTTGTGGAGCACAAACCAAGAAAGGTATGGTGGAGAAAAAAAGTGATTGAAAACGCCTTCCACCTGAAGTCCGTGGATAGTGAATACATTATTTTTTATATATTCCTGCTGTAACTTTAACATAGCTTCCACACATAGCAATTAAAATGCTATAATGGGGTACAACTGAGCCTCTTAAGGACAATAAATATGTTGAGCTATTGGTTATGTGTTCTATTTAGCCCCTCATTGATTGAAATGTATTTAAATTGCTTCCTGGAATGCTGTGTAGCCAAACAGAAATACATTATAACATGCATGTTTTTTTAAATAGACAGGGTCTGTGTTAAGTGCTAGAAATATCTAAGCAAACAAGCTGTAATTGACTTAACCTACTCAAATTAGGCTAAATACTAAATCTGGACCTAACTTTCAGCGCCGTGTAAAATATTTTCGCCTCGTCTATGATGTTATTGATGTTTGCATGCTTTATTTAAATACTACATGACTCCAGTTGGATGAAGTGGCAGCAATTTGTGTTACAGCTTTCATTCCATCCTGTACATAGTCACAGATTGTCTCCCAACAAAAAAACACTGCAGTATATGATGGTGCTAAATTCAGTGGCATCCTTTGTATTAAGGAGGCTTATAAAAGATTTATAATGCAAGCAGTAATTGTTTTATTGAAGCCATGTTGTATATATCTACACAACTACCCTCAGAAAGATGTGTTGAGGTGTGATCATCTTATTTATTTAAAAAATAAACATTTTCAGACGATATGCTTTGGAATGCCTTTACTATTCAGTAAAAGACTTAGATACGCCAATTTTATTCTGAAATGATGACGAGGTATTTGTTGAATAAGGTAGGCAACAGTCTTGAACCTGCAGACCAGATTGATTTTGGAAATTTCAACGTCATCACAGCTAGGTGAGGATTTAAACAACTTAACAACCAGTGAACTCACTGTGCAGCCCAACCAGCATTTATAAAAGTTTCTCTTTTATTTAGTTAATTCACAAGTAGCTATAAAGCACTTTTGGGAAGTGGGATATCATAAAGTAGAGGGGGTGATAGCACAATACTAAAACATTTAAGCCTTAGAAAATTCCCACTCAGGCTATAACCCTGAAGCACACAACAGCTCGATAACGCTAAATCTCAGAATTTGTTCAACTGTATTAATATAAGTCACTGAGGGTTCCATCGTTCCAAACTTTAGAATGTCACTAACCAATGTAAAAAAGAAACTAATAGCTGGGCACTAAGTAATTTGAAGAGAGAATCAAAAGAAGAATGAGAAGAGCACATCTTATAAACCCTGGCCAACAGCCACGACTTGTCATTAATGCCATTAATGCTTTTTTTCATGAATGCACCTATCAAAATATGATTGTACCAGTTCCATCATAGAACTCTACAGAAGAGCCAAGTAGAGGAAGACAAGACATAAAATATGATCTCCCATTAGCAGGTACACAAATACTTGTATGGGCATAGGAAACATGCCTTCTTTATGTGGCAAATTTCAGTAAGGATTTGGCTTATAGTTTTTGAAAACCATCACAGCTACAAGATATCAGAGAAGCGCATGGCATATAGACTGATGTCTTAAGTAGTCCTTCGGAAACCTTTAACATAATTTAATTTAAGAGTCAACACTTCCGGTGTAAAGAAATAAAACTGTTTAGGATTGTAAAAAAAAAGATAATTTTCAGCAATGAGAAAGCTTGACCAATTTTTATCTTCTTGTGGAACATGAAAGAAAAAAGTGAACTTAGTGGATCGTACTACCACCAAAAGATCACTCAGTGGAGCGCTAAATATCAAATTCTTACCCCTATTGGAATAACGTAT